AAAGAAAATTAATCTAAATTAGTGTTGTTATAACAATTATATTGTTAAAATGTATTTAAAGTTGCGCATTGTGATGTGACGTCACATTTCTCAACCCCCCCTCCCACCCCGGTCACACATCGTCACAGATGTCTGACCCCCCTCCCCCCCCTAGGTGCGTGACGTCATTTAATGGACCTTGAGGCCAAGTGACAAACCCAGGTGCCATGGGTTGACTGAGATGACTGGCAAGAGGCTCCCTCCTGTGCCAACTCGCTGCTTTTTATCCACCCGGCGCGCGCTCCGATTGTTGTGAGCGTCGCTCCTCCGCCCTCCGTTGTTGTTGGAGGGCGGACTGCCTCCAATTGCCCAGTCGCGTCCTTCACGAGCCTCCTCCACAGCGGCCGATCTTGACACCGCTGGAAAAACCGGTCATTGGCCAAGTCCTGCTCAGCTCCAACATCCTCCTGTACCACATCAAGTCCATCTCTTCTCCAGCCCGTGCTGCGCCCGTTTAGCCCCCGCTATCCGAACAAACAGAAGCTGCTTAAACACACACACATATACACGTGCAAAGACTCCCCAAGTTACCGTGTATAAGGCTATTCAGTCTAGGAATGAGCAACCAAACTGATACATCAGGATATTGATGTTTTCCTTTGGATGTTGTGTTTTTCACGCCAAATAAACGATGGTCACATTTTTTTACGAAATTTCCTGTCGCCCATCGCCCACCCGTCACGAACAGGTGTAGTACATATTGTAGATAATAAGTAATATTCTGTAAAGTAATCTGTAAAGTAATTTTTATGTAAGGTAATCTGTAGAGCAATATTATGTAAAGTAATCTGTAAAGTAATATTATGTGAAGTATTCGGTAAAGTAATCTGTAAAGTAATTTTATGTAAGGTAATCTCTATAGCAATATTATGCAAAGTAATATGTAAAGTAATATATAAAGTAATGTTCTGTGAAGTAATCTGTAAAGTAATATTCTATAGAGGCAAGATTGCTGTTGGCTGAGAGGTTGGCACCTGTGGGGTGGTCTGAGAAACTCCCAGAAACCTTAGGAAACCTTCACGGTGGCCTGGAGTCAAACTGGGTCTTCAATGCTTTGAAGCCCGCTTCGTCCCATGGTGACGCGCACCTGCGGAGAGCGTTCTCACCTGGATCGTTGGTGCGGGTTACTTTCGGCTCGTTCGTGGTGGAGTAGGCATGGGGCAAACAAAACAACGTTAACATCGATGTTCTTCTTCTTGGTTCTTTCGGTAAAGTCACGTAGAAGGGAAGTAATAAAACAATAAAAATAAAACATAATAAAATAAAATAATTCTCACGACGTTTCGGCTACAACGCAAGCAGCCGTCTTCAGGTGAAGAATGAGACATTGCCAAGCTAGGAGCGTATATATAAGCTGGGTAGGAGGTGGAAGAGGAGCGCCTTAACAAAAGAATGTGCATATCAAGAGGAATTTAGCATATTCATGGGAAATGCGTAGGAGGTGGGCGGGGGGGTTTCAAAGTCATATTATGCCCATGCATTATGCAGGATCAGCAGCACCAAGGGAGGGTGCAGGGGGGATGTTCTTGGTTTTGATGCGTTGACATCGATGTTGTAGCCATCCCTACGATAACATCGGAATGTCAATGTTTTCCTTTCGATGTTGTGTTTTACACACTGAAAAATTGGTGTAAAGAAATGAATGAAGCAGTCTCCTTAACGTTCTTCGGCCACCTTCATGTTTAAGCTATTTAATGAAAAAGTAACTGGTCCCTCTCAAAATGTCGACAGGTGTTACTTGCTGTGGATGGGATGAATGGTAATATTCTAGAAAGTAAATGTAAATTTGATGTCGGTTGAATGTTGAGCCTGCCAACTGCCTTGTAACTTTCGATTGCTGAATCTCTTTCAATTATATTTATGTTTTCGATATTGCTTTTGCATATTGTTAAATAAATATCAATGCTTTGCTTAACAGATTTCACGCGATTCCTCATTGGTCATTGGATATAATTGTTTCACGCTATACAGGTGTCCCTCGATTTATACGGGTTCGGTTTGTGCGATTTCTCATGTGTGGCCAACCTATTTCTACCGAAAATTCGCTCTATTCCGTTTTAATTCACCCATATGCAGCTATGTTGTGGTCGGAGGTGGGACAACTGTGTGGACTGTGTGCATGTGTAATGACTATAGACCCTGCATGCGGTGTGTGGGGCCTAGTGGCCACGGGAGGTAATGGCAGGGGAGTCAGCCTACAGTACGAATGCACTAGTGGCCACGGGAGGTAATGGCAGGGGAGTCAGCCTACAGTACGAATGCACTAGTGGCCACGGGAGGTAATGGCAGGGGAGTCAGCCTACAGTACGAATGCACTAGTGGCCACGGGAGGTAATGGCAGGGGAGTCAGCCTACAGTACGAATGCACTAGTGGCTACGGGAGGTAATGGCAGGGGAGTCAGCCTACAGTACGAATGCACTAGTGGCCACGGGAGGTAATGGCAGGGGAGTCAGCCTACAGTACGAATGCACTAGTGGCCACGGGAGGTAATGGCAGGGGAGTCAGCCTACAGTACGAATGCACTAGTGGCCACGGGAGGTAATGGCAGGGGAGTCAGCCTACAGTACGAATGCACTAGTGGCTACGGGAGGTAATGGCAAGGGAGTCAGTTGCGAGTGCGAAGGGACTAGTGGCCACGGGAATGTTCGAGAAGAGAGCGTGGTCAGGCGAGGGAAGAGGACGGTGGAGTCTGCCGGCGGAGCGAGCGTCCAGAGTCAGCGAGAAAGTTCGGGAAGGGGGAGCGTGGCCTCGTGTCGGTATAAAAGGGCGAGATGCGCGGGAGACTCGGGGCTGCTGCAGTGGGGGTCTCCGCCTGATGTCATGTGTCACCGTGTCTTCAATAAAGTGCCATCTCAAGAGAAGTGTGTCAGGTCGTCATTACGCGTGTACTATGTGCGTGTACTGTGTGCATTCACTTTGTGCGCTACCCGGCAGGCAGACGTCTCGTGCGGTTTTTTTTGGAACGCATCTACCGTGCGTCTACGCTGTGTGTGCATACACTCCTCGTGACACCACTTTTATATCACCTCCTCCCCACCACTATTTTCCATCTCGTTATTTTCCACCAATCCCGTATCCCGTGGGCCTGTCCATTAATTATTTCACTCGAGTTGTCCTCGCTTCACCCCCCCCCGCCCCTCTTTACAACAATCAATCTCTTTGGGACCTCATTTGGTTACAAGTGATACCAACTTATGTCGTGAAATCTGAACAAAGGGGGGTGGGTGAACGGATCCATCTTTACAGTTTTAAACGTGTATGCTGTTTCACTGTTTAAGTTATTTCTGTAAAGAAAACAACCCTTTCCACTTTCAACACAATAATCATTACCAATTCCCCCCCCCCTCCCTCCCCAATAAAAAACCGGTTATTTTGGATATGTTGCATTGCAGTAGATTTCAATGGTGCACCTAGAGCTGGTATTCACCAACAACTGTTAATTCGCCCGTAGTGTAAGACCATGATTATAGTACGCACGTTTAAAATAACTGCAGACCACGAACGCAAACATTTTATTCCAAAAAAAATGAGCAATGCGTATAAGTGAGCTATTTACCATTCACTTGGGTGAGGCTGTTGAGGTGAGTTCTCCAAACTGGATTGCCCTGAAACCACCCCACATGGCAGCTTCAGGTGTGGCCCTGGGTCCCTGCTGATCATTGGAGAACGCTTGAAGGCACGCAGCTCGAGTTATGGACTGCTCTTAAGTCCTATTGCGCTGTATTTATAAGAAAGCACACCCGAAGTTCACGTAACAAGACGCGCCTTGATATCTATCCGAATATTCTCTGTCTTGGCATACGTTTAAGCAGTACATCTGTGTAAGTATATAAGCGTTAAGCTATCTGGTAAGATCTACCGAATTATAACTGCTTTGGGGTTTTTAAAATGAAAGGATAGATGTGATGACTCCAAAAATGCTTTGGTCCAGGCGCAAATGAGCGGTGCCCACATGGAGGTGACGGTGCGAAAGAAGTTCAACATAAATTTTGATTTAAAGCTTTCGTGACTGCAGTGATTCATATTCTTGGTTCTTTCGGTAAAGTCACGTAGAAGGGAAATAATAAAATAATAAAAATATAAAACAATATTTTATTATTTCCCTTCTACGTGACTTTACCGAAAGAACCAAGAATATAAGTTCAACATAAATACGCACACACACACGCATGGCCAATCAAGTTCACAAGATCCAGTGGCTACACGCACGACAATCATTAAACAACAATAAGACAAGACGGCCACCTAATAGTCGATGGTCCATGGTCCCATTAAGAGGTTAACAGTTCATGATCAGTATAATGCAGAGCAGTCATTGGGTACACACTTTATCTGTAGCAGGTATCAAGCAATGCTCTAAATGGTGATGTTCACAAATTGTATTCCATTAAAAGAATTGAACAGATATAATCTCCGGTCATGATGCAGTTAAAAGGCGATACTCCATTTGGTGCAGATTACTCTGTAAAAAAAAATATAGGCCAATTTTGGAATGGCAGTGCAGGATGTTTCAACATAAGTTCTTTCTAAGCAATGCCATTGGCGTAAAGGTGTGCACACCTTTTGAATTGACGGTTGTATTGATTAACATGCAGAGCCAGAGGTCACAGCCTTATTATGAGACAACTTATAACTTTATTTCAGGAGTATTCGGAAGAGCTATACGGAAGACATGAGAGAGATGTGAATACTGTGTACTGAGATACGAGAGAGATGCAGCGAGAATGATGAAAGTGAGATGCACTGTGAACGCGCTTCCAGCACTTAGACCGCGAGGTAGCGGTCCTCGGTTCACATGACCTCCCTCTGCACCCTTCCCCACTCCAGTGACTCCACACATCCTCTCCGCCAGTGGTTCTTAACCTGGGGTGCACGCACCTCCATGGGGGTGCGAGACATCGGCAGATTTTTTTAGAAGGCAAATCGATACACAAATTAAGCACGGCCACGTAACAACGACTTTGTTTCATCCCACCGATGCATTTATTAACGTTACACATTTTTGTGTACGATTGGGAACCAAAGGGGTGCAAAGGCTGCAGTAAAGGTTAAGAAGCACTGCTCTATTCTGACCAAGACCGTCCAAGTAATTAGTCCACAGAGTTGTGCGCAGTAAATGTTATCATCGTGATTAAAAACACGTGGCGGGCGCCATTTTTAAATGGTAATTTGAGTAACGCCGCGGGCTGCATTAGACGAGATTCATTCTGGCCCACGGGGCAAATTGGACAGCCCTGGCATAAATGTAAGGCAGCAGCAAAAAGGAACTTGTTCACGTGATGTATAGACTTTTCTGCTAAAAAAAATAATACATTTGATTGGATGTGTATACGTGTTATAAGGGATAATGAATTAAAAGTGGAGTACATAATTGATAGATCTTTGAGTGTCTTTTCATCCAAAGATTTTCTGCTTAAAAAAAAGCAAAACATTACTCTTATGTAACTTTTTAGAATAGCAGAATTTTTCTTTCGTATTTAGCACATGTACTCTTGCAGCATGACCAAGCAATTTATTTGAAACATTGCTATTACAATGTTAGCCATCAATGGAGCAAGAAAGTTATAATTCATTAAATCTCGCAAACATGACTATCGCAACCTTAATGAAAATGTCACCCATACACTTCGAGACCTATACAGGTGCCCATATAATACCATCGTTTTTCAATTAATTATACATAAACAGCATTGCAAATGTTGTGACCATTATCGTTGATCAGAATTTAGCAGCAAATGTTCGTGAAATATATCAAAGCATGGCATATCTATGTGTTTGACGTCTGTAACACCGAATACAAATATTTGTTGACCATGAACACGAAATGAAGCAAAAATCAAATACAAAATATTCGGGATAACTGTTCAAGCTTCTTTTATTGCAAGCGCATCTGCTTTTGTACAAAACAAAATTTGTTGAACTGCTAATGTAGTGTTTAAACTTGGGTGAAACAGAAAAATCTGGCAAAGAAATCCATTTTTTTTATTTGAAGCTAGAAATGGCTTGATTTGTTGTTCATTTCATTTCCGTACATCCGATATAAACGAGTGGGGGGGGGGGGGGGGGGAAATAGTGCTTTCATACGCTTTTGCTTTTTCAGCCAAGTTAGTTCGGTTAATCTCATTTTAAACAAAGTCAAGCTTCTCGAAATTCCAGTCTTCAATGTTAAATATCCCTTTGAAGATATTTCAGTTTTCTTTTAATATCCTAGTGTACGTTTAATACCTAGTGTTCCGTTAGTGTGAGCCATGCAATGCTTAGCAGTTTCAGTTCACCTTCTACTGAGGTATCCTCATAGTGTTTGACAATAATGGATAGCATTGTTCGTGCATATAAAGTTCTTCGGCAGCCTTCGTCACACATAATTTATGCTCCGAAGACAACTTAAAAAAAAAGTGACAAAGATGGATAGAGCTCCACGGAGCCCCGAAAGCTTGTCTCCTTACAAACAATCAAAAACAGGCCATCCAATTCTGACACATCTCCCGTGCAAAGCAAGATTAGAGGTGAAGAGGTGAGCTATTTCTAAACATTATCAACGACGGCGACAACAATGAAGATGAACAATTATTATGGACATTCGTTCACAAAGTACCTCCTTGTAAAACGCACAAATTACATAAGTAAGGCCATCCGTAGCATAAAACAAAGGTCACTTTTGCTGCTGCTGCGTTGCAAGCTCCATTATTATATATTTTATTTGTTTTCTCCTTTATTCTTACACAAATAATTTACATCTCTTTCAGCTCTCGTCTAGCGACGGCGGAGGTGGCGGGCGGGGCGGGGGGGTTGGGAGGCCCAGGTGCCGCCCCGGTCACTATCTGCGCGCGCCTTTGCTGGCCGATGAGGCGGAGGAGGACGCTGGGCCGCCGAGCTTGGTGGCCGAGTTGGTGGTGGGGATCTTGGAGCCCTTGGGCGTTTGCCGGGCGCCCGTGCGTGAGGCGGGCCGTGGCTCGCTGTCCGACTGCAGGATGGAGCGCTCCGAAGCGTCCAACTCGGACGACTCGCTGCCGCGGCGGCTGCCCGTGCGGCTGCCCAGCGCGCTGCTCGTCCGACTGGGGGACCGGCTTGAATCGGCTGCAGGTGATACACGCGCGCACGCAAAACATGTGTGAGAACGGGGATGAATGGCGCGGTTCAGCAAGTGCGTTCCCCTCAAGCCAATGCTGGCATAGAAGGGCCTTCCCTTCCTTGCCCTAGATGGTGCTGATGACTGTACCGCTACTGACGAGTCCGTAATGTTTCACCGCTGCCTGGATAGATGGCCTCACCACTATCGACCCTTTTTGAGTCGGTTGCCTAAGCGATAATACAGCCACACTTTCAAATCTCTCATGAGTTAGTGGTAGACAAGGCAGAGAGAACTGTCCGTGCGATGTGGTAGTGACCGACACGATACACAAGCGATGATGGGAGCGGTGCCTTCCTGGTGTGTTTTTTAGCATGCCTTTGCACCATCTTATTTCTAGAGAGCCCCTCTGGAGCATATTCGGCCTACCCTTCAACGATGGCCAGATGTCTCGGAAGAGTTGGGAGTACCAACACTTAACCCCACTGTATGCAACATGCCGATTGACTATCTGTAGTGTAATCATTTATACTGCTGGGTGGACAGAGACAGGGGGGGGGGGATTTAATAACCTTCTCCAATGTTTCAATGGTCACACCAGCTACGTCTGAATTGAAAGACTAGCGTGCTAACCACTGCACTCTGGCTACAATCATATTTACACTCATTAAATGCCAGACATAGAATCCATGCAATGTTCAGCACTGTAACATTCAAAGTCACGTAGGTAAAAAATGAAATTAAAATTAATAAAAATAAAACAATAAAAATCACGATGTTTCGGAGGCAACACAAGTCTCCGTCATCAGGTGGGACCGTCACAGCCAAATTCTGGCTGTGACGCAGTATAATGGCTGTGATGGTCCCACCTGATGACGGAGACTTGTGTTGCCTCCGAAACGTCGTGATTTTTATTGTTTCATTTTTATTAATTTTAATTAATTTTTTTACCTACATAACTTTACCGAAAGAACTAAGAGTATGATTCCTTGCAGTCACGAAAGCTTCAAATCTATAATTAAGGGAGACCGTCATCAAGTGTTGAAAACAATACAAACATAAATAACCTCAAGCTATTTACTGTGGCCAGCGCATTGCTCTATGAGTATGCACACATATAATATAGGTGACCTTTGTGACTAGGTAACAGCCCACTGAAACCAAGAGTGTTTTTCAAGACCTGGGATTTAAAAAAAAATCATACAATCATTATTTTTGAAGAGCACTCATGTGCCACACGATACTTCCACTACAATGAACCGCCACAAAAACGAGGACATTTGAGACTGCCACAATTCCCCCCCCCCTCGCACCAGAGGTCGCAAACGGGTTTTGATTCCTTACCCGTACCCGTACCCAGCCGCACCAGGGTTGCAAACGGGTACCCGTACCCGTACCCGGCTGTACCCGTACCCTACCCGTACTTGGCCGGGTACGGGTAGAATACGGGTATCGGGTACTTGATTGCGACCTCTGGGATGAAGCCATGTTGCAGGCGCGGGTGGGTTGATTCTAGGAACTTGAATTGTGAAAAGAGACAAGACGTTGGGAAATGAGTGATAAACGGTTACTCACCAGTGACTCACGGTCTAGCCGTACCCGTACCCAGCTGCACCAGGGTCGCAAACGGGTACCCGTACCTGGCCGGGTACGGGTAGCCGGGTATCGGGCAGGGTACGGGTATCGGGTACCCGGTTGCGACCTCTGCCCCGCACTTATTATTCTGAAAACTCAGCAGTAAGTCGTTCGCACGAGCGTGGAAGGGAGTTTTAAATAAAAAAATACCTTCCCAGAAATGCCAGCAACTCACCTAGCGTGCACGGTGGGTGCGTTTCGGAGGCAGAGTCTGACGTCAGGCTGTCGTCGCCGGTGTGAAGGCTTTTGCCAGACAGGTAACCCGGAGGCCGGAGTCTGCTGCCCTGCACAGGAGTGACCTGCCAGGGGCATGTGAAGAACAGTGAATAACAGCACATTAGGGCCTCGCTACCGTGCTGTTCATCACATCTCTCCGTTATTTTCGTAACTCAATATACAGTCTCTTATAAGTTAGTTGATAATAATAATAATCTTCCAGCCAATATTGACAGGGGTTACTTTAGCGTGTGTTCTTTGGTAAAATACAAGGGAGGGGTGATCCTTATAGTTGCATAGCACATAATGCCGTGAATTCAGCACGACCTGAGTTTAATTCCTGGCCATGGCAAACACCCGTGGCGATATCTGAACAGGTCATGGACACACCCCCCCCCATTCACCAACTCTGACTGACTAGTGTGGTAAAGTACTTTACGGTTAAACCCACATGACTGCAATGGCATGGGGAGGCCTTCTTTCAGCAGCGGATTGTTGATGGCTGAAAATTATTGTTAAAATAAAAGAGGTATACAGTTAGTAGGAATACAATTGCAAGCCGAACCTATGGACATCCACAAGTTCAATGTCCAAAATGTTAGCTTGCATTTTTATTCCTTTCAGTAGCATTTGCTGTTGACACAGGGTGATCCATGTACAGATATCCCACTATAATAAAATTAATATAAGATGAGGTAAAACAACATTGAATTCACACGTGTGTCCCACCTATCTCCATCCATTTATTATATAACTTTCGTTGTTTCTTCATATACTTAGTCACACGTAGGTTTCTGTTGTTATTCAGTCATGCGTAAGTCGAGGCGACTGGTGACTCGTGATTTTGTCACAGACACGTGTGTGGTCTCAGATATAGCCCAACAAGGAAACAAAAACTCCAACAGGGTTATACAAGGTGAAAGTTGGGGGCGGGAGGCAGACAATTTCCTCTTGTAACCACGAGACCCGGGTCGTAATAAAACAGTGGGATGTCTATAATTGGATCGCCCTGTACTTTTCAGCCATCCAGAAAAAAAAAACCCACACACTTTGTGTTGTAAATGATTAAAGTCCAAAATCCTAAAAAAAAAACTAGTTCCATTCCTCACCAATGCAATATTAGACATGTTCGAAGCAGTTTATCAAAGCATGTACTCAACAACAACAACAAAAAATATCGAGCGTGACCGGATTACGGTTATACAATTTCCGATACCGCACCGAGAACGCGGAAAACCTCTTCCCAGTGGGCAGGCAGCAGAAAGAGAAACAGCCACTCAAATCGACACTCTTCCTTAAAGTACCGAGGCACACTTGGCATTGTTTGCGTACCTCGAAGGGTGGACTCTCACAGTCTTGGCCAATTGGCCTTGCTGGCGTTGAGGTTTTGCTGTTGACAAGCCAAGGCTTGTCATAATTGCGGCTAAGGCTCAAAGCTGAAGGTTGCTGGAGAACGATGAAACCATGAAGAGGGAGAGACAGAAGACACAACACATTGTTGGGATGGGAGGGGAAAGAGGCATGGCAGAGGCCAGGTTTGGAAGGGTTTGATTCAATGGAGACAGAAAAAAAGTGGAATTGGATGGGTTATGCCATGGGGGTGGGGGAAAAGGGGAGATCAAAATTAAATAAGAATAAAGCAAAGCTTATATATATGATTACATATATATACACACGTATACACATATACGTATACGCACAGATAAAACACTCCAATTTGCATGCATACCAAATGTTATGTGAAATAAACCAAGCATGTGAGTTCACAAAATCAAACCAAGAATGAGAATGCAGTAGCGTAGAATGGAGGTTTTTTGTTACTGTAGAGGGCAGCCTCATTCTATTGGAAGCCTGAGTGTGAAGATGTGCGCTAGCATCTACAAGCTAATATTTGCACAGAATTCGTCATTGCCACAAGCAATGATACGCACGCGCAAAACACACGCACAATCTAATTTCGAGAAACATGCATGCGATCAAAACGTATCTCATAATAATAGGAGGGTAACATTAATCGTGTAGATTCATGCATGCACAAAATCTTCATAAAGGTTAATGCTCTCTGCAATAATTGCAACCTGACTTGCACCATTGCTTACATGCCAGAATATATGACATGTATATTTAAAATAAAACTGTCAAAGTATAGCTATAACCCAATGTCAGACCATCTCACAGAAGCGGACCTCGCAGAACTACTTCTGAGATTCCTTCAATTGCCTCGAAACAAGATGCCCTGCTCTAGATATGTTAATTACTTGGGATGGTTTTTTTGTTTATCATCAGAACTAGAATATTGTTAAAATAGGGTCAAAACCATGTTTAATGATATTCTTTGGTAGAGTAATCGATCACTTGGCTGGGACCATTAACTCACTGCGAGGGAGAAGCCAATTTAAACATGGGTCATTGATTGGATTTTAACCCAGATTTTCAGCCGTGCTCACTCTGCACCCTCGGCACCCAGCCAACTATAAAAAAATAATTCTACATATATTTTGTCGATTAACTTGCAAATTACAAAAGCCATACATTCTCATGAGCTATAGGTCAGTACAGAAAACACATTAGCTGAGATGATCTTCATTATATTGCCATGCAAGCAGTGTTCATTCAAATAATAGTACATTTTACAACAAAACAGGCAAGTCTTTAAAAGTGACAAAGATCTGTTGTCACATGACAACAGACAGTGCAAAATTACATTCGGTTCTGCACACAGACACTACATGGCAAATTGCACAACTGTTTTTACCAAAGATAGTTGGAGGCCAGGTACGTGCCAAGTATGTGTTATGGCATTTGTGTTTGTCCATGTTACTGCTCCGTTATCACTGCTCATTACACAAACACAACTATAAACACAATGACCCTAATGAACAAATAGCATTTGCACGAAGATCATTTGGTAGGTAAATTCACAATAATACAAGAGGCACACTTGAGACATATTCCATCAAACTTCAGAACGATTATTCACAATGTAAGAAACAGTTATCAGATCAACTTTAAAGGTTATTAGGGCAGTCCAGCAATTGCTTGCTTATGGCATTGCTTGGTGGAAGGGCCTCCACTACAGGAAGCTCTAGAGATGCCCTTCAGGGGCTATTTTGGCCCACTCTTGCACAATGGCCAGACATCTGGGATGAAGTGTGAGTACCCACACTTTACCCCACTACATGCCACCTGGCGATTGACTGACTGTGGCGTAACCCAATTATATTGCTGGGATGGACAAAGGCGGCAGGGGAATTTTAAAAACGGTGTCATCTGCCATGCCGTAGTTCAAACTGGCAACCTCTGAATTACAAATCCACTGTGCTAACGAACTCAACTTTTTTTTATTTTACCAGGTAAGGCCCACTGAGCTATGTAGCTCTTTTTCAGAAGCGACTCGACCACAAATGATAGCTCAACAAAGTGGCTTATCGCGTGGAAATGTATAGCAGCATAAATATCTCTAACCATTACGCCTCGGCAGAATATAGCATAACAGGAAGCTGGCTTCCAACGAAATGCAATCCGTCTTGCACGGCACAAACACACACACAGGAGTGCACACACAGCTGTCCACTCTTTCTCACTCCCTCGGCGGTGGCTTTTTTCGCGCTGCGGAAACGGGGTGGGGGGCGGGTTGCGTTGTGCCGCCGGGCCGCTCTCCCCAAAAAGCGAGGGAAGCCCCCCGCTGGGGCACTCACCCTGGGCGTGCTGGGGGTATTGGAGGAGCCCGAGGAGGGCGGCGTTGCGCAGCTGCCGCTGTTGTGCGTTGGGGTGTAGGCGTGCCCGTGGCCGTGAGAGTGCGCGAATCCAGCGCGCGTCGGCGAGGCCGTGCGGGAAGACGGGCGGGAGCGCTTCCCTCGCATCCTGAAGGGCGTCATGGACTGGCTGGCTCCCTCGGGTAGGATGAACTTCTCACGGAGCTCCAGGTTGGTTCGACCCTTCGCTGTGGTGGTAACCGGACAGCAGTCATGAGAGAGAGAAATAAAAACACGCACAGTTCAGGTGTGCCCGCACTGTAATTTCGCAGCCCCTGCTGTGGCATGAGAATATATATATCATTAGCCATGAGTAAATTTGCAGGCCTGAAATTGCTTGCTCGCATCAACTGCTGGTGGAAGGGAGTACACCAGAGGGAGCACGAGGGTACTTTGGCCTACTCTTCCACGCTGGCCAGATGCGTATTGGAAGAGGTGGGAGTACCCACACTTAACCCCACCACAAGCGATATTTTATACTGCTCGGTAGACAGAGGCGGGGGGGGGGGGGGATTAAGGAGCTCATTGCATCTGCCTTGTCACGAGATGGAATCGGTTGCAAAGTTCAATACGGAAATATAAAAAAACAAATACAGACATTTGGTAAAAAAGTTACAAAATATCTGAATTTCATTACAATTAAAACAAGCACATACATGGTTTCATGATGAACACATGCATCTTCTTAAACAGGCAAACAGTCTTGGAAATATTGCTTGCAAAGCAGGTTAACAATGTTTCAGCTCCCATGCCTTGCTCTAAATATGAATGAAGCTTACGTGACGAAACAGAGTTTATAAAAGCAAATTGTTGTCGTAAACACTCGAACAACATAAAAAAAAAGCACAAACAAGCTGCAAATACACTGTTTAAAGATCACAATCAAATCGCAAAGTGTCAAATAAAGGGTTCTCTGCGGTCGCAGCACCATCCCTTGAAAGATTAAGAAACCAACACCACGTGCACGGACATAAAACAAAAAACAAAACACATGCGGGAATAACTGCAGAGGCAGGAGGAGGGAGGCTTAAAGTTAACACACACACACACCGACTAAAGGTTAGGAGAGCATTACACTTTTGTGCAGCTTGAATAAATCAAGCCACTGTGTGGAAAACATTTATTTAAAGCAGGGGGGGGGGGAAACCAAGGAAATGAGACGAGAAGAGAAACGTTGCCAACCTATGGCAGACTGAGTGGTTATTGAAGAGTTTGACTCCGACCGCAGCATTTTATTCCCGTGGTGGTGAACTAGAAGAAATGTGAGTCAAGAGGCAAAAGGCAGAATGTGTCACACAGGAGGAGGAGGAGCAAGCACCAGGCCCGGACACAGCTTCGTTTAAGGAGAAGAAGAAAAACACATTTTTATATCGCGCACGCGCGCCCGATTTTCACAATAGCTCCTCTCTCTTAAGGCTATATAGAGCACAGCACCAAATTACAGGTCTCAAATGCAAAACAATTCGAGTTAAAATAACAAACAAACTTGCGTGCTCCTAGTTTTCCCTCGGACAAATTGCTATAATTTCTGTAAAACGTCTGAATACTTTCGTCCATTTTTAAACAAGGGGAATGGCAAAAAAGAAAGACTGACAAAACTGCTTGAAAGTTTCTTAAAAACGCGTTCCGCGGCAGGCACCGTATATACATCGCCACAGGCAGCGCGAGAGAGAAACATCGACTTATGCAAGGTCCAGAGATGCAGACTAAGACACAATGGGATTGATGGAAGTAGGGATCAAAGATAACGCCGTTTCGTTCTTGAAGGAAGAGCTGCAGGGGGAAAGTGGAGCAAGCAGCTGCCATATTAACCATGCTGAGGATCGTGCAAAACGTTCCCAACGCCCACCATGGCATATGTTATAGCTTGGAGTTCGGCATTGCAAGGCTGTGTAATAATTGCCCAGCTTGAGAGTTCGGTTTGACTTCTTATGAGTTTCCAGACCAGGATTTCACAAATATACGCCATCTCTTGCGTACGCCGAAATTTGTTTTTTTTATGAACGAGTACAATTCGTCTTGTTGAAGGTGGCAGTGCATTCTTAAAATAGACGAGTCAATTATTTTTGTAAATGTAATTGATCTTACGCTTATTGCCTCTCAATTCAACTGCAAATACGTATGATGAATGTATGAATCTTGAGAAAATCGTAACGTTACAATTCAAATTATGGCTGGCGCTTACATCATCGCTCAATTTGTAAAAATGTAGTCTGGAAAGTCTGGGACAAAGAGGCACTCGTTTCAGGGACATGCGGTGGATACTAAGATGTGAGCCTATCCACATACCACAAGGAACAGCTCTGACCGAATATTACGAAGCCGAAATGTGGAATAAGGGAAAGGTATATACTGAAGCTGCTCTGTCGATCATACTAATCTCACACAGCCCAATGGGCAGGGCAGAAACTACCTTTGATAAAGTGCCACATCCAGTTGATTTGCTCTGGCCATGTGAAATAAACAGGAAGATTAAAATAAAAGAATTTGAAAGAGCACACACATACATACACACACAGGCAGATGCACACACACACAGGCAGATGCACACACACACACACGGGAACATAACACACCACTTAAGTACAGTGCAATGGCATATTTTCATCCGAACGACACTTTTTTTTCCAGCATGTCATAGAAACGTGTTACATGTTATGAAGAAAAAAAACAGTATAAGCTTTGGCAATAGAACACCATATACTTTACATTCGATCTTTTTTTATTATATTAAAACGTCAGTGGCTGGCAATTAGATCTAATCAAGTTAATCGCCGACGAGCTTTCAGGTTTCAACGCTCGTCGTTCGGCACGGCGTCCCAACGTTTCGCTCCACGTGCCCAGGCCGAACAACACGCGGCACGAACAAGGTAAACACGCCGACTAGCTGTGTAGCACAACCGCGGAAAACCTGCGCAGCCGTAATGAAACTGGCCGCACATTTAGCGCGAAGGGAATCGGCGAAGAGCGGTATGATGAAGTCGTGAGGGCAAAACGAAGGACGGAGGGATTGGAGATCACCCGTACCTCGGCAGGGGTCGTTCTTCACCAGAAATTCGTCGAGAGCCATCCAGCCTCCACCGACGCGCACCATCACGGTGCTACGCAAGATGCGCACCAGGCGCAGCTGCTGCGAGTCGCCGAACTGTCGCAGGGCACGGCGAGGCGTTAGCAGGCAACCGCACGGGCGATGGTCAATGGGCTCTGACCGCAGTTTACGAGGCCAAGAATATGGAGTAAAAAACATATATGTATTTTGACATACATTCAAGCTGCTCTGTTAATCGTACTAATCTCCCACAGTACAACGGTTGTTGTCCATCTACCCCCCATCACGGTACGTTCATTCCTATGAGTAAAATAAAGGGTGTTTGCTTGTATATTTACAAAGGTTACGGGAGCTCACGTGCTAGGATAGGCAGATTCACTGTACAGAAATCAACTGACTTTTAAGGTAAAAAACAAGAAATAAGAGCGTTTTAAAAGGCAAGAATTACAAGAATTCGTTTGTTTTGATTCGGAGCAGTGATTGGCCACAAATGTTCAGTAAATAAATGTTATTTCAATCTGAGGTTAAAATTTGGTGTTAAGTATGACTGACATGAAATATGCACGGTTCGCTGTTCATGCGCAATTCACTCGGTGCATTCGTACAATCTGAAACTCCTCTGAAGGACGAAGCACAACAAGATTTTTTTTTTTTCAAACCACAAATTGAGGTTAAACTTTAAAAAGTCCACAGCACATGGGAAACGTCTTTTGAAATGTGGAAAAACATCTTGCGTCTCAATTTTTCCTGTTTCGTTTGAAAATCTCACATTAATTTGTCATAATTATATTTTATCGTGTGATTCCTGCAACCAGCTCCCCCCCCCAACCAACTGCAGACTTTTTAAAGAACCATATTCATGCACAAGCAAAAATGGCAGAAATATATAAAAAATGATATTCAGAGAAAAACCATTGATGAGAAGCAATGATCACCACAAGCAGCGCATGGCCAAACACAAACCCTCAGTACCTGATTCCCAAGGTAGAACTACACACCAAGGAAAGAAGAGAAAGACACAGAGAAGAAAAAAAACCAAAATAAAGAAAAAAATTGTTAAAAGAGCAACACACAAAGCTACAATGCATGGGCAAAATGCCCAGCAAGCTTCTTAATGCGCCACCTTGACTTTACCAATACTGTGTTTGTAGAACAAGACAACGGTACTCTTCATTTGAATTTCATTTGAAATGTAACACGTAAAATGTGATATATAATTCTATGAAGATTGGCTACATGGCTCTCTGATATTTTTGGGTTGCACACGCCGTGCTGTTCAGCATGATGTCTGATGTTTCGATCCAAGTGCAGGGAGCTTCTTCAGGAATTTATAAAAAAAAGCTCCAAGCACACGGAGTGAACAACACGTGGTACAGACCGGCAAAAAAACAATCGGAGAGCTGTGCTACATAGAATGTTAACACGTGCCAGATTTAGTATTGGTAAAATACAAGGAATTGCATTTTAACGTCGCTACGTGAGTTCATGAAAGAGTTCACCGGCACCACCTAGGGGCTTCTAAATGTTCCATACGACGACGGTCTCATCGGCAACACAGAGCTCTACGATGTGCTCACCCTACTGGCCAAATAAAAACCTCCTCGCTCTACCTTCCTCTCAACGGTGGAAGGCCACTGGCCGGCATGCACACCATCACACACACGGGGGTCAGGGTCTCGGAGGTGCTGGGCTTGGCAAATCGGGGAGAGAAGCCACACAAAAAAATAGCAGAGAGAAAATTTGGCTGATGGGGGCAAAACAGAGGTGGGGGGGAGGTGGGGGTACGAAGACGACAAAACGGCGAAAGCTGGAGGACAAGAGGCCCTTTCACAAAATCCCCGCTCATCCCGCCGTCGCTCAGCACTGCTCTGTGTCACTTTGTGTCACTTCGCGCCATGCCGTGTGTGCATAGCGAGAGCGCTTTTATTTTGTTTCTCCATAGGCGCATCACACGGCTGTGACAGCTTTTAACAAAGGGCTCTCTCAAACTGTGGGTGCATTCAGCAACAGCCGTTTGATCAGGTGACTTGGGCTTTGTAGATCAGTGCCACGGAGTTTGAATGCCAAAATGCAGTCGCTCACGATCCAATTGCCAAGGCGATAAAGGGAGTTGCCGTACATAATCCCAAGGGGTTTGTTCAGTTTAACACGTAGGCTTTATTATTCATGATAATGGTTTTTGGGTTAGATTGTGTAAGTATAAACGTGCCGTAACCCTCCACCACCCGACACAGCCGGTAAGGTTTGTCACGGGAAACAAAGTGCCAATTAGTTACTACTACAGAGAGTAAATCCACAACATTTACAATTTGAATACGACGTTTCGCTGGGTTTGTTCAAATAAAATACATATGTTGACACTTTCAAAGTGAGGCTGCCAATGTAAAATTACCACATTCCCAAACAAGCTCCGATATGAAATCACTAATGTGTTAGCCAAAACATATTCCTGTAAAAGGTAGGATTGGGTTACATCCCGCCTGACAGATGCCCGTTCTTATTAAATAGCAAGCTGCATATATGAACCATGAAATACAGACTCCTGAGTGCTTCACATGTTAATGAGGGCGATGGAAATAAACAAATTAAAGCAGTGTAAATGTTAAGCCGACAACTTTGAAAGATATCCCCCCATTGTAAAAAAAGGTTTAAATAAAGAGATTAACTTTTGATCATGTTTTTGTTATACAAAAGCAATGCAAAAGTTTAGGTATGATTATAGCATATGAAAACAAAAATCAGATAGAAAACAGTTCTATTTGCGTTATGCATGCCGATGGAAATACATTCTCGCCATGCAAATCAATGTATTCGCCCGACCAATGAGATTGGAAACATTTACGTATTTTCTGGCTCGCACGAAAAAATATTTAAGTTAAAAAACATCAAAACTCACTCGGTACTTGTTTTCACCAATCTGCTCCACCTGGAATCTCCTGGTACACTTGCAGGCAGCAACCTGTCTGGTCACCTGCAAGGTCAAGACAGTTGTACGTCAGATCACGCACTATTCCTGGGTAATAATAGATTATCATGCTTCTAATAATTCATCGAATCGTGCCTGTAAGAATCCTTATTGTCCAGAATAAAATCCGACATTAAACTGAATCATTATTGTAAATCGTTCGTGTTGTAATTGGTTCACATGCAGCTAAATTCACCATGATGTTGGTAAAAATAACAACCAATTCTTCAATCAAACTCATAATTCGGGATAATGACAATGCATGTGTAGAGTAGAGATGTGCGCAGTTGAGCGGATGCAAGCGAGGACGAGCAGGTGAGCGCTTTGGGGCAGGAGGTTGGCGCTGGAGAGACGGGAGATGGTGGCGATGATTAGGGATTAATGAGTGCGAGAGGCGCCGTGGTGGCGACAGCTCACGTGGGGAGCACGTGAGGACTCGGAATGAGGAGGGGTATCTAAGCGGGAGTGTGTGTGAACAAAGTTAAGTTCATACTCTTAGGTTTTTTTAGGTAAAGTCACGTAGGCAAAAAATGAAAAAATAAATAATAAAATATTTTTAATAATTCTTTGATTTTGTTATTTTCATTTAATATTATTTTATTTTTTTATTAATATTTTTTTTACCTACGTGACTTTACCGGAAAAAAAACCTTAAGAGTATGAATCCTTGCAGTCACGAAAGCTTCAAATCTAGAATCAAAGTTGGGTTGTTCGGGGACCAAGAGAGAAGACATCTTGCGGCTGTCGCTCGAGTCGCCAACGGGACCTCGCTGCTCTGTGTTGGCTGAACCCCCCGCCCGGGGCAGACGTGTGAGTGGGTACGGGGCAGTGTAGGAGAGGGCAGAGGTGAGATAGGAGACAGTAGGTAAGATGCAGAGGAGGTGAGGTGCGGAGTAGGTGAGAGCGGATAGTAGGAGAAGCAGAGTGTGTGGTGACAGTGGAAGGCAGTCATAGGAGTGCCTACAATGGGTGCGAGAGTGGGATTAATAAAGTGTAAGCAGGTGACCTGTTACTCCGTGTCAGTGTGTGTAATTTCGAGACACTACACATGGAATCATGAGGGGACGAATAATTACAAGCCTTCAAAATTATAAACGTCTGCCCTCTGGTTCTATACAATAATACCCTCTACACTAACATACGAGTTGCACACCTATAACGCGAAAGACGTTCAACATACATACATGCGATTAGAAATAAATACATATCATAAAGTGGGACGTGATAACTATGGGACTGCTATGTCAATTCCATTCAAATGTCTAAAGTTGTTTTCATGTAAAATACATCTTTCATAAAGTTCAGTGAGATACATTTATACATTTGCACAGTGAAGTGAATAATAACAATTGGCAATTTAATTTTAAATATTGTATACAACAGCCCATTCTTACAAGACATGTCACTGGCTTCAGAATACCAATTTCACAGCAACCAATGTCGTTAAATCATGTCCCACTCTATTGCTAGTTGGATGTAAGAAATTAAATGTCAACCCCATTCGATCTGTCCCGATAGCAAGTGTGCTAACCACAAGCCTGCCCAGCTGCATTAAGTATAATGAGATGCAACACACACTGCCGTAGCCGTGTCAGCATGATTGTACCTCGTCCTCAATCTTGTCTGCATCGGTGATGGGCCTGTAAGCATCTTTGTTCGGATGCAAGGCAGCAATGAACTCATAATAGTCGATGTAGCCATCGCCATCCCTGTCAAAGATATCTGCCACTGCTGTCATTTCCAGGCGATTGGTTGGAAACCCTGGAGAAATATTCAAAAAAACACAGATGCTGTCAATTATGAGTTGTGTCAATTTATAGACTGCGAATACAGTTGAAATGTAATTTCTCGCAGAAATACAGATGTTTTCAGATTGAACAAGTACAAACGATGCTCACTGGAGGACAGGATTCCATCGATAAATTCTTGTCGGGTAATCTTGCCGTCTTGATCTTTATCCATTCTCCGGAAAAAGTCCATGACACGGGACTTTTTGTGGTTCATCCACTGCATGTACCGCTTCCGCCAGACGTCAAAGTCAAAGTTTTCAAACTCCTTCAGCTGTTGTCGGAAACGCAAAACAGGGACATGAGGCTCAACAATCAAACGAGTCGGCAATTAAACCTACAATGTACAAGTATGTGTTTTTTACATATTGAACTCGTGAAATAGACATTTAAATATTTCATGTTTTGTTTCTTTTGGTGATATTTTCACATTATTAACCCCATCGTGCTGTTGGTGCCGTTACGATACAAAGTATCCGTTTAGATCTCTCACAGAGCAATGCAACCCTCTGTGTTGGAGAACGGACAGTGGAACTGGATATTACAGAGCAAGTGACTCAGTCCAACGAGCAGATGGCAGCACTTCCCACTTGCCCTGCATGCGAGAGTGAGGGGCATTGCACTGCACGACAGTCAAACCGGTATTTGATTGCACGGAGCTGGAATTGAGCCCAAATAAGCGCTTGACCAAATCCACAGCGACGGTATCTTGCGCAGTCATTGGCAAAGTGGGGCCGAGACCATTGCCTCACAATATTCCACGTTCCTAACCCAATCTTAGTGGGCGTAACCGTTCCACCCACAGCAAAGGCCAGCGAAGATCAAAGAAAGCCCTCACCTCCTGGAGTCTCTCCAGCGCGTCCTGCAGCTTCCGCTGCCTCTCCAGCGCCACGAGCCAGACCTGCCGCCAACGGTTGAAGAGCAGCGTGATGCGGGGGTTCTTGGTCTCCAGGGGCTGGGAGGGCGACGCTGGAGCGGTCGACTGGGACCCTCCACGCTTTCCTGCAGGGATCACAACGCGGGAGGAGGTGCGCAGTGCTCGCGGGTACACCACACGTTTTGTGTGTGTTTGTTTTTCCCTTGGTGCAATTGTGAAACAACAGCCGTATCAGACGTCAGGACGCCTAATCGGCATAATCGTTGGTTCGCTGCAGCTCAAGGACTCAGTCCTACGAGGCGTGTGATGAAGTAAGGGGATGTCCATGTGCTCGGCATTTGAAGGCCTGAGGACCATCGGACTCGGGCGGCTCTCCTACGGAGCTGATCACCTTCACCACCAAGATGGCGATAGCGCCGCTCCAGCTGGCTGCTGACACCCCTTGCTCCCACCGTCACCAAAATACTACCACCCCTCGTGCCTTCCTCACCTCTCCATTCACCCTCTCCCATTCTCCCTCTTCTCATCTTCAACGTTATTCTTATTAATTTTGTTTTATTATTTTCTTTATTACTGTTTTAGTGGCGCAGCTCCATTGCCAGCCCCTGTCCCTCCATCCATTCCATCACTTTCCTCACTGAACGCCGTCGGATTGCAACTTAAAGCGCCCTGGAAAGGGCGCTATATGAATACAAAATAGAATAGAATAGACCAGAATTAGTGATTTTGCCGACAATGATGTTCAGGGAGGCAGTTTCCATATCCGGACAGCAGAGTGCATCCGGCATCATGCCGTCACGTTATCGACACGTGAACGCACAATTAGTTTTCTTCTTCTTTGGTTTGAATCTCAATAGAATAATCCCGGCGTTGAATGAGTTGTGTACTTACGAGTACTCCCACGAGTTCTGTCGAACAGTGCATGAGATTCTGAAGGTTTGCGCTTGTAAGACTTTGTCATCTGCTCCATCTCTGGCTGCTTGCTCATCATCTCCTCCATAAAGCCCTACAGAAGACAGTACCAATGAACGTATTTATATTTATGTGAATACATACAATCAAGCAAACATTTTTTTTCTATAACGTGATATAAATACAGTTGCTTGAGCAAACATTTTTTTAAAAATAATTTAACAGAAATCGCACTGCAATAAAATAAAAAATGTAGATGTTCGAGTTCAACCCTTTCAAACCGACAGTAACTCCTCTATCAACATAGGTTCCTCCATTTTCACATTTCGAATTTATCGGGCAAACACCCCATGCTAGGTGCATCAGTGCTCGTGCCAGCCGCTGGAATTCTCGGCAAGAACTATTACGAGCGTAAGCAAAGTTAACATTTTCACAGCAGAGACGTTATCACAAGATTTTTCTTCTTCTTGGTTCTTTCGGTAAGTCACGTAGAATGGAAATAATAAAATAATAAAAATAAAACATAATAAAATTATTCTCACGACGTTTCGGCCACAACGCAAGCAGCCATCCTCAGGTGAAGAACAGGTCTGTCGAGAAGACAGAGTCTGAATGACACAACCCCAGGCTTGGAGCGACTATTTATGCTGGGATGGAGGGGCGAAGAGCACCTTGACAAAATAATTTGCATATCAAGAGGAATTTAGCATATTTATGGGAAATGCAGATATGCGATTAGTACTACTTGTGAAATTCGTAGGAGGTTTGGCGAGGGGTTTAAAGTCATTATGCCCGTGCATTACGCAGGATTAGCAGCATTTAATTATGTTTTATTTTTATTATTTTATTATTTCCATTCTACGTGACTTTACGAAAAAACCAAGAAGATGAATCCCTGCAGTCACGAAAGCTTTAAATCGAAATTTCACAAGATTTTAGTTTTGTCATCACTGCTTCCACCTGGAAGAGCACGCGAGTAAATGCTACGCGATGGGTGCGGGCGGCAGACCTGGTGCTCCGAGATGAGATAGTGCAGAGACTCGATCTGCTCAGGGAGGGTCTCCTGGTCTCTCTGCGCCAGCATCTCCTGCGCTTTCTGCAGCCAGGCGAGCATCTCCTCGAGGAGCTGCGAGTTGGACACGAGCTCCGAGAGGGCGGCCTCCAGCCGCGTCTGGTGCTGCCGGGCCCACGTCATCACCTGCGGCCCACGTCACCCCGAGTGAGTAACAACCCAGCGCGTTCACGGCATTTGCGACGGGAATGTTCATCAATTTAAGTGGGTTTTTTTATGTTAGACAGTCAGCGATTACTACAAGTAGACGAAAACTATCGATCACGATGATGAACAGGGCTGCCCACCAAAGACCATCGCACTCAAATTGTAAATGTTGTGGATTTACTCTCCAACACACTGGTGAGCTGAAGTAGTAACTAATTGGCGTTTTGTTAACGTGACAAATCCCTTACTAATTGGCTGTCAAATGGTACAGCGTTACGACACATTTATACTTACGCGATCTAACCCAAAAACCTTAAATTGTGAATAATATTGGTTGCGAAAGCCTACGTATTCAATTGACTCAAATTAGACAAGCTGACTGACTAAAATAAATAAATGCTGCTTGTTAGCTAATCCAATTAGGGGATATACCATCACAAGCAAAGCAGCAGTGACCAGAAAATGGCATGGCCAGCCGTTCATATTCATAACCATGAATGTGTGTAATATCAGAGAGAATATGTTGTCTGGGAATGTACTGTGTATGTATGTTGAACTTCTTTCACAACGTACGTAGCCAACGTTGCTAATCGGAGGTGTGGGGGAAGGACAACAAACTAAACACTAAAAACTGTTCTAAAGAAACGATAACCGTGGCTTAATTTCAACCGTGTCTGTTCAGGTCAGCAACTCCAGAAAATATTTCTGCAACTCGCACAATACACCCAGTACACGTCTCATTGCATCCGTGATGACTCCTCGTGCTCACTCCAGCGTATCAGCAACCCGGAACATATTCGGGCGAGAAATTAATCCCTGATGGTAATAAAAGTCAATAAACTACACATCGTCACGCACCGTATAGAGACACTGTCTCACCTCCTCAAAGCGGGTGCGAATGATGTTGATCCACTGCTTTATGGCGGATGCAGAGTCCGGGTGGCAGACTGCCAGGATGGCTTCTCCCATGGAAACGGCCCTGATCACCTCCGAGCGCTGAGCTTCCAACCTCTCCGTGAACTCCTACAAAAATCCCCGACCGCCACGGCCAATCAAGACTCACGTGTTTGTATGCATGAAAGAAAATGCATCGTAGTTTTTTTCTGAAGCAAAAGTGTACCGAGGTTTAATGAAGATAACTTTCAAATAGCGGCAAATTAAATCATTGCTTGTAGATGATTTTAAAAGGTAGTAGTTAGTGACGTGTTGCTATAAACCCAGTTAGCAGAGTTCCATTTCTGGCCAAGGCCACCATCATCGGGCGAGCGATGCCTGAACCGGTCCTCAGTCTCCCCTTCACCAACCCGCACTGACCAGCGTGGTGAAGTATGGTCAAACCACCCCCATGACTGATATGGTGTGGCGAGGTCTTAATGAAGCAGTGGATTGGCAAATGACCGTAAAAAATGGAATGATTTATAAATTATATTTTATACAACACAAATCAGCTGATATGCATAACAATTGCTACGAAATCATGGTCATGTTCATTATATCTATCATATTCATGCATTCTATAATATTACAACAACCCAAAGCATTCTCCTACTCAAACGAGCATTGGCGGCAACGTTAGAATAGATCAATTGAGGGGTTAAGAGTAAACGTAGGCGACTGGAGAACAATGTTTGCTGATGTCAATTGCAACTACTACGCTGTTGAGCACCTTGTGTTGGGCGATGAGGAGCCTCAGGGAGTCCTCGTCATCGGGCAGCGTCCCGTGGAACCGCAGCGTCTTCTCAGCCTCCGCCAGAACATCCATGATGCTTTGCACGAGTGTCCGGAACACCTCCGCCTTAACACACAGACACACGCTCGTTTGGTTACCGTCATGCCACGCCCACAGGGCCTGCCCCTGCTGGTGGACGGGCCTCCCATTACAGGCAGCTCGAGGGTACACATTGGCCTACTCTTCTATGCTGGCCAGATATCGTTGAAGACGTGCAAGTGCCGCTCATACTTTACCCCAGCACACGTGACCTGCAACATGCCAATCGGATGACCTAGTCGCGAACGCGCGGGACGGCGCGCTTGCGCGGGGGCGGGGTGGATCGCGCGCCGCATGGCCCGTCACGTACCTGCTTGAGCGCGTCGTCGAGACGAGCCTGCTTGCTGACCGAGAGCTTGCAGACCGTGTCCCAGCGCGCGCTCAGCTCCGCCATCTGGGCACGCACCCACGACGCGTCGCTCTTGCTGCTGTCCAGGAGGTCGCGTGCTGAGCGCTTCAGGGCGTTCACGCTGCTCGCACGCTTGCCCAGCTCCCTTTGGAACACCTGCGAGAGAGAGAGAAGGAGAAACACACATGCGCCCACATTTACATAAGTATTCCTGCACGTGTGCATTTGTATATCGGGAGCGGTAGTGCAGCGGTTAGTGCGCTGCGCTATGAAACCGGTGACTAGAGTTCGATTCGCTCTCATGGCCAACAAGAGGTGATTATCTGAACCTGTCCCGGACATCCCCGAGGTCGACTCAGCCTCAAATAAGTGCCTGCTACGCTGTGTAAACATCGCCACTGTGGAGACAAAAGCGGTCGGGCATGGTGCTGGCCACCCACCTCCTTGTGCGCCATGCCAGTACAGCATGGTGTTCTGTGTAAACAATAAGACTGGAAAGACAAAGGCAGCCAGGCTTGGTGCAGGTCACACTGCCCCCCCCCACACCCCTCTTGTGCACTGTGCTGGCCTTCATAGTTGCTCGCTAACGGCACTCGTCCCAACAGTCAGCATAGGCTACACAGGGAATATGTCTTCATTGGAACGTCCATTCATTCTGGGGTGCCATGGTGGTGAGATGTTAACTACCTCGTCTGATATGCAGGAGGTCCTGGGGCAATCCCAACCCTGACGCTTGTATATTTGGAGTTTGCATTCTCTCTCTGTGGTCGTGTGAAATTTTCTCCGGGGCCTCCAGGTTTTTCCCTTATTTGGACTCAATGTGCGCTTAGAGTATCTGGCTGCTATAAATTTCCAGGCGATAAGCCACTTCGTTGACCTATCATTCATGACAGCCAGGTTGCTTCTGAAAAAAATAAAATTTATTTTAGTTTAGTTACGTTTTGAATGCACGCACCTTGTGGGCGTCGATGAGGGTCATAACGAGCGCTACGTCGCCATGCACCGGCTGGTCCTCAGCCAGGTGAGGCTCCACCTTGTACAGCCAGTCAATGAGCACCTGCAGCGCCTCGGCAAACTGGCCGGAGAAGAGCAGAGCCTCCTCCAGCTTGTGCTGCCTGCGCGTACACACACACACACACACACGAGTAAAACAGAACGGGCGTTAGGCGGGCATAGGGCAATCGCCACTGGTGCCAACATGCAGGGGTGAACAACTGCAGGAGGAGGAACAAAGTTTTATTGCGTCGCTTTTGAAACCCAGTGCTTAGAGTAACGCGATGAACTGCATCGATATGGGAGTTGGACTGTACCCATCGATTAATAAAATGATTACTATACAAATAACTAAATTACAGGATTTAAACATGCATGTTAAAAAAAAACTAACATTAAAAAGGAACACAACTGTAAACATGTATTATTGTTGATGGATTAAGCTAGTTATTGATGTTCGTTACACTATAAATTGAATCTTGATTTGAAGCTTTCGTGACTGCAGGAATCCATACTCTCTGGTTCTTTCGGTAAAGTCACGTAGGAAGACAAAATAATAGAATAAAAGTTAATATGACGCTTCGGTCGCAACACAAGCGTCCGTGCGACCGAAAAGTCGTGCCTTCTTTTATTCTATAATTTTTTCTATCTATGTGACTTCACTGAAAGATCCAGAGAGTACTAAAAATGTAATTTGATGTGGTTGTTAATGCTACCTATTCAGGCAAACTGCAATGTTAGATTAATCGATTTAAATACATTCTTAGACTCACAACACTTGTATCAAATGATGCAATTAAACATCCATTATATTATTAGAGATTTGTATAAGAGAATATACATTCATATGGCACTTGCTTAAAAGCCTCAGCAACTCAAAGCGACTTGCCCTACATTTCATCTCGACCAATCCAATGCCCTGCTCTAGTCTAGCTAAGGGAACCCCAGTGGCAGCTGGCTTTCATCTGCCGGTCGAGGGGCAGTGTTATTTTGTGTCTTTTCCCAATTGTGTATCTTGCGAGTAACTCCTCAAACTTGGAAAATGCATCGCATGCCGCTGGCTTAAATAACAACTGCAGCCACTCGATATTCCACGTACACCGATTCCCCGCCACCATCGGATTAGCAGTTTGACAACGTACGGTGCAAAAAAAGTTCAATGCATACATACACCACAGCGATGACAACAAAATAGAATCGACTCTTGACTCGAATGGCGACACCACTCCCGAGGATAATTCGTTGAATCTCGAGTGGGGGGGGGGGGGAGGGTACGAATCGTCGCAATCCCCGCGCTGCCTACATTACCTCTCGACGGACTTGCCGCAGATCGTATCCCACTTGTCACGCAGCTCGCTCAGCATGTTGTCGAGCCGCTGGTCGTCGTCCACCAGCGTGGCGCGCTCCTTGAGCGTGCGGCCGGTGCGCGTTGTTGAGTCGTAAATGGGCTGCTTGGCTCCCAGGGATTTTTGTATGTCCTGTGGCAGTCGGTGGGGGGGGGGGGGGGGGACACCACAAAGACAAATATGACATGTTATTGTCGTGATGGAGGAGTATCGTCCCCTGTAGAGGTTAGTCAACTTAACACATTTTCTCGTCTGGCAAATGGCCTGATGAAGCTGGTTGTAAACGCAGGCGAAACTTCGTACTCAAATTGTAAATGTTTGTGGGGTTTACTCGCCATCACACCGATGTGCTGAAGTAATAGCTAATTGGCACGTTTTGTTCACGCGACAAACCTTTCTAATTGGCTGTCGGGTGGTGGTGGGTTAACGACACATTTATATATACACGATCTATCTCAAAAACCTTTATTATGAAGCCTTAACAGACATCAGGAGCAAGTGCTATTAGCGAGCACCTGTGAAGGCCGGCACGGCATACGAAGGGGTGGGTGGTCAGAACCAAGCACGGCCACCTTTGACTCCCTCGTGGCAATGTTTCTACAGGATATTTGGCCTACTCTTCAATGCTGGCCAAGGTGTCTTGGAAGAAGTGGGAATACGCCACACGTGATCTGCCAATCGTCTAGTTGTGGTGTACGCATTCATGATGCAGGGAAAAATTAAGAAACATTGAGGAACATTTCCCATAGTTTCAACTGCTGTATTGCGAGTCGAATGTGCGATAACCATTCAACCTAAGCAGCATCCCCCAATGTTCGACTTTTAAAAATAATTAGTATAATTTCATTAATTATGTGCATAGATTGACCCCTAGCATGGGAATGTGGAATTTCCACCAATGACTAAAGGATTTCAACACGGATGAACAACCACTCTGTTTTGAGTGTCTGACACTTTGACTGCTTGATATTGGCATAAATTGACATGAATAATTTACTTATTTAACCACTAATGCTTCAGTGAGTGCAAGTTTGTCCATTATACAACCACTGTTGACCTCCCCATTAAGTGGTCTACATTTTATTGACCTTGGAGGGATGATGGCTTGAGTCAACCTCCACACAGGATTTGAACTCGTAAACCTTCCGCGTTGTTCACTCAATTGCCGAGCCACCTGGCCAGAATATTGTCTGGCTACTATACATTGTATATAAATAAAAAACAATAAATAATAATTGACGTGCCTTGTGCCGGCCAAGCATGAGTTTAATCCGCTCCGGGTCGTTGCCACAGTCCAGCTCATGGTCGAGTCCTTTCTCTGCCCCCTCCAGCCAGTCCATGAGTTTAGTCCAGGACTCGTGAAACTGAAAAAAACACAACCCAACAGTAATACTTAAACAGTGTGAACACAGAAACATACATTTGGGATTTCTAAAACGCTCAAATGTGAGTTTATTTCAAAACACTGCACAAAATAAGGTGATAACATTGAAGAAGGGATGGGATGGCCTACAATTAAAAGCTATGTTTTTTAATTATTATCGTTGCAATTTTTTTGTGTTGAATAGGGGCACGTTATGCAGACAGAGTGCTTTTGCCAATAACTTGTTGCATTTGAGCAGTATTTTATTTGTTGAAACAAATATTGATGAACAATATTGGTCTCGAAAGCTCTTAGGCTGTCACACAATATAACATTTCATTTCAATATAGAAAAACGGATGTCGATTATTTACTTATTTTGATACATGGCAATGTCTTTGATAGAAAACGGATTCGCTATCATCAATAACTATCTAGTTGCTCTCTGATGTGTTTTTCCAGTTGTGAAGCGTGTTTTGTTCATGATGGCCGGACATGCAGCAGCACTGTTTCTTCACGTTATGAAGTTCGTAAAGAATCTCCCATCACGTGGGGCAAAACACAAGACATTGCACAGAACAACAGGCGGTACAAGCCATGAACACATCAGAGAGCCGTACGGCCGCACAAAGGCCAATGTCTACCTCGGTAGCAAAATATCAAACCCGCATTATTATCGGCAGAAATCGGCGCACCTGGAAATGCCGGAGCTGCACACGCATCAGTAGGGGACCAAGAACACACAGAGTCCCCCCCCCCCCCCCCGCCCATCTTTGTCCAGAACGAGCGGCGAGCGTTACTGCGCTGCGCCGCCACGCATGTTGCCGCATGTGACGCGAACCTGCTTGGCTCGCTTGCGAGCGTCATCGAGCGAGCGGCCACGCTCCAGCGTGGATTGCATGATGTGCTCCCAGCGCGCCTGCACGCTCAGCAGCAGGTTCTTGATGAGCGCCACGTCCTGCTTCTGGCTGAAGTACTTGAGGTGCGTGCCCGTCTTGTCCAGCTCGATGATCTGCTCCCGATGCGTGTTCACTTCGTTCGCGAGCATCTGCTCCCCCCCCCACCCCGAGGTGCAAAGTTTTTATGCGAATCGTCAGCGCTCGGTTCGTCGCATCGACCGGCGTTACTCGTGTACACTGAAAATCGCGAACGCTATGAATTAACGTGGGCGGATATACACTCTAAGCTATAGAAGGGAACATCTGGCAAAGCAATGCTGACACTGTAGTTATCAGAGTGTCAATGCCGCGCAGAAACATTAAGTGTCACGCAGTCGCACGGCAACTAATGTGGCCTTGGATTGTATGTTCCAGAATTGGCATGTACATTTTCAGTTGTATAAACTGTGGTGTTCCACCTCATATTGCTTTTTATATAGAGAGTTTGTGTTTAATAAAACATTAAAAAGCAATATTAATAACATCCCAAGCTATGCATAGACTGATTTTGGTCTTTATGGCAAACAAGTGAGGTTTTGTTAAGATAACACATATACACAGGGGCACCCTCGCAGCCCAAGATTTCGACGACACGCTGTTTAATGTGGAACGATAACGTTGGCGCGGTAAAATACTACGTGCATTACCTTGTGCTCATCGATCTGAAACAGAACAGAGTCCAGGATGAGGCTGGCTGGCGATAGTGTGTTCAGGTTGTTCTCCATCTGCGTCAGCCAGCCGATGAAATCTTGCAGAGAGTTGTGGAATTCAATCGCCGTTTTCAGAGCGGTCTCCAACTTGGCCTGCCCACAGCAATTACGCATCAAGAAAACCGACAGCCATCATCACGTTAATGTTCAATTAAAATGTATCCCATCCCTTCTTCGGTCCAAATAAATATATAACGGTTATTGAATGTTGAACATTAACACAGGATATTGAAAATTAACACAGGATTCATCTTCTTGGTTCTTTCGGTAAAGTCACGTGACTTTACCGAAAGACCCAAGAAGATGAATCCCTGCAGTCACGAAAGCTTTAAATCGAAATTTAACACAGAATGTTGAATGTTGAAAATTAGCATAGGATGCTATGCAGTTTAAAAACAAAACACGCACTCAACCATAATTTTTACAAAGATGCTCATTATTTAATCATCAACCATTAATTAAGAGAAAATGTGTGCCTACTTTAGCAGGTTTCACATTTAAAGGAATGTTAACCTTTATTCACTGGCTAATATTTCTCCATTAAATGCCTACGTAGATAAATTATCGCATGAACCCTCTAAATTGCAGTCATTAAGTAAAATCATTCCCAATGATGCAGCGCCATGCGAGGCTCACCCTTCTCTCGTTCAGCTTGTTGCCGACGATCTTCCACTTGTGCTCCAGGTCCTGAATGCCGTACTTCAACGTGGGTTCACCAGATTGCTCATTCTGCATCCGCTGACACTGCTCCAGCACCTTGGTGTACAGCCCGTGCTTGACCTGGTACTCCTCGCACATCTCCTGCAGGGTGGCACAAATATGTCGAGGACACGAGAAATTCATCATTGTACTTTTGTGTCGCGTGGTTGAGAGCGCCGAGCCAACAGCACAGCGGTCAACGTAGATTCGAATCCGGGTAATCACTGGTGATTAACGAGGGTTATTCTTTGCATTCATGAAGGTGTATATATGTATGCATGTTGAACTTCTTTCGCGCTGGTACGTAGCCAACCGTGCTCATCGGAGGTGTGAATTTTTTTGTTAATCGTCTCAGACCAGTCACCAATGGGCAGCACGGAATGCCTAATCATACCACATTCGGTGTTTCAATTAATTCAGCGCATTTCAACCAAAACATTATTTTCACACGTGACAAACGCACTTTGAAAATCATATAAAGAGGGTATAACCAAGTGTGGATAAAGAGATTTATGCAAGTGACTTGAGCAACAGGTCTGTAACGTCACCTTCCTGTGCCATTCTCTAACCACACGTGGTACCACCGCTGTCTGCGCGGGTACTCGGTGGAAATGTAATAGTCTCATAACAAGACAAAGATGGTACGGTGGCGAGATGCTAAGTGCCTCGCTGGGATTTTTTCCCCTCCAAATTTAGAATCAACGTCACGCCTTCAAGATTATTTGGCTGCTATAAATGTCCACGGGATAAGCCACTTCGTTGAGCTATCATTTGTGGGCAGGTCGCTTCTGAAAAATAAGCTGAGCTCCGCGGGCTTTACCCGGTAAAATAAAATAAAAGAATAAAATACTTGCACTACTATCGCATTTTTGTATCGGTTGTTGTTGGAACTTTCTGACGCACATCAGATTTGATTCCTTGAAAAAGGTATCTATTTGGTGTTTGAACATCTAAACACCTGTTTTATTGCCACAAAGGGTAAAACCTATTCTTATTCCTTTCATATTTCTAACCCACCCCTACTGGACAACCGTGAAAGAGAGCTTTCTAGCTCATCGGATACCTCCAGCATAAATAAAGATTCCGATTCTGACATTTTGGGGCGGCGGTACAGAATTTCAATACAACTTAATGATAGGAAAAGAGTGTAAGTGTGCCGGGGGGGGGGGGGGGTGGCACCACGATTGGGCCGTGATGGGGGTGGGGGCATGGATGTCGGTAGGTGTACCATGTGAGTACTGAGCTGCTCCTTGGCAGTCTCGGGAAGGCCCCCGACCGGCTTTGTGTCACTCAGCTGGTTCTCCATGTCGGACAGCCACTGCAGGAGCCCATCCATCTCACCCTGAAAGCCCTGGGCCTGTAGGCGAGAAGCAACGTGCGTGCAAAGTCATCATCACTCTGTTGGCAATGTCACACCTGCAATTGCATCAGTCATTATGGAGTGGACCATTTTTATTCTAACTTACCAGTTAAAGAGGGTTCAAGTCTAATTGTGGTTTAAGAGACCATCTGCAAGGCATAGACATATTAACCTCCCCCCCTCCTATTCTTGGTTCTTTTGGTAAAGTCACGTAGAAGGGAAATAATAAAATAATAAAAGTATAAAACAATAAAATTCTCACGACGTGAGAATGCGCTGTGACCTAAGCGTGAGTATGTACGTTGAACGTCTTTCGCACCGTACGTAGCCAGCCATGCTAATCGAGAGGTGCGGCGAAACAACAAACTAAACACAAAAATCAGTTCTAAAGAAATGTATTTTCAATCTAGATTTAAAAGACCTGCAGTGTGGCGGTTAACCCCTTTCCCGTTTCGAGAAGTCTTCAAGTTGCAGGGTGGGTCCCGTTCACCTCTGAATCTCGCAAAGTGCAAGCGGCTCGGCGTTAATTGTATTTAGAGAGGCACTGTACTCATCGCAGAGAACTGTAGTGACACAACCGCACTCTACGATAGATGGCACTAAACTGCACCACACGACCATCCTGCATGGCCTTGTGAAAAGCCTCGGTACTGATAAACCTATTTTAGTTTAGCTTTTCTTCCGGTTTTGTGCGTTCCGTCATCAGACTGGGGAAAGGGTTAACACGCAGTGCGGACGCCATAACGGCGTCTCGGGCAGGTTGCGCGTACCTTGCGCAGGGAGCCCTCCAGCTGGGCCTGCCGCTGCTCGGTGCAGCTCAGCACGCTCTCCCAGCGCGCGGCGAGGTCGTCGAGCCGACCCTGCAGGCCGCTGGCCTCGGCACCGGAGCTCGAGAGCACGAGGTCCTGGCCGGCGCGCTGCACTGTGCCCACCGTCGACTGGTGCGCCAGCACGTCGTTACGCAGCACCTGCGGGGGGGTGGAGGAGGACCACGGCAAGCGCGGGGAGTCGCTCGGGCGTCGTCGGGGGCCGCGTCGAGCGCAGGATCCGAGCCAAATGCTTGTGTCTACTACTACGGGGAGATCGGTGTGACGTGAGCCACGGCGGAGTCACTTGCGTAGCTGCATCGTGGAGGCCGTCTTCTGATAAGCTGGCCTAAGTTTGGCGTTGCATTGACGTGAGCTGTCTGATAAACTACGCAAAAGGAATATGACAGTGACTTGGAATTTAGGGACGTTTTGCGTACATTTATACCAACACTAAATGACCCAAAATTCATTCACATCCTTATTGTATTTAAATTGTTTTAAACATATGATGTATTTATATTTGTTCCTTGTTTTGATTTTGCCGTTAACTTGTCTTAATTTTCACTTGGAACCAGTTTTTTGTTTTTCTGCACGTTCTCTTTCAGTCTTTTGGCATTACTTGTTTAATTTCTGCATTTTAAATTGTTTATCCCGTGGAACCCGTTTGCTGTACGATGCGCGTATTTTAATCCATCTCTCGCTCGCAAAAAATTGTTCCTATCTTAACGGGCTCTTGGATAAAAAAAACCAAAGACAATCCATCAGTAGGTAAACTTGAGAAGGTGATGATGACAGAGAGCACGTAAAATCCTGGGCAAGACAACTCCGCTCCCACACGTTTACCGATTCGAAATATATCCGTGCGACGGTGAAAGGGGGTTAAACGAGGCCTGAAAGTGAGGGGGGGGTTTGGGCGCGTGCAGGGATTGTGGCAACCAAAATAACAAGAAGATGCATTTTTTCAAATTCGGTCCAAACAAAAAAAAACTGCAATATTTCAAGAGCCGCAATGCACGTGAACAACGTCACGAAGCGGTTGCTTAAAGAGCCGCACGCGGCGTCGGAGCCCCAGGCTGCCGACCCGCCGGGCGTGTGCGTGTCAAAGCGTTTCCGCGTACGTGGTGTTTGGCCAGCTCGATCTCGATGGCCTTGGGTTCGTTGGCGACGGGTTTCTGCTCCTCCAGGAGGCCCTCGGTGTGCTCCAGCCAGGTGAGCAGCTCGTCCAGCGCGTGCTGGAACTGCCCCAGGGCCAGCAGCGCCGCCTCCATCTTGTGCTGCATTGCACGCGGGATCGCACGCTCGTCAATAGAATGTTCCGGAACACGGGGGGGTGGGACTTCACATCATGACCCCCACGGACGGCACTGCAGTGCTTGACGCACAAGCTGGGGGATTACAGGGCATGGATGTCACGGTGGCGAGATGTTAACTACCTCGCCTGGTATACAGGAGGTCGTGGGATCGATCCTGATCCTGACGCCTGGATATTTGGAGTTTGCATATCTCTCACTGGTTGGTCGCTTGGATTTTTCTCCAAGTCCTCCGGCTTTTCCCTCTCCATTTAGAAACATCTTTTTAAGAGCATTTGGCTGCTATAAATTTCCACATAAGCAACTTCATTGAGCTATTATTTGTGGCCAAGTCGTTCCTGAAAAAGAGCTATATAGCTCAGTGGGGCTTACCTGGTAAAATAAAAATAGTTAAGTTTTAGTTTAGTTTCTGAGGTTGTCCTGTACAGGGTGCTCATGGTGTATTGAGAATTTCTGGTTGTGCCGCGTGTTTTTCGGCTTGATTGCCGACGTTTTACTCCGCGTGCTGGGAGCATTCGGAATTCAATTTCAGAAGTATCTCCCGGCACGTGGAGCGAAACGTCGGACATCACGCCGAACAACACGCGCGGTACAATCCAAAAACACACCAGAGAGCGAAAGGTACTTAAACAAATGCCGCGAAAATTGCAGAGGTGGCGGTACCAGCCAATCAATCAGATGGGGTGATTGTTATTCCGATCTACAATTGTCAATAAAAATGCGTGAGTGACCTCAAGCCTCTTTCCGCTTTGCCCTCCACCACCCAGCCACGTTTGACATCATGAGCAATACCTGCTTTGTCCACCGGGCAGTGCACTATTCACAGCCATTGGTACGGAGACAGTTTGCCGTCACGGTTTCAGAACTCGGTCAAGGTCATAGGTCATGCATGGCTAATCATCAATACCAGACGTTCCCGGTTCCTTCTCTTTCTCTTCAAATGAAAATCACACAAGTGCTGTGACTGAGCGGCAGGCTGACAACGACACTTCCTACAAGGACGCTCACAATTCATAGAAACATTAAAATGATAGACATCAGATTTGAAGTTTTCGTGACTGCAAGGATTCATACGCTTTGGTTTTTTTCGGTAAAGTCACGTCGGTAAAAAATTTTAATAAATAAAATCACGACGTTGCGGGCGCAACACAAGCGTCCTTAAGCGGTTGTGCTTTCGCTAAGTTGTCCCCACCTGAAGGACGCTTGTGTTGCACCCGAAACGTCGTGATTTAATTAATTAAATTGTTTTACCAACGTCACTTTACCGAAAAAAACCAAGAGTATGATAGACGTCACTTTCCCAATTTCATGCAACGATTAGGTCAACAAAACATTATCTCATGAGATCGAACCAGCCACACTTTGCATTGCAAGTCAATTCATACACTTCCCATTGAGTCTCATTCGACATGCAGAACCCTTAATAGAGCTGCAAACTCGGTTAATGCCCTTGCACCTGTAATGCGAGCGTATGCTGGGGCTTCGCCGCCCCAGCCCCTAAGCCAACCAGGCGACACGAACCATCGGGGGGCAGGGTTCAAGGGCGGAGCCCGCGGGCGCTAGGGGGTGGTATTATCTGGAAAGTTCTTAACGAGTGTGGTGAAGGGCGGAGTCTGGGTGACGCGGGAAGGGGATATAAGGGGGAGCCGGAAGGGGCTCGGGGTCAGTTGGTGGGAGCTGGAAGCTGGGCCACGTCGCGGGTCTCCGCGAGCCATCGGCCACGTGGCGACGCGGAGACGGCTCCCAGCGCGCCGTCTGCCAGCGGTGCGCGGGAGCGGAGAAGCGAGAGCGAGAGAGCGGCGCGGGAGCGGGATGCCAGCTCACGCGACGCGCCGCGGAACGACCGGGAGAGCGGAACGTGAGCTGTCCAGATAACGAAGAAATAAACAGACGGAGACCCAGTCGCTTGTCGTCGACCTGGTTGATTACACACCTGTCTGCTGAGTATTTTGGTGTCGAGGGTCTCCCACTGCTCCTTGAGGTCGCGGAGCGGCCCCGCGATCACCATGCGGTTCTCCTCCTCCTTCACCCTCTTGAGCATCAGCTCGCCCTGGTGGCTCAGACGCTCCATCTCGATCTGCTGTTGGTAGCTCTCGGTTTTCAGTTGCTGCAAAAAAGGGAACGGGAAACATGCAAGTAATAAGAACATCATTCTATGCCAATTATATAGCTAAAATGCATCTTCCTGGATATGAAGTGGTATTTTTAACAATATAAAATGCATTATTGTGTCCTGTTCATTCATTACTCATCATGTTCACGGTTGTTAGATATTTCGCGTATTTGTTTACAAATTTTATTGCATTGCTTTGCGGTTCAGGTCTCCCCTGCCGAAGAGACTCTTGCTCTCAGAAGGTAACAATAAAGGATACGTACATCTATACATACTCTCGACAAACACCATCAGACAAAAAGACCAGATCGAGGGGAATTGTGGTGAGCGTTGGCCGAAGCCGTGAGGATGCCGCTCACGCGGCGGAGTGGCGAATGAGATTCAGAGACGCCACCCCCGAATAAACGCGTCGAGAAGAAGGAGGAGAAGGAAGAGAAACTCTAACGCAGAGAAATGTGCGGCCCCTCACCTTGAGATCCTCCATCTGCCGCTTGACCGTCTCCAGGTCGGTTCCGACCGGCGGCAGGTTTTCCATCTCCGTGGTGGCGTTCTCCACCCAGTCGAACATGCTCTGTCGAGTTACGCAGCGCGCACAGTTATCGTGCGTCAGAATCAGAATCTTTGAATTTGGACTGGAGGAATGCGATGAGCTACGAAAGCCCTCTTTCAATTAAGACGTCCAGTGCCGCAGCGCAATCGCAAATGTGGACCGGCTAGGTACACCGAGTGCCGCACGTAGACAGTTGCCACTGCTGGGGGAGGTGGGTGGGGGACGAGGGGGATGCGAGGTGGGGGGGGGGTACCCATTTGGCTCGACTGCAGCAAGGCACTGGAATGGTTGAGATGAGATGTAAGGCTCTCTGAGTTGCTGGGGCATTCAAGTGCCCGGTGGACGCAACATTCGTATGCGTGCAACCCTCTTCGTCAATCCACTGCTGGATGAGGGTTCTCCCCACACCATGTGGGTCGTGGCGGGTAGATAAAAGCTGAGTGCGCGTTTCATTTCGCTTTGCTCAGGCACAGCACGAAAACACCTCCTCAGAGACGAGAAGCCGTCAGTTAATGAACAAAACCCGTCGATTGTTAATTATGTTAGGCTCAATCTTACTGCTCTATTTAAAAAAATGATTGCCATTGTCACAAAATGGTGTTGTTATGAAACAGTTTTGATAGTATATTATGCGAAAGCATGAACGAGTCTTCGAGAGAAGCCTAACAATATGTTGGCGAGACCTTTCATTGGCCTAATTCTGTCAGGATTTCGACCGACCTTTGCACAAGCGGTGCAGGCAAGCGAACAATGCAATGGCACATGCAAGAGTTGTGGAGGAATGAAGGAATGTATGAGCTGCCCCACCTGCAATGCATCCTGGTATTGCATGGCCGTCTTCATAGCCTCCTCCAATTTGTCCATGCGGTCCTTCCAGCATTTGTTCAGCCGATCCCAGGAAGAATTCATCTTTAAAAAACAGTGCATAGTGGCAGTGCCTTCAGTACATAAAACAACAATTTTTGATCGATTAATACATTCCATGACATGTAAATAATTCCAAGGGACTTTTTAATCGGCACAACAGACATTGTTTGATCAATTGTATTATTTTATTATGTTTTATTTTTATTATTTTATTATCTCCCTTCTACGTGATTTTACCGAAAGAACCAAGAAGATTGTTTGATCAAATAACGTAAATGTGTGTGTGTGACGTACTTTGGATTTCATGTTTAAAATTTAAAATGAAGTTTGGGTGTGTAATCATACCTCATCGATGCTCTTCTTTACTTCAGGCTTGTCCGGTTCTCCGCAAGCCGATATCAGATTTGTTCCCAGATACCTCAGAATCTCAAGGTCCTCTTGGAATCCATCGATGTCATTCTTGTTAGCCTGATTGATATACAACAGGTTGTCTGTTAGTACTGCTGCATTTCATTTTATATCTATGACTTTAATAAAACAATATAAATGTTATTAAACCGCCCACACAAGGCATTAGAGTGGGTATGCAGATGTCAGTAAATTAGTTTGAAGACCAACAACTGGATGGTGGGATACTGGAAGAGAAAACCTTGAGGGTTTGACATTGACTTCACAATACCTAGGTAAGCTACTACGTAGGATTTACAGTTGTGCTGTATATCTCTCCGATTCGCTTCTGGGTCGTACCGCGTGCCGTTCGCCACCACGTGCAGCGAAACGTCAGACACCGTGACAAACAACACGCGCTAACGACCCAATAACACATCAGAGGATCACGTGACAGGGTGTGGCGGTATCGATAGCGCTGGCCACGACGGGACCTTGCCCTTGACCCACAGCGGCGCGCGCGTACCAGCATGTACTCCTCCTGCTGCTTGATGAGCGACGGGTCCACGCCCAGCTCCTCCAGGTCCTGCATGTACTCGCGCGTCTCCTTCAGAGTGGCCAGCATGGTGCCCAGGTCGGTCCAGAAGCGCTCAGCCAGATCCAGCACGTCCAGGAGACGGTTCTCCCGCTCCTCCGAGCGAGACTGGATCTCCTCCCACAGCGACAGCATCTGGCCCAGCTTGTCCTTGATGGCTGCGTCATTACAAAGGGGGGGAGTGGGGCGGCCAGCGACACACGCTCATATATGTATGCGTGTATGTTTAACTTATTTCGCATGGTACGTAGGCAACCGTGATAATCGGAGGTGCAGGGGAAGGACAACAAACGATGATTCTATGCATGTCTATGGGTCTCTGTGTCAGTCTATGTATGTAAAAATAATTTATTTCGCACCGTATGCAGCCAACCGTGCTAATCGGAGGTGTGGGGGGGGAAGGACAACAGACTTGAAAGTGTGTAGCTCCAGTGGCTTCCTAATTACAGAAGAGCGCAAAAGCGGATCTGAAAGAGTGCGATGCGGTGACCGTCTTTGTTCAACGGGTTAACCAAAAGCCGCTGCTGAGAGCATGACTGGAGTTGACGTGTAAAGCCATCTCGTGAATACACTCATGGACGAGGGGCATCGCCACACCGTGTGGGGGTCATGGGGATCATTTGGTCAAACGTTCATCACACTGGTCAGTGTAGGGCGGTGAGGACGGGGAGAACAAAAGCACAGTGCAGCAATGGATTTTGACAACCTAGTGTGCATGGCGATTGCCCGCCCCAAGCACTAAGATCAACCCTGCCTAGCTCATGAGGTCGAGTGCTTTCTTGGTGATTGGGTCATTGGTAGAGGCTCATATTGGTGCACGAATGCAATGATAAGCTAATTTAAATTAATTCTTACATGCAGAATACATATGTGCATTCTTCAAGAAAGGTAATATTTAGAATGTATACACCATATATAAAATGTTTTGGTAATTGTATAGTCTAATGGAGAGAACGAAACTGTACAATACAAACTAGATGGCAAAAATGATAATAATTGATGTTTTAATCAAATCGTGGTCTATAATCGTGTCAAGTCTGTGAATCCCTGTAGCACGGTGATTCGTTACAGGCCTAGCAACTATTATACTGAACCATGCTTTGTGCAAAATTGTAAACGTCATTACAAATTTTCAACCTCACCAATGCAACCATTAAATATTCAAAATAAAATATTCGCATGCGTGCTTATGCAATTGACATCAAAAGAATACACAAATTACTCTCTACAAAAAAACAACTCCCAAAGGCAGCAATAATCGAGCCAAATTTTGTTCACTGTTTTAACGCAACAGGGACGTTGAAGTGTCGATGCCCATGTTCCATACTGGGCATCTGGGAAAAAGAGCCTTGTGGCTCATTGGATTCCTCAAGTATATAAATAAATATTCGGATTCCAACAAGGGTGGCAAAGTAAACAAACCTTTAGCATTGAGCTCCTTCTCGGCGCCCCCGGAGAGGCCCACGAGCTCTTCGCCGCTCTCCTTGAGGAGGTTGAACATTGGCTGGAGCTTCTCCAGCTCCAGAGCGATGTTCTTGTTCTCCGCGAGCTGCTCCTTGATCTTCTCTGCCTCGGCCGGAATGGGTGGCGGCATTCGCAGCCGCTCGATGATCCTGCCCAGGCCTTCCAGCATCACGTCCATCTTGTCGTGAAACTAGAGCCAAAGTGGACCAAGAGGGCATGTAATTTGTTTTTGCGCGTGTATAAATATATACGAGTACTTGTCAACAGAAGAAAAAAACAACAACAACAGACAACTGCCTCTTAAAGGAGTTTGCAAAACTAGCAGCACTTTGCAGATGGTTATGTTGCGAATAACGGGCAGACAGAAATACACTTACCTCTTTAATCTGAACATCAGTAGAAGCCATTCAGAGATCCAAGCAGAAGAATGCACAGAAAAGCAAACAGCGTAGCGATGTGATAGATTAAGTCCTCATGCAACACAGAATTCAAGAAATCAACATGTTAGGCAAGAAGATATTTGCGAGGCATGCAGTAGACCAGGATCACATCATGGCAGCTTTTAATTATAATGTGTTAATTGCAAAGAATGCTTCACTGCCATTTGTTTAATGTTCCATCGGACATGGTTGGATATGCCTGAAATCGCATTTCAGATGGTCGGAGCACATGTATTATTGTGGATCATAGCATATAGAATGAAATATTGTCCTTGTGAATTTGGTACAGAGCCAGATATAAAATGGAAATGAAATTAATCACGAAGGGATTATCAGCCTTAAGTTTAAACCAAGATTTATGTTAGCGGGTGATTGTTGTTATTGTTTTATTATTTAACGAATAAATGATCAGCAGACAACATTTTAAATTACGCATATATGAATATCAGGACGTGAAATTAGTAGCATAGTAAACACTAAAACTGGTGACTTGTATCGTAAGACACAAAAACCAGCAAATACAGTTGCTGGCTATTAATACAAGAGGAGCATGGGAAAGGTACATAAAGACAAAGTTTAGTTTTCACAAAACAAAAGACATGGCACATTCACTCGAGTTATTCAAACAATGAATAGTTTCACGCATCCATCATCTTTCACCAATCACCATACTAGGCAGAGTAAACTAAAATCTACACTGGGACTGTATGGCATAGTCAACACTTTGCGCCTACATTTTCCAACGGTACGTGGTTGACAATTGTTAAACATTTGAAATAAGTACCATACCAGGAACTCGGTAAGTCGTTGTTTTAACATCCAGCTCAATATAATTATACTTGTGTGCACGTAACATTCTGGTAATAAAACCAGTTCTTTATACTCCGCCCCACTGTCCTCCTTGCGAGTCACGCGGCGATGGCGGAGACGCAAATACAATGAGGCGCCACGGTGGCGAGACGTTAACTACCTCGCCTGGTATACAGGAGGTCGTGGGTTTGATCCCGACCTTGAAGCCTGCTTATTTGAAGTTTGCATGTTCCCTCTCCCTGTGGTGGCGTAGAATTTTCTCCGGGTCCCCCCAGTTTTGTCTCTCTACCTTTAGAATCGACGTGCTTTCACGAGCATTCGGCTGCTATAAATGCCCACGCGATAATCCACTTTCTCACCGAGCTGTCACCTGTGGACTGGCCGCTTCCGATAAAAAAAAGAGCTATGGAGAGCTCAGTGGGCCTTACACCTGGTGAAATAAAAATAGTGAAAGAAAAAAAAAAGTAAAATTAAGGGGGCGGCCCCGCACCTGCGACGACTGGGACAAGGCCTCATCCAGGCCGAGCGCTCGCAGCCGCACGTCCTCGCGGATCGCCTCGAACAGCCGCTCGGCGCCCGTGTACTTCTCGCGCAGCGCCGGCCCCTCCGACAGGCTCAGCTCCTCCAGCTGCGGACCGATCTTCTTCAGCTTGTCCACGTACGGCTTGTGCTCCGCGATGGACTCCCGCAATTGCTAAGAGGGTGGAGCCATGGGGAAGAAAGGGGCCCCACGGTGAGACTTGGGAACAGTGGATGGTCAGCGGCAGCTCAACGTTAGCGGCCGGTGGAGTGGGTGAGCAACAATTAAAAAAAAACTCGAAGGTAAAAATTAGAAAATTATCATTGGAGTTTTAAATCGTATCGTAGCCGTTGATCACGTCAAGTTAATGCATCGCTGGAGTGCCAATAAATAATACATATTAATTGAGACTTTAACAAGCCTTGGATACGTGACATTGCATTGCAATATAAAGGCAATTGAACACTTAATTCTGTGAATGCTAAATGCTACAAATTTAAAACCCAAAATAAAAAAAAACGACTCGATATTACTCCTGATGTATCTTTAAGTGTATTCTAGTTGACAGTGTCCAACTTACTTCATTGCTATCTAAAGTCATAATGTACTTGGGGGGAATGGGCTTGCTTGGTTGGTAATCCCAATCAAGAAGTGGCTTGCCCTCTAAAATTAGTTCAAGGTTCAAGTTTAATTGCTTTAACCAAGTGAGAACCCAAGTGACCAGGATAGTCTCATTAACACGAGACACCTGGGTCACCAAAATGACAAAAATTCTAAATATTGTAACGAAGCAAATAGAAATTGAAAAAAAAGCCACCTAAATTTAAGACAGGGTCTCACGTTACGTTATATCATTGTACCTTCCCTTAATGATATAAATTTGGCTATGTCCAGTGGCTCCATCGAACTAACTACAAGCAACAAATGACGCTCGTCGTTTCTGACAGCTGTTCGCGCGAGCACGAATGCACGACTGCATGTATGCTGAACTTCTTTCGCACCGTACGTGGCTGCCAACCATGCTCATCGGAGGTGTGGGGGAAGAACAACAAACTATGGGTCTCTGTGTGAGTCTATGGGTCTCTGTGTGAGTCTATGGGTCTCTCTGGGAGTCTATGGGTCTCTCTGGGAGTCTATGGGTCTATCTGTGAGTCTATGGGTCTCTGTGTGAATCTATGGGTCTCTCTGTGAGTCTATGGTTCTCTCTGTAAGTCTATGGGTCTCTGTGTGAGTCTATGGGTCTCTGTGTGAGTCTATGGGTCTCTGTGTGAGTATATGGGGCTCTGTGTGAGTCTATGGGTCTCTGTGTGAGTCTATGGGTCTCTGTGTGAGTCTATGGGTCTCTTTGTGAGTCTATGGGTCTCTCTGTGAGTCTATGGGTCTCTCTGTGAGTCTATGGGTCTCTCTGTGAGTCTATGGGTCTCTCTGTGAGTCTATGGGTCTCTCTGTGAGTCTATGGGTCTCTCTGTGAGTCTATGGGTCTCTCTGGTAGTCTATGGGTTTCTCTGGGAGTCTATGGGTCTCTGTGTGAGTCTATGGGTCTCTGTGTGAGTCTATGGGTCTCTGTGTAAGTCTATGGGTCTCTGTGTGAGGCTATGGGTCTTTCTGTGAGTCTATGGGTCTCTGTGTGAGTCTATGGGTCTCTCTGGGAGTCTATGGGTCTCTCTGGGAGTCTATGGGTCTCTGTGTGAGTCTATGGGTCTCTGTGTGAATATATGGGTCTCTCTGTGAGTCTATGGGTGTCTGTGTGCGTCTATAGGTCTCTCTGTGAGTCTATGGGTCTCTGTGTGAGTCTATGGGTCTCTGTATGAGTCTATGGGTCTCTCTGTAAGTCTATGGGTCTCTCTGGGAGTCTATGGGTCTCTGTGCGAGTCAATGGGTCTCTGTGCGAGTCTATGAGTCTCTATGTGAGTCTGTGTGTCTCTGTGTGAGTCTATGCCAGTGTGTTGAACTTCTTACATATTGTACGTAGCCAACTGTCCAACTGTGCTAATCGGAGGTGCACCCCCACCCCTCCACCTGATTCCCAGCTGGCCACCCCTGCCACCGCAAACTGCACAAAGCCGCAAAGCGCTCACCCGCAGCTCCTCCTGCTGCTGCCGCAGGGTCTCCTGCTCGATGGAGGGCGGGGGCAGGTGGCCGAGCGACTCTCTGGTCTCGACCAGCCAGGGCATGAGCTCCTCGTAGGTCTCCCAGAACTGGGTGGACAGCAGCTGGGCGCGCTCCAACTGGCTGAGGCGCGCGGTGTTCAGCCGGCTCACCACGTCGTAACGCTCCAGCAGGGACGCGAGCTTGCTCTGCAGGGGACCATGGCACAAATCCCACCACGTGACCGGCCGCACCGCACGATCCCTGCTTAGGGTTTGAATCCGAACTCGTTCGTCACGTTTCTCCCCCATTCGCCAACAACAGGTTGGATAGTTCTTCTGGCTAGTTGTTACTGTTACTGACCATTTGTTAAGTGTTGTTGCTGGAAAAGGTTTAACATTTAAAAAAATGTTGATTCGATTAATTGACTCTTACTTCGTTGGATGCACAGTTACATCAATGCCCTATCTGTACATTTCATGCAAGTTTAATTAATTTTGTGGGACGATCATAACTTGGCGTTTGCAAACAGGGAGTTCACTTGAAACGCCGCCAAACTACATAGGGTTTGGAATGCAAGAACTTGTATAAGAGTATGAAAATAAAATAATCAACGATCTGATGCCCTTCATTTTATTTAAGAATAATGTTGATCTAAACCAAGTATGGAAAATACCTCCATGGCAGCTTTCTCCTCTTCACTGCATGAGACTTTCAGCTCATCGCCAGTCTTCACCAACTGGTCAATGGAGTCCTTGTGTCTAAGAATGTCGATGGTGAACGCCTGAAGGCAAAAACAGAAGAAATAAATAAGCATCCATTCAAATGATGAGCAGTTAAAACGTCGATCCAGCCAGGTGGCTCAGTGTTAGTGGTAGAGCGAGCGGCTTGTAATCAGGTTGCAAGTTCAAATCCTGGTTGGGCGGTTGTCTCTGCCCACCATCTCTCTGGAGTCGGTAAAATAAGCACCACTTTGCGTGGAAGTCAAAAGCGTTTGTCCAACGGGTAGACTCATCCCTGCCATATGAATGTGGAGTTTCCACAATTTTCTCAGGGTTGTAAACAGGAGATGAGCACTGCCTCGATGCGCATTTGAGCACGAATCAAATTGACTTTTGACAATAGTTCTAAAAGGCAAAACATGGAAATCAATGGGCTCACATTTTTTCCCATCAGCAATAGCATGTTAAAAAAGAAGTTAATAATTCAGAGAAATACAAAATAAAATAAACTTCTACGTAGTAATGCCAGGTGGACTGAAAGAGGCAACTGTAATACAGCCTTCTTGGTTCTTTCGGTAAAGTCACGTAGAAGGGAAGTAATAAAATAATAAAAATAAAACATAATAAAACAATTCTCACGACGTTTCGGCCACAACGCAAGCAGCCGTCCTCAGGTGAAAACCAGGTCCGTCGAGGCGACAGAGTCTGAATGAAACAGTACACGGGCTTAGAGCATATATATAAGCTGGGCGCATTGACAAAGGAATTTGCATATCAACAGGAATTTAGCATATTTATGGGAAATGCAGGAATGTAATTAGTACTGCATATGCATGTGCATTATGCAGGATTAACAGCATCAAAGGGAGCTACAGTTACTGCTGCTGCAGCAGTTGCTGCTGCTGCTGCAGTTTCTGCTGCTGCTGCAGTTGCTGCTGCTGCAGTTGCTGCTGCTGCTGCACTTGCTGCTGCTGCTGCACTTGCTGCTGCTGCTGCACTTGCTGCTGCTGCTGCAGTTGCTGCCTTATCCATTTTAATATAACACTATGTATTATTCTACCCACCCTAATGTGTATCATACTGCTATATGTTTACTGTACAATTACGACACCATACATTACTCTGCACACTGCACCATGCCAGTGAGTGGAACGCGGTCTGAAAGTCACCGTTAACGTGAACACAATCAGTTAAGATCCGAAATGGTTTATTACGTCCTTCCAATGATTGCTAAGCCAGAATCCATCTTCTCGGTTGAAATTGTCTCTGTGTTTGTATATGTGGATCGCCTCATGAACGAATCTCTCATGATAGCCAGATGGCTTGCAGAGAACCTCTGTCTTGGAGAAGTCAATGTCATGTGAGCCCACTGAATTGTAACAGTGATCTGCCACGGCTGAGGTGTTTGTCCTACCGTGTTTCAGGTCTGCCTTATGTTCACGGATGCGGTCCGAGACATGTCGTTTGGTTTCTCCAATGTAACTGCTACCACAGAGGCAACTTAGTTTGTAGACGCCAGGGTACTGTATGTCTGGAACCACATCTTTTACAGACGGGACCAGATCACGGATTTTATGTACTGTGTTGAATGGGACCTGGATCTTGTGTTTAATCAGGATTTTGGAGATCTTTTTTGTGACCCCAGCAATGTAGGGTAAGGTGATGGTCTTGAAAGGCTCCTCAACAGGATCCTTCTTGATGGTTGGAGTGATGGCTTTGCGGATTGTGTAGTCGGAGTAACCATTAGCCTTAAGAGCTTGGCGTACGTGTTTGAGTTCACTGGAAATGTGTTCATGGTCGGAGATGCATTGGGCTCTATGATATAGAGTCTTGATGAGGGAATTCTTCTGGGATGGATGGTGGTGGGAATCCGGTTTTAGATAAGCATCCGTGTGGGTGGCTTTCCTGTAGACAGAGTGGCTCATTGAACCATCAGGTCTCCTTTTGATTAGGACATCCAAAAAGGGTAGCTTGCCATCATTTTCGACTTCCATGGTGAATCTGATGGCTGGGTGTATGGAATTGATGTGGTCGAGAAATTGGTCTAGAGCAGGCCGGCCATGTGGCCAGATGACAAAAGTGTCGTCTACGTACCTCTTCCATAAGGTCGGGCGTAGAGTGGCAGTCTGGATGGCGTCCGTCTCAAATTTCTCCATGAAGATGTTGGCTACAACCGGAGATAGGGGGGAGCCCATTGGGGTGCCCTCAATTTGCTTGTAGAAGGTTCCATTCCAGGTGAAGTATGTATTGGTTAAGCAGTGTCTCACCAGGGGGGGTACCCCAGCATTCAGTCCTTGATGAACCAAGTCTTCAATGATTGCGATGGTGTCAGGCACAGGCACCTTGGTGAACAAGGAAACCACATCAAAATTGACAAGCAGGTCGTCTGGGGACAGGGCAATCCCCTTGATTGTCGATACCAGGTCAGTAGAGTTTAGTACTGCAGAGGTGGTTTTTCCAGTGAAAGGCCGTAGGATTTCGGACAAAAAACGAGCCAGTTTGTAAGTGGGGGAGTTGATAGTAGAGACAATGGGACGAAGAGGTGTATCTTCTTTATGTATCTTTGGCAAGCCGTACAATCTTGGTGGCCTGGCTGCAGAAGGTTTCAACGAGAACTGTTTGGTCTGATCAATTAATGCGGTTGAAGCAGAAATGATGTTGTTGGTTTTGGAGACGAGGCTGTTGGTGGGGTCTCTTTTTATTTTTGTATAGCTGCCATCGTTGAGTAGTTCTTGAATTTTGTTGTTGTATTCTATTTTGTCCATGATGACAGTGGCATTGCCTTTGTCGGCTGAGAGGATGACAATGTCATCCCTCTTTTTTAATTGAGCTAATTCAAAACGCTCATCTTTGCTAATGTTGCAGCAGCAGTAACTGTAGCTCCCTTTGATGCTGTTAATCCTGCATAATGCACATGCATATGCAGTACTAATTACATTCCTGCATTTCCCATAAATATGCTAAATTCCTGTTGATATGCAAATTCCTTTGTCAATGCGCCCAGCTTATATATATGCTCTAAGCCCGTGTGCTGTTTCATTCAGACTCTGTCGCCTCGACGGACCTGGTTTTCACCTGAGGACGGCTGCTTGCGTTGTGGCCGAAACGTCGTGAGAATTGTTTTATTATGTTTTATTTGTATTATTTTATTACTTCCCTTCTACGTGACTTTACCGAAAGAACCAAGAAGATGAATCCCTGCAGTCACGAAAGCTTTAAATCGAAAGGTAATACAGCCGTGCTGACTCACACGAATAGCCGGCCTCTGAGGTCCGAGCCCACACACGTGCACCACGATCACCCTCTGTGTTTACTCTCAACATTTTACAGCATTTACTGAATGTGACGCTTTCCTACGGAGCACACCACTCGACGCCCAGTCAACGCAAGCGGAAGAGCGGAGAAATTTAAAAAAGAAAACGTTGATACTGCATGCGTATTAAGACGTGTGATAATTTGCCCTCGCCTCCGCCCAGGAATATAACGTTGCAAAAAGATTGAATAATATAAAAAAAATGTTCGTACAATTTGGATTTTTCCTCTATTTTCCACTTTTTGTACAGTTTTGTTGTATTTGTAGCCAAAAAAGTTACACCATATAATGTTCATGAACTTTACACAAACGATTTTGACACGCTTAACAATTAATCACATTCGACGAATCAATGCATTGTTGCATGGCATACAGCACACGCACCGTGGTCCCACGTGAGTGATTCAAACCGCGTAGAGTTAATCTTTGGTAGAAATAGGTAGGCTGCATATGCAAAATTGCACAAACCGAACTCGCATAAAGAGAGGGAAACCTGCAAATATATATTTTCAGTGACAAGACAATGTTTGTTCATGACAAGAGTGGTAAAATATGTACAACCTTTAAAAGTAACCAATTCATTAATCGCTAAAATCTGATAACATTTACATATATATACATTTAGATAATTAGTACAGCAGTAGTGGTGCAGTGTTTTAGGACCATGCAATATAAAGCTGGCATCCCGAGTTTCATTATCTAAACCTGCAAGGCCTTCCTGCACCTACAGACCAGTGTGGAGTTTGGTCAAACAACCTCCAGGAATGACTTGCACTGGAAATCTGTGAAAAAACAGCCTGATAGCTCATTGGATTCCTCCAGCAGAAATTAATTTTCTGATTCTGGCATGGGGAGGACTTTATGCAGCAGTGGACTGTTTAGCAAAAGCGCACTTCACATATAACTCTGGTAAATGCTGGGTTTGCAATTGTATTGCATTCTGGGTGATCTGTCATGCGGGAGCACATATGGAAAGTAATGACAGGGTGAGAGGAAGGAGGTGGGGAGGTTACTCTGCAGGCTGCTCTAATTATGGGGCTGGGCGGCGTTTTGTGCGGTTGGCAAGAGGACGCAGTGCATTATGGGGTGCGGTGGGCGAGCGTGACAACTGCCTGGATGAGTAGAATATATGTAGGTACTGAGAAATCACGATAGGGGAGCCCTGTAGGAGATGACCTAGGTTGGCTAGCGGATCCGACGATATCTTTCACTTGCAAAAAGTCAGGAGCCAGAAGACCAGCTGAGGCAACAGAGAGTGCCCCCCGCCCCCCACCTTCTGGACTTGCAGCTGCGACGTGGTGGTGTCCTGCTCGAGGCTGACGTCGCCGAGCGCGCGCAGCTTGCGCTCCGTCTCCGCGACCCACGCCAGCTCGTTGTCGGCCGTCTGCTCGAACTGCTGCGAGCGCTGGACGGCGGCGTCCAGCTCGTCCGTCTTGCGCGCGACGGCGTCACTCACGACGCGGTAGCGCGCGTTGTCGTCGGCCACAAGGCGGTCCAGGCCCTCGCGGGCGCGCCACGGCACCAGCTCGAGCAGGGCGCTGCTCACCTCGTTCACCGTGTCGAGCGTCAGCCGCCGCTCCATCACGTCCTTGTGCAGCGTCTGCGGCAGTGGTGGAAGGGGTATCGGACGGATCGGTGTTGTAAGAACGCCTCGGCTTACGATTTAAAGCTTTCGTGACTGCAGGGATTCATCTTCTTGGTTCTTTCGGTAAAGTCACGTAGAAGGGAAGTAATAAAATAATAAAAATAAAACATAATAAAATAATTCTCACGACGTTTCGGCCACAACGCAAGCAGCCGTCCTCAGGTGAAGACCAGGTCTATCGTGGAGACAGTGTCAGACGAAACGTCGTGAGAATTCTTTTATTATGTTTTATTTTTATTATTTTATTACTTCCCTTCTACGTGACTTTACCGAAAGAACCAAGAAGATGAACGCCTCGGCTGCTCGCCGTCCCGACTGCCGTTTGTTCCGAATCTCCTGCCAATGAAAACTTGCGCCGTGCCGTGTGGAATTCGTCAACGCGGAATGCTTAATTTGTACGTGAAGAGATGTGGTGCACATATTCAGTAATATCTGTAAAAAAGGAATATAAGTCTACGATGAATATGGCGTTTTTTATCGAATAATGCGAGTCGTGGCGGAGCAGCGGCACAGTTGTTAGCACACCGTAATATGAACCTGGTGACTTGAGTTAGATTCCCGGCCAAGGTTAAGATATTTAATCCGGACATGGGATGCTCGCACTATCATGGAAAAGTTTAGACAAATAACCCCCATGAAGGACACGGCATGGGGAGACCTTCACTAAGCAATGGACTGACAAAAAGTTTTAAACGATTCCCATCTTATGATCATCAACAGCCCGTAACGTGGAGCAAGCACAGCAGTGGCGGCGGCGGCTGCGGCGACGTTGGGTGCAAGCGCGGAAAGCTCACGTTGACGCGGTCCTGCATCGCGGTGAGCTGCTCGCCCACGGCCAGGCGCGTGTCGCAGGTAGCCATCTCGCTCTCGGCATGGCCCAGCCATTCGTTGAGCTCCCGGTGGGTGCCGTGGAACTTGGTGGCAAGGTGCAGGGCCTTTTCGAGCGTCTTGAGGGCACGTGTGCTGCTGCCCGTGATCTCGGCGTAGCGAGACTTTATGCCGTCCAACTTCTCCTGGATGGTGAGAATCTCATCGCCTGCACCACGGACGTTTCGGGGCAAGCAGAGCTCTTTGTTACAGTGAGCGTGTTTCCCTGAACTTCATTTGTTTGTCCTCGTGTACAAGAAATCGGGGAAGATAGCGAGTTAAGTACGAAAGCAATTTGGACAAATGTAGAATTTCTACCGCTGGCTGATCGAAGATGAGCACCGCCTCAATGCTCATTTGAGTAGGAAATCCCTTATTACAATTATATAATAAACAGGAACTAAATGTAATTTGTTCCAGAATAAATGCCCACCTGTGGTTTGCTTGAGAAGGTTTTGTCCGTTCTTAATCGCCTGGTCGACCGTCTGCTTCCGTGAGACGATCTCCTCGTGAAGGCTCTGAAAACACACCCTGGCCTTTTAGCGCAATTCCCGAGCCAACCACAAGCAACCCCACTCAACAAACCTCCTGCCACCAAACGCGCACCAAAAAAACACAAATCACATGAAGACATTACGGGTGACCAAAAAAACGAAAACGATCAGAATGCAAAAAATGACACATACGTTTCAACGCAACGGAAACAAAAACTGAAATGAAAATAAGAGGAGCGCGAGTGAGGTGCTGTGGGGTCCGGCGGGCAATGCTACCAGGTGCTCATCATGCTGAGCCTGCAGCACGTCCGGCTGGTGATCGCTGGGGGACATGTCGGCCAGCCGGTCCTGCGCCTCGGCCAGCCAATTGAGCAGCTCCACCTCATCGTCTCCGAAGAGTCGCGCGTGCGCCAGCGCCTGGCCCAGCAGCTCCCCGCGGCGCCTGGCGCGTTCGGCCGTCTCCAGGTAGCGAGCCTGCACCTGCTCCAGCTGCACCTGCACGGCCTCGCGCTCGCCCCCGCCACTCGACGCCTTTAGGGCCTGGCCCAGGCCGAGCAGCTGGTGCAGTGGTTTGCTCCGAGCGTTGACGTCCTCCTCCAGAGACTGCGGCGCGCGATGAAAGCCGGCGGGCGATTTTGTCCGGTTTCGTTTCGTTTTTTTGGTTTGTTTTGTTGTGGTGTCAATTTGCCACCCACGTAGAATAGTGCGTGTGTTTTTTGTGATGAGCGAGCAAACATGGAAGGGATAAAAACGTAAATAAAGGAAACTTGATGGTAAACGATGACAAAAAAGGCACGAGACACAAGCACAAAACTTAAGCAAATAAATTACGAAGAATTAATAATGGTAGGCAGGCTTGATGTTTGGCGGTCATAATAAAACACACAATAGACAATTTATTTCGAAAAAAAAACGCGATTATTAGTCAACATGTATATATGTTAAACTTCTTACGCACCGCAACATAAGATGAGAAAACATTTCAAGATATATATGTAAAATTGAATTTTAAAATGCGTCCGCTGTTTAGTGCAAGAAAGAGTAACACATCCTGGGGCTGGGAGAGCCAGGATCCCACACCTTGTGTTGACTGATTTGCTGCTGGATCTTGACGGCCTGAGTGCCGATGGGCTCCAGGTTGGACAGCTTCTTCTCCGTGCCGCTCAGCCACTCCGACAATGGCTCCAGCGTCTCGTGGAACTGCTGAGCCACCACCAGAATCCCCTCCAGCTGCTTCTGCCTGCATTGCAGACACAACCGGGACGAGACCGCTCGTGAGAACTCGTTGGAAAAGCGCTGCCCGAACGCCGATTAACTCTTAACGTGGTCACACACTTGTTTTTTTTCTTCTTGGTTCTTTCGGTAAAGTCACGTAGAATGGAAATAATAAAATAATAAAAATAAAACATGATAAAATAATTCGCACGACGTTTCGGCCACAACGCAAGCAGCTGTCCTCAGGTGGAGAACAGGTCTGTCGAGAAGACAGAGACAACGTCGTGAGAATTATTTTATTATGTTTAATTTTTATTATTTTATTATTTACATTCTACGTGACTTTACCGAAAGAACCAAGAAGATGAATCCCTGCAGTCACGAAAGCTTTAAATCGAAATGGTCACACACTTGTTTTTAACTCTGCAGCATATTTTACGATAAGTAAAAATGTTTACAAATATTTAAAGTCTGTCTCAGTATAAAATCATCTATTTTCATGTGGCGAGATGGAATTATGTCTGTTTAAATGGACGTTGCCTATTAACGTCCTATAGAGCACATTCTAAACTTACAGTGGTTGCTGAAAAGAGATTAATAAATGTTACAATTGATTTCAAGTACGAATGCGTACGTTTACAAAAGTACAACGATCTACCATGGTCTTTCATCGAGTGTGCCGGAAGCCAGTGTCGTGAAACATTTATCGTCTCTGGCTCGACTTATAAGCATTTATTAATTCCCCCACCCCCCCCCCCCCCCCCCCACTTCGTGCAAGAAGAGCACAAAGGTTTTGTCATCACATCTACCCCTCTATTTAAGGAACGAAACACTTCTCCACAAATCTGGCTGTTGCCTGATGAAGCTAGTTATTATTACTGGCGAAACGTCGTACTCAGATTGTAAATGTTGTGGCTTTGCTCTCCAACACACCGGTGTGCTGTACTAGTAATGAATTGGCACGTTCTATTTACGTGACAACGCTTACTAATTGGCTGTGTCGGGTGGTGGTGGCGGTGGGTTTAACGACAAATTTATATATTTACACGATCTAACCCCAAAAAAACCCTGTATTATGGCAATCCCGACGAGCACCTGGCATCGGCCTTGGAGGTGAGGGCCTCCCAACGGCGGCCCAGGCTGGACAGCTGCTTGAGGATCTTCTCCTTGTCGGGAGCGTCGGCCGAGTCGGCGATTTGCTGCCCCTCTTTGCGGATGACCTCGATGCTGTGCTTGCGGTCGTCCAACAGCAGCGCCAGGAGCTATCGCAGAAAGAACAAATGATGACATCCGCCCTGGCCCCCGGCACCACGAAGCCACACAAGCACTACAATCGGCAGCTGTGTGAATCGTGGGTTTCAGAGAAATGCTTTAAACGGAGTGATCCATTTCTGGATCAAAGTTTCATCTAGCTCCTGCACAACAGCTAAACACTTCGCTCCATCTCCGCAATGGTCATCCTTTTGAGTGTGTTCACTCCTTTGGCTATCATTCCATCAGCAGCCTTGTCCGTTAGTCACCATCCATTCCCGTGAAAGTGTCTTGCCCAAGCCCACTTTCTTTGACGGTAAATGCAGCGTCTCGAATTTGCGTTATGTTTCTCTGACCTACGTATTTATCTTTTCATCTTGGAGAGTAATAATTGAAGGCATGAGTCATTAAAAATAAATGTCTTTAAGTTTTTGTTTTATATATTTCAATGCATGATCTATACCCTGGCTCACAAGATCAATAATACTGGTTGCTTATTAAGATCCTTGAGCAGTCAAAATATGTAATATATTTAGAGAATCTGGTAAAGATAAAACGCAAAAAGTTCATGAGAATGTTATTTTAAAGAGGGATACCTATGGAATGGTAATAGTTGAACACAGTACAATGTCACGTATCCGCCATGACCGATGAAGCACCCTGTGGAGTATTTACGAATTTTCACCAATCCAACCTCTTCACACGCAGTAATGTATTCCTAATCTCCATAACAGGTGCCTCAGGAGAATCTGTTGCATCTTCTGGCCAAACAAAATCCACAACACCGAACTGTACAGGGAGACCGGTTGTCCGGATATCACACAGGACATCGAGAGACGGCGACTCAGATATGTCCTCAGAATGGACCAGGACCGTACACCCAAAATTGCCCTAAGATGGACACCGCCGGGCAAAATGAAACCTGGGAGACCCGAGACCACGTGACGCAGGACCGTGAAGTTGGAGCTGGTGGCAGCGACCAGCCTCTCTTGGGGCGACGCTCAACATGTTGCCAAGGACAGGAAGCAAGTGGAGGGAACTCACTGCGGCCTCATGGCACATAAGGGATGAAGAAGATTAACTAACTAACAAATCTCGCGGTCTACATTTGCTTAATTATAGTGAAGCATTTTCCCATGTTGAAAGCAGTTTGCGCTTTATTCTTGTCCAGTAACCTAATTTTACATGGAGTAAATCTCATCTACTATAGTTCACATATCTGAACTTTCAACAGTTCCCATTAAACCTCAGTCCCCAGAGAGTCGGATATGCGACGTTGTCCTTCACGTGTACAGACAAAGGATATGAAAGGATATGAAGTCGAAACAACAACGGACATTGCTGTACCTTCTGCTCCTGGATCTGAGCCTTGACCACCTTGTACTCAGCCGAGGGAGGCTTCTGATTGGCTATGAGCTCCTCTGTGTCGGCGAGCCAGCTCAGCAGGGACTCCAGGGCATCCTGGAACTTCCCACAATGCAGCAGGGCCCTCTGCAACTGCACAGCTCGCTCGGCCACCTGAAAACCCAACACGGCGATTTAACAACAGCACAAAACACAAGGGATTCTGCCATGGTGTAACGGTTAGCACAATGGATTTGGAGTCCAGGGGGTCGTCGGTTCCACCTCTGGCCCAGCAGCTGAAACAATGGGCAGGTCTCATATCTTCTCCACCGCCTCTGTGCATGCAGCAGAACACATGGATACACTATAAATGTGATCCGGAGGTTCAAGTGTGGGTCCTCCCACCTCTTGCAAGACATCCGACCAACGTGGAAGAATAGGCCAATATTCCCAATAGAGGGGTTTTCTAGAGCTCTCTCAAATGGAGGCCCTTCCGCCAGCAGTGGTGTTTCAGTTAACGGCCCGTGAAAATCCACCCACGCTGCGAGAGCCAGGAGCTGGCTTGGTTCACATGTGCCAGTGGGGGAAAAGAGGGTACAGACAGTGCTCGGCTTACGAGCACCGACACTTACGAACACCCTCACTTACGAACCAGCTTCCAGGATCATTATTTTTTTAACACCGACTTAAAACGCGAACTCTCGCTTGCAAATCGAACCGTTGGAACTATTTTGTTCAGCTGAGCGATCCTCCGCGGGATGTAATGAGTCTGCTTCGTGCTGGGAGCAAGTGTTTGTGTGTGTGTGTGTGTGGGGGCATTTAAATACGATAGATTATTGTGCTCTGACTTACGAACCGTTCGACTTACGAACGGGCCTCCAGAACGAATTGTGTTCATGTGCCGAAGACTGACCACACTCTATGGACGCGAGTCTGGAGCTCACCTTTTTGTTGAGAGTGTTCCAGCAAGCGTTGGTCTCTTCCAGCTCGTGCTCTAGGCCCTGCGTTGCTACCGACTTGGCGGCGCTCTGCACCAGGCCGTGGCCCAGCGTGTTCAACTCCTGCACGCTCACCTGCAAGGGCTCCACCTCCCCCTTCTGGAAACTCTGTGGATAACCCCCAAAAAAAACAGAGAAGGCGGCGGCCGTGGTAAGCGAGTGAGAGCAAGCGAGCGAGCGGTGATGGCTTCTAGCAGGGGATGCCAAACAAAATGGGTTGGAATGGCTTTAGTAAATGAAGTAATGATGTAGAGCTAAACACATTGTATGAATGTGTGGCCGAGGAGTGTAACGATGTATCGGTTAATATAGATCTTTATGCGTGTGTTGCAAGGACCACATTGCACGTGTTAGGATCAATGTTGTTCGATTCTTATCTGTTGCGTGCAACGGGCTCACGTGACCACCCCAGATTTGATTAGTAATGACTCTTTCATTCAAAATACACGCATCTGGATGTGTGACCACGAATCAGTGTTACAATGTTGTTCTTCTATTTAAAGCTTTCGTGACTGCAGGGATTCATATTCTTGGTTCTTTCGGTAAAGTCACGTAGAAGGGAAATAATAATAAAAAACGCCACTTTTTTCAAATGTTCTTGCTGTGGTTTTCACACCTAATGATGATTGCTTGTGTTGCAATCGAAACGTCATGAGAATTTTATTGTTACATTTTTTTCCCCTTCTATGTGACTTTACTGAAAGAACCAAGAATAATGTTGTTCTTGTATGTCATTGCTTCAAGTTATCCCTGCTGGAGGTTGCCACTTTCACCGCAAAGTAAAATAAATGAATATTGAATTGAATAGAGACTGAATCGCACAAATTCATTGAAGCACACGGAGTGTAAATTATATGCTTCTAGTATATCTGCTAATTTGTACATTTCTGCAGTTAAACTTGCAGTAGGTCTCGTGCTGGTGAACTTCCAATGTATTTGGGAAAGGACCCTCAATGTTAAGTTTGGGCCTTAGTTTTCATACAAAAATGTTAAATACATTACACAAAACAATCATCGGGTAACAAAATAAGTCACCAGACAATAAACCTTCACAGATCTGTCCGTCCATGTCAAAAATAAAAGTATGTTGACACATTACGGCATTGGTTCAAGCAAGCCTGAGTGCTGATGAGGCACTGTGTAGTATATCAATACTGATTTATTGTCAAACCAATGGCACTAAAATTATGCAATCCTGGAAGTCCTATGGCTAATGGGATGTGAAAAAAAAGTAAATTTGTATGCAGAGGGACAGATATGTGAACAATGAGTATTGTCTGCTTATTAATTATTTTTACTTATATTGTCAAAAAATACACTAACGTTTAGTTTGTGCCAAATATGTTTTGTTAGAGACGCTACGCGTCGAGACATATTTCAAGAAACGGTTTGTGGTAGACTGAAAAAGCACGAAACTCCCTCAACATTCTTGTTAAAACCCGCAACCCAACATCTTGTCGTGAACATTTTCATAGCATTCATCAGATGGATACCTTTGTGGGGACGTATTTTAAACAATCACACTCCCTGTTGCGGCACTTTTATCTTTTGCACAACCGCTGTTCAAATCCGTTCAAAACTGAGGAGTACAAATGTGCACTCCTCTTTATTGTCCATCAATCAGGCCGTATTGACGCAGGTGTTTGTGTGCTCCTTTGTGCAATGGCCTCATTTGATCTGAAGGACTTTGCCACTTCCCAGGCCAGCATTAGAAAAATTGCGACACAAAAGCCACTACACATGAACAAGGAGCAGCCTGCAATTAATTCGGCTAAACATTCCAAGTAGTTGGCTAACATACCAGTGCATTTGCAAGCGTATTTGGCAAAGAATCTGTTTTTAAGTGTCCCAAATCTATCAACAATTACAAACACACCTTTAAACAGAATGTTAATAGGATCAATATTTGTGGCCTAATAATATACAGCAATTGTATTATTATTAAACTATTAAAGGTCGGAACAAAAAAAAGATAAATTGCAATAAATAACCGAGTTCAAATATATACACTGAAATAAAGTAAACGGAATGGTTTACAGAGTCCTTATTCTTTAAAAATTACAAGAAACTCCGTCTCCCAGTCTTATTCACCAGTTGCCAACATCCACAGCATATCAATTCAAACTGCCAACTTTTTGCCAATATATTTCATTACAAAATTGCTGCACGCACATGTGTAAACACACACTCCAGACACATACACACTTCACACAAAGATGCCCCATTTAGGCTGAATGTTGTAACAAGTGCTATTAGCGAGCAACTATTAACTCCGGCGCTGTACATGATGAAGTGGTTTTGACAGCACCTAACTTGGCTGTCTTTGGCTCCCCACTCCTTGCTAAATTAACTAAGGGGAGGCCAAGGCCACGTTCAAATACTAACTTACACGGCGAGCATGAATAGTAATAAAAGTCAAGAGATAAAAACGATAACAATCCGCTCCATTTTCACCCAGGATATCTTCACAGAGTCTCAAAACACGTACTGTGCGAGAGAAGTACAACATAATACATGCATGGGGAAGTTTGGTCATTTCCATCAATGAGTGCCTGGCATGTGTGAGGAAACCAAAATACAGTGCTCAAAGAAAACCCCCCAAAAAGTTCCGCACAAATAGGTTTAGGAATATATTGCTGCATCGACATCACGCGGCTACTTTAGCTACAGGACTATGCTATGCAATGCTGAGATCACACAATGCGGTAACCATTACGAAGCTACCATTCACGCACACCATCATTCACAACTTACGGACACATAACAAAGGTTTTCCGATGAAGCAAACCTCAACGGCGAACTCCTCCACGTGTCTGCGCCCGACCGTGACGGGAAACTCCGTGATTTCAATTATTTCAGTAATTGTCGTTTCTATAACTTCTGTCACTTCCGTGACCTCGTGCCCAGTAACGGATCGCCAGGATCTTCGGTCTGCCGGAACCCGTTCTCGGAGAGTGCCTTGGAAGCTGTCCGTGTCAAGATCCCGTTGCAAGGTGGCGTAACTGCCTCTGTCCAGGGTTTTGCTGTCCTTTCTCGTTAAATCCCGCTGCAAGGAGCCATTGGGCAGGGCAGGCAGGCACTTGGAGTTCAAATTCAAGTCTTCCTGCACAGACTTCAATGTTCCATTGGATGAGGACACTCCGTCAATCTGGTCGTTGAGTCGGACGGTATCGAAGACCGTTCGGCGCGGGACGTAAAAGTCGTCCGCGTAGGCTTCGTCTTCGGCCACCTTCCCGGCGCACGAGCTACGGCCTAAGCAGGTAGGCTTGCTTGAAGTCTTCCCCATTTCGCTAAAAGTTTCCCAGGTGATGCTATGGCGTAGCGGAACACACATAAGCTGGCGTACTGCATAAACAACTTTCAAGAGCACGCATTTCAACTCTTGTCGACCTTGATGACCATTAAGTTGTTAGAAACTTTATTCCGCCTTCAACTTGAATAAAATGACACACGACCCGTCAGTGACCGACGTAGCCGGCCGAGACCCTTCTGTCCAGTTTAGCCTTTTATTACTCCTCAATTTATTTGGATTGTAAATATTGTATGGAACAAAAATAAAACCATAAAATCAAACCCGCTAAGGCAACAGAGAGAAAGCTGGGAGAGTGTGTGCTCACGTTCACACGCCACACTGCACTGGCCTCAACTCTCCAGCCGCTCCCTCAACATAAAGCCTGCATTCATTCATTCTTTCTTTACGCCCCAATTTCCCTTTCATGCAGGGCCTCACGCAGATGCCCTCCTGATCCACTTAATTCTGCATGGAGCTTCAGCGGTTGGAGAAACACGGGCAGACAATGCAGAGCGAGCCATTGGATGTAACAATGCTTGCTTTCCACAATGGCTTTTCCAAACTTAGGTGATAAATTTTGATTCCCTACCTCCAACATGGGCCACTATTGTTTAAACATGTTCTAACTTCCATGGTTTTTCTACATCTTCGTGTTTTTCTTGCTGAGATTATTACATTTCACTTAAAAAAAGACAATACCAACGTTTAAAAAATAAAGCAAGTAAATCAAGGCCATAATTGTTAACTTTAAAATGACGTATGCCAAGAGTATTGCATTGTAAATGCAACTTTCATTTGCTGCTTGTAAAATGTGGCCAACATCTATTGATATGGACATGTGTGCAATAAACCCAATCTTATGGAACGTCTTGAAACAGTCAGACGCAGCAGCTGTGAGATGTAGATGCATTGAGAAGGAAGACAGTCTTAGCATTCACTTAAGTGTTGGCAAGGCTTAAAAGTAACTCCAACCCAATGGTTGCTTAATTTATATGGGTTAACTTCAGTGAATGGGACACATGCAAAAGAGACAAAGACAGCCCCAGCATGCTGTCAGATGTAGTCTTCTAAGACAACTCATCAACTGGGGGCCTGTGGTGGAACCGGGGATTTTTTTCCCCCCCAACCAAAAACACATCCAATAAAATAGCAATGCCCTTACCCATTTCTCACAGGCTTACTCTGCAAGCAGGATGTACAAGCTCGTACACATGTTTGCATTTAGAGAGGGGACACTGCCAAGTCTCTGCGTGGGGATTTTTGAATGGGAAAACATTGTTGGAATGTAATCTTGCTGCCCGTATGTAAATCCTTGCGCGTTAATTCACGCTACTCTCAGAAATGAAAATCTTTGCAATGGTTTTATTGTATATGAAACAAAATGTTTTTTTCAGGCTTTGAAAAAAAAAAACAACGTGGAATTTGACCATGGAATGCAGTATTGCAGTATTGAGAAGTAAACACATTAGCTGTCACAAGCAGGGCCAAATAAACATGCTAGTATTCTGAAAGGGGTTGCTGTCACGAGAAAGCATGTCAGTACACTTAGACATTTGTTTTTCCCTGCTGTTGGACAAATGTTGACGTGGAAAGACGATGAGAGGCTGCCAACACAAATGCACGACAACCACCAGAAACAGCGAATTAACTGAAACCAATTAAAAACGACTTGCATCGATCATTAAAAATAATTGCATGCGCCCATCTCAAAAAGGGCCATGCCATGAAACATAAATCGGAGATGTCAAAAGCATGTTCTGTGGCTGGAATATGATCTGCATACAGCGTTTACTGTAGCATTAAAAAGGGCCCGTGGACTTGGCAGTTTGAAAGAGAAGCTTCACCACTGAGAGACGCATTGAATATGCTTGTGCAAGGCAGTCGTCAAAACCGGCTAACAAAGGACAGACCCGACAGCACAGCAAGTCATGCACGGTTGGCTGACCTCCACGCACAACTTCTCACATAAATTATTCATAAGCCTGAGAAAATTTTTGTTATGGAAAACTGTGAGCATTTTTTTTTGCTTCTTACAAAATGAACAGACATAAAACTACGCATGAGCAGGGCGTTGTGATTTTCTATTTTTGACATTGACCATCAGCTGTTAACCTCAATAGCAGAAACTTTAGTTATATATATGGCTCTTTTTCAGAATCGACCTGGCCACAAATGAAAAGCTCAACTGAATTTAAGTCAGCCAAATACTCTAAATGCATGTTTCTAAATGTGGAGGGAAAAACCGGAGGACACGGAGAAAATCCACGCAACCACAGGGAGAACACGCAAACTTCAAATATACAAGTGTCAGGGTCGGCATTGAAGCCATGACCTCCTGTAAAACTGGTGAGGTAGATAATATCTCGCCATCAATAGAAAAGAGGAACTTTGTTCTTGAAACATTTTTGTTTAGCAAAAATGTCATTATAACGTTCATAGCATGTGCAAAATTATAGATGACAATTTGTTTGCAATGCTAAATAAAAATAATTTAACATTCATTCCACCATGGTTTTTGTGCATATGAAAAACTACTAGAAAATACTCACGGTTTAAAAGTCTTAATTTTGCTAAACAACTAATCTCAAAATTTAAAAAAAATGTGCATTTGAAAAAGATTTTAGACATGTCCAAACACCCAAATAATTTTCAGTGACAATTTTCCCTTGTGTGTTTTTTTTTATCAAGGTCAAATGTCATAAGATGAATCATATCACTCCCAGGTTACTCCGGTTAGAATGCTCGACTTTACAAACAAATTCACTCACATTGCAAGCTGCACAGATGGACAAATTAAGTTTCTTTTTTACAGAATATAGATGTACGTGTACGGCCTTTTCCCCAATCCACTTCTGGATGAGGGCATCCCCACGCCATGAAAAATATGACATCACAGGAAGTGACGTCCCTAATTTGGCATATCCGTGCTTTTCCCGCCAACAGGGGTGTCACGTGACATTAGGTGACACAACTCTTGTTCTAGATTTGAAGCTTTCGTGACTGCAATGATTCATACTCTTAGGTTTTTTCGGTAAAGTCACGTAGGTAAAAAAATAAAATTGTGTTACCTCCGAAACGTCGTGATTTTTTATCTTACTTTTATTAATTTTATTTATATTTTTTTACCTACGTGACTTTACCGAAAAAACCTAAGAGTACAACTCTTGTTAGCACAAAGGCGTTTTCAATTCTTACACTGTGAATGGTCTATAAAAATTGTCCTAAGGAATTAAAAAAAATCCAATATCTTAATTTGTTTAATTTTAATCTCACTCCCTCAAATAAAAAAACCTCACAATTTACTTAAATTAGGTGGTACAACTTCTCGGTTCTTTCGGTAAAGTCACGTAGAATGGAAATAATAAAATAATAAAAATAAAACATAATTAAATAATTCTCACGACGTTTCGGCCACAACGTAAGCAGCCGTCCTCAGGTGAAGAACAGGTCTGTCGGAAAGACAGCGTCTGAATGGCCGAAACGTCGTGAAAATTCTTTTATTATGTTTTATTTTTATTATTTTATTATTTCCATTCTACGTGACTTTACCGAAAGAACCAAGAAGATGAATCCCTGCAGTCACGAAAGCTTTAAATCGAAATTTAGGTGGTACAAGTTGCTTGAAACATTGAAAATCCGGAGGTACAACGCAATGACGAGGCATACCTGGAAGGTCTCCATCTGCTGGTTGATCAGCTCGAGCTCGGCAGCCACCGGGCCCTGTCCGTCCTCGGTGGCCTCGGCAGCCTGCAGCTGCTGGCTCAGCACCTGTATCTTGCGGTGGAAGTCCTCCACCTGGGCCAGCGTCTCCTGCAACTCCGCTTGCCGTGCGTCCGTCCTGTCGGCCAGCCGACCGCTCTGCTTCTTCAGGGTCTCCACCTCCCTCTGTCAGCGTGAACACATCGGCTTTAGCTACACGGTCTTGGATCCAACACTGATGAGCACTGGGGAATGTAGGTGGTTCGCCAACATATCTGGACCGCTCTCACCCCACAGAAATGTTTTTGCGCACCGCCATGCAATAAAAACGATGGTGTTTTGTGAGAAAATTTTTTTATATCCGCAACAGATCGGCGGAACGCTTCTCACGGCCTTGGGGACCAGCAGTAGTTCGTGGTGCCCAGGTCAGGTACTGGTAGAGGATACAATTTAATGTAGGAGATGACTATGTGGCTGAAGAGTCAAACCATTGAGCCGGCAATGCCAGGGTGGTTTTAATCCGGATTCTGAAAATTATGGAGGTTGCATTGCCAGCTTTTTCACGGATGACTGCACAAAATGTACGTTAAACGTTAAATGTATCGATTAGCTTGACAAAATAACAACCTGTTAAATGGTCACGCGACAAATATTTTTCAATATCAGTGCCCCTAGTTGTGGTGAAGAGGTCACGTGAAAAATATCTCAGAATTGGTTCTGTAATATCTCACTATATAGGCCGTCCTCTAACATCGCGTGATGATCTGCTGCATGTGAGTTTTCCGAATTGACATTTCTTAGTCTCGTGACATGATGCCAATAAGTGTGATTGGATTAATATTGGAGACATGGCCAAGCGTCTAAATAAGACAATTATTGTAAGACTAACGATGGCCACAATTTAGAGATATATTTTATATTTTATTTTGCAAATTGATTTAGAATGACAAAATGACACTACTTGCAAAGAAAATAAGATACCACACCGCTTGATAATTTATAAAATAAACCCAATACATTCCCGTGTCGACACATTCCACGATAAAATGTGCCAAATGTATACTGCAAAGTTAACTTTAACATTCTTACCTTGACCCCCTGCAGATCCATCCCGGATTCATTCTCCTGCATCTTAGTGCATCCTTCGCCGGCTTTCCTGATTTCATCGCGGAGGTTCAGTAGCTTTTCCTGGATGCTGCCAAGGTCTTCCAGCTGGCACTGCAGCGTGTCTACATCGCGAGCTGTTGGCCCCATCGTGTCGAGCTCATCGTCCAGGTCCGTCAGCGACGTGAAGAGCTCCCTCACGTGGCCCTGGAAGCGGTTCACCCCCTGCAGCCGACCGTCCAAGACGCTGCAGCGCTCGGTGATGCCGGCCAGGGCGCTGTCGAACGAGCTGCGCGTCTCCTCGGCGAGCTGCACGACCGAAGACGTGTCGCTGCCCTCGGAGGCATCGGCCACGAGGCCAAGGGCAAAGTTGTGCATGTAGTCCACCTGTGGGGCCAGCGCTTCCATGCCCTCGTGGTATGCCTTCATCTTCTCGAGCTGCTTGTTGTTGAAAGCCTGGTTTCCCATGGCGTCGTGCGAACGAATCTGCTGGCCGGCGTCGTCAAGCTTCTTCTGGATGTCTTTCTGCGAGTCGTGGAACTCTTTGAGCCTCTGCGCCATCTCCTCCAAGCCCTCGACCCGAAGCAAGACGTTCTCCGTCAAGTTGTCCATCCTTTGGTTGAGCTCGGCCTTCTCATCCCGGATCATTTCCTCGTCTACTTGGCAGGAGTCAATTAAGTTGTCGGCTGCCGTGTTCAGCGCCTCCAGCATGCTGTGGCGCCTCTCCACGTCTTGCCTCATGGCCTTCCCACCTGCCAACTGCCTGTCGACTTCTGTCTGATCAATGCTCACCTTGTCAATGGCTGTCAGTTTTCCCTCGCTGTCCTCAACCCACGGTCTTAGCTCATCCGCCAGCTGCTTGTAATGCTGTGCCTTCTTCAGGGCATCCTGCAGCCTGTGGTGCCGGTCTCCCGCTTGCTTCATGAGGTCCTCCCAATGCTCCTTCAGGGACGCAAGCTGCGTCTGCAGGGCAGTCTTCTCCGCCCCGGGCTGAGTGGCCTGAAGCAGAGCCTCCCCCTCTGCCACGACTACATGGTAGGTGCCGGCGTGCTGGTTCAGGGACTTCAGAAAGTCACTTTGTTGTTGCAGCTGGGCCTGCAGCTGGTCTATCTTGGCTGATATCGGGGGCATGGTGGCTTGCTCCCCACGTTGCTCATCCAGCCAGCCACGAAGCTCGTCGAACATCTGCTGGAACTGCTGGGAGCTGGCCAACGCCGTCTGCAGCTGATTCATCCGGTCGCCTGTAAAAATAGTGCCAAGGATACCATTAACATCATCGTCATTGTCAGCCATGGTCAATCCACTGCTGGATGAAGGCCTACCCAAAGTGCTGCCATCTCTCGTTTCCCTGCGATGTAATGCTTGTGAACGTACGGTATTGAAATAAAAACTTTAAACATCCATATGAATATATTCTCAATATGGTATTATAATACTAATGCTCGTTGTTTACCCAGGAAAGCATCAGAGTCTCATGACTCTTTTTTTTAAGAGGGTTCTGCATTAGGATGTAGGTTAGGCTAATTCTTAACATGCAAGAAGGAAAACCACAGTACCTAGAGAAAACACACAGATACGAGGTGACACAAGCTTCATACAGATAGATTCAAGACTCCATTGTTGTGGCTGCAAGATAGCCAGGAGGTGACAGTGCTGGTGGGTTTTCTCATGGTACTCCCATTTCATCTGACATGAAGCCAAATACTCAACAATGACACTGACCAAACATCAATGTCGAACCTCCCAATAGGAGTCTTTAGACACAATGCGGTTTTCCTGAGTAAATAATTGACAGTATTGTTGTAGTTCCATATCCTAAGAAATAAGTGTAGCAGGAACAATGAAATTCACTCCCAGAGTCTCTTTTCCAAAAATCGTATAACCTTGCTCAAGAAATATACTTAGTCTCACCTATTGCAACATCAACAGTGCTGTTTGTGTGGCTGGCCACTTGACATTTTGAACCACTGGGGACTGTAATCGGCAATCGTGACAAAATAAAAAAAAGTTAACGTGCATTTGGACAGCATCGACTAAAAAGAACCTCACCTGCTCTTTCCTCCAGCTCTTTGAAAGGTACCATGACACTACCGAGCCTCCTCCGGATCTCCGTCTGGAGATACGGCTCCTGGACCAGGTCCGAGAGCTCCTGGCACAGGTACTCGGCCTCCTCCAGCTGGTCCTTCTGCAGCTCAATCTCCCCGGCGATCTCCCCCGCCTCCTCCAGCTGCCGCTTCACCACCTCGGGCTGGGTGCTCAGCGGCCCCTGCTTGCTCAGCTTTGCGCCCAGGTCCGAGACTTTGTCGGAGAGCTCCCGCAGCGCGTCGGCGTACGTCGCGCTCGTCTCCAGGGCCTTGTCGATGCGGTCCGAGCGGCTCGACAGCTGGCCCGTGATGTCGCCCCAGGTGCCGTTGACGGCCGCGTGCTGCTCCGCGACGCGCTCATTGGCTTCGCGGTTCTCGCCCCCTTTGCCCAGAATGCCTTGCGCCGCTTGGTTGAGTTGGTCGTACTGTGGCCGCCGTGCCTCGAACTCTTTGAGCATGAACTGTGAAACGGCGGTGGCGGGCATTGAAATATTTTTTGCGAGTGTTAACCCTATTCCACATTCCGACGACGGACGTGTACACCATCAAAACGAAACCGGAAGGAAAACTAAGATAAAATAACGTTATCGCGACCAAGGCTCCCACAAGGCCATGCGGGAGGTCGTGTGGCACAGTTTGGCGCCAGCTACCACATAGAGCGGTCGTGTCTCTACAGCTCTCGGGGGCGAGTACAATGTCTTGAAAACAACGACGCAATGCCTCTCTAAGTAAAATTAATTGAGCCGCTTGCATGTTCTGAGATTCAGAGGTTAATGGGACCCACCGTGCAACTTGTAGACATCTCCGAATGGGAAAGGGTTACAAATATTCACGTGTGAAACACATCACAAGGTTGAGTATTACATTCCTGCTACTTTAGTTTAAGGATCGCATACATTATTATTAGCTCAGAAATTTGTGACAAAGCTAAACGTTTGCCAAAGATCTATGAAAAGGGGGGTATTTTTAGAGTGCGTTTGAAGAGACAGGTTTGAGGGATGAAGAAATTAGGAAAAAAACAGGGGTCCCGATACTGTTGAAGAAAATAACAAAGGGGATGGCCAGATTGAGAACGACTAATGAGAGATGGACAAATGTAACTATGCAGTGGAAACCGAAAGATGATCAAATTAACAGAGGAAGACGTCGGAAGAAAATCGAAGATGAATTAAAAGAGTTTAGAAACCAATAACGGACAAGAATAATGAAGGATAATAAGGAAACATGGGGTAAAATAAAAAAATAAAACAGTGACCACAATATTCTTTGGGTCTTTCTGTGAAGACACGTAGATGTAAAAAATAATAAAATTATAAAACTAGATTCAAAGCTTTCGTGACTGCAGGAATTACTCCTGATGACGATTGCTTGTGTTGCAATCGAAACGTCGTATTCTATTATTTAATTTAATCTCTTTCTCCGTGACTTTACCGAAAGAACCAAAGAGTAAAATAATAAAAATAAGAACAATATCACGACATTAAGATCACAACACAAGCAATCGTCATCAGGTGAGAGCAGCTCATGATATTGTTATTATTTTTATTATTTAATTTTATTATATTTTTCCCATCTACGCAGCTTTACCAAAAGACCCAAAGAATACGAATTCCTGCAGCCACGAAAGCTTTAAGTCAAGAGTGCCCACAATTTGAAGTGAATACACCCTCACCTGGACCTGCTGTTTCTGGTTGGCCAGCATATTGGGATCGATGGAGAGGGGACCCAGGACGCTCATCATAAGCTGCTTCTCCATCAGCCACTGGCTCAGCTGGGACTCGAGTGAGCGGAACGTCTCCAGGAGGCCGCACGACTCCTCCAGCTGCTGCTGCCTCTCGCTCGCCGACTGGTGAACTGCCGCCCACTGATCATCTGGGAGGCGACGCCAACGCATACAACAACATTAGCGCAGCACGAACTGGGTGGCGACCCAATGCATTGACAGCGACTAAATATCACCGCGCCCCTCCCCTCCCCTTTTATCACTGGCATATCCAAGCCACGCCAGTATAGGTGCTTTTCCACTGACCATTTGCCAAGCCAAGCCAGAACGAAACCGTGGAACTCTGGCCTCAAAATACATCTGAATCTGGCTCTCAATCTGGCTCTCAGCCAATCACGGCCAGCATTGGCGGGGGGGGGGGGGGGATTAATAATTTTCGTTATATGTTGCATCAGCAGTCAGAGTGCACTTGGAAGGTAGTGACACTAGCGTTGTCACGATTCGAGTCCTGCAGTGGGAAAAGAAAAAATCTGGCGCCTCGTGAGTTGTGCCGGGCTGGCTCGGCAAAGACCCTAGCGTGGCTCGGTTTGTAGAATGGAAATCAAAAGAGGATAATACATCACGTAGGGGCAGTTATGTGAAAAGTAAAATGCATTGGTCACTGACCAAGTTCCTTCAGCATGCTCCTCCACTTGTCCGCTTCGGGAGAGTCTGGGTTTTTCTCCAAGAGCTCCCGTAGCTGCTGTCTGAGAGCCTGCACTTTGGGCAAGTTGTTTTCAATCTCAGAGAGTAGTAGCTGAAAAGAAATTGCATTGAAGGGACACGTTTAAACCTTCAGCGCATCTCATTAAGAAGAACGCTACAATAAATTCCATTAGGTTAGGATTGTCATCTCCTCGGCCAGTATTTTTGGGAGATCCATAAATGTAGACAACCCACCAACCCTGGCCTGCCAAGATGCTAGATTACAGCACAACTGCGATAAACCCTCACGCAGTACTCGGGCAATTTGTGTTGCTACACGGAACCCGGTGGGGCCCCTCACCTTGTTGCGCTCGGCCTCAGATTTGATGGCACTGCCCTCGGAGGGAGCGCCGCTCCACCCGGACACGTCCTGCAGCTTGTCTGCCAGCCAGCCCATGAGGGAGTCGGCATCGCCGCGCACCTGCTCTACCCTCTCCAGCGCCGACGCGGCCGCTCGCTCCCTGTCCCTCAGGGCGTGGCCCAGCTCGTCGTAGCGCCCGCTCACGTCCGACACGTCGCTCTGAATCGTGGCCAGCTCTGTACGTGCGCACGCGCGCGCACGGATTTACACACAGACAAAATGTGCATTCTTACACGTACGGGGATGTGGAAGCACACACAAGCTTGTGCACAGTTATTTGCCCACACAAGTAGTACATCCACAAACCAGGTTTTTTGGGTTAGATCGCATAAATATATTTATATAATTTTCGGTTAGATTGCGTAAATATATTTATATTTACACGATCTAACCCAGAAAACATGTATCATGTGCAACCGCACAAGACGAATTAACCCCAACGCACGAGTACATGGGTGCACGTCGCACGCGTACGCACGCACAGACCCACGCACAAGACAAAGATCCCTTCTATAGCCTTAACAGACTGTTGGGTCAAGTGCTGTTGACAAGCACCTACGTGAAGGCCGGGAAGGCACACGAGGGCATGGGTGGCCACAGCATCATGCCCGGCCACCTTTGTCTGCCTAGTGGTGATGTTTACACATCGCACCAGGTACTCATTTGAGGCTGAGTTGACCTAGGAGAGGCCCAGGACTGGTTCAGACAATCGCCGTCACTGATATTGGTGGCCGTTGGTCAGAATCGAATTCAGGTCGCCGGGTTCGGCGTGCAGTGCGCTAATCACTCTGCCACCGCTCTCCCCTCACCACGAGCACACAAAGACACACACGCAGATGTGCACAGTAGCTGCTCTATTTGGCTCAACTCCAAAATATATTAATTTTTTATCATATTAAGGAAGAAACACCATTTACTGTACATATATGTGACAGGCTATTCATCAATCAATTAATTATAGCGGTAAAAAATGTGACTTGGGTTGCTGTGAAATTCAGTTACGCTGAAGGCCTGGTTAGAGGGTCATGTATTTACGTAATGCAAGAGACATTATCTATGTCACCATGATAGAGGGGCGAATTAAGATAATTATTCTGCAAGTACATCATAATACTTGTATATCTGAAAACTGCATTAACTTCCATTGCAATTTTTTGGGTTTAACAAAATGCATTCATTACTCAAAATAGATAAAACATAAGTCGACAATGAATATAAATACAGCAACAAAACAACGTTGATGTGCAACGAAGACAAGAGTTCGAAACATCATGCTTTGCATATGACGTCTGCTATGAAAAAAATCTTACTCATGAGTAAACTTTGCATCTCTGAAAACATCAGCAGACAGTTCACATGCATTAATCTCACCTTTACTGGTGGAGTGACCATTTACACTAGGTGAGGAACTTGGTATAGAACCTATGGTAACAGGAACACAAAAGAAAAGAAATAATGGCAAGTACGCAACTTAAAAGTGATCAAACAGCCAATGCAAACCAAACACAGAGTGCACAATCAAAGCAGCTGGTTTCTGTGAACTGCAGCTCAATAACTACAGACATGAACATCAGACGACACACATCGCGGGCACTTGACGGCATGGGAAATGCCACAACGTTAAGTACGCTGCACACAGCAAGGGCAGGTCTGTCTATCTCTGGCCATGGCATTGCAAAGCACGGGTCATTTGATCGGCAAAGCTCTGCAGCAGCCTCATGTTGGCAAGTGTAACCGATGACCATCCGCACCTGATTTGACCTGGCTCTCTGTTACCGCATCAGCGGATACCATTGTTGCAAGAAGCTTCTCCAGTTCTTCGGCCTGCTTTTTGACGTCATCCACGTTCGGGCCTTTAGCCTCCCACTCCACAAGGAGACTCTGTGGAAGTCAAGATGCAAGTGACATTGGCAAGAATTAGTCGATAGGCCAAAGAATAGTTTTGCAAAGGAGATGGGAGGCTTTACCCTTTCTGCATTAAATGCAGGTGTGAAGATGAAAAAACACCAAATAGACCCCTATTACGAGGCATCAAGTCTGCAAAAAAACACGCATAATTGTGATTGATTCTTCAATGATATATCTATGGGACCTTTTTTCCAGTATCAAAAATAGGTTTTATACTTTCTGCAGACTTGATGCTTTGTAAAAAGGTATCTATTTAGTGTTTGAACATCTTAACACTTCATAGGTACAACTCCATAACCCGAGCTATTAATGGTAAGGCGTTTGCATCCTCCTTGGACCGCTCGCCTTTTGGCGGCCTTTATTCTATAGCACCGGTGAGACGGAGATTTTAAAAAGTGTGCGTTTCTGGTGTGGGCCAATGTTATCAAAATAGGAAAAAAAACGAATGTAATGGCATTTTTTGGTGTAGATTCATTGCACACAGCGTTGGTGTACGGTGTTCTTTCTTCAATATTTTGCAGTCTTTACTTGGATTTTCTGTTTTCACTCAGTCACATATTCACTTTAAGATGTTTTTTTGTTCATGTTTTTGTTTTTTGTTTGTTGCGGTTGCACCCGATTCAAGAGCCGAATGGCTCACAGGGCTATACCTAATAAATGAACTTAAACTTGAACTTGGCGAGTGGGGTTGAGACCATCGACCCGCTCCACTTCAGAACCCAGTTTAATCACGGCTGCTTATATGATCAAAAGCTGCAGACCCAGGATCTCAGCAGTGCTGGCTAAGTGCTCTGACTTCTGTGCCAACCGGGCAACCTAATCTGTATCTGAATCTTTATCAACCACTTTATAATCAAAGAGCAACTGCAAATGCTTGCTCACGTCACTGCTGGTGGAAGCGCCTCCACCAGAGGGAGCTCTAAAGAGATGGCCGCAGGGTTATTTTTGGCCTACTTTTCCAGCTGGCCAGACACTTCCAAAGAGGTGGGAATAATACCCACACATCACCTGCCGATTTAATAACTGTGATGTCGCTATTTATACTCTTGGGTGGACAGAGGCAGAGGGGGGTGGGGAATTTAGAAACTCGCACCACCGTTTCAACAGATATGTGGTTCAACTTCTTGGTTCTTTCGGTAAAGTCACGTAGAAGGGAAATAATAAAATAATAAAAATAAACCAATAAAATAATTCTCACGACGTTTCGGCCACAACGCAAGCAGCCGTCCTCAGGTGAAGAACAGGTTGCTTGCGTTGTGGCCGAAACGTCGTGAGAATTATTTGATTGTTTTATTTGTATTATTTTATTATTTCCCTTCTATGTGACTTTACCGAAAGAACCAAGAAGATGAATCCGTGCAGTCACGAAAGCTTTAAATCGAAAAAGATATGTGGTTCCAGGATTGCCCTTATCAGCCATCAACGTATCCACAAACCCTGACCATCATATGCTGTCCACGAACGATCATCATACTCGACCTCCAGGGATCCCAGATGACATGGGGAGATCTCAATTTTAATACGTAAAAAAAAAACGCTTAAAATACAGGCACCTGGACGAGCTGCACATGTTCCTGAAGGCTCTCCGCCGCGCCGGTGGACGCGTCCGACGGCACTCTGCCCTCCGTTTCCGTGAGCCACTGGCGCAGAGATTCCACCAGGACACGGAAGTCGTCCAGCTGCAGCTGGAACGACGCCACCTTCGCCTCCCTGCGTGTCGACACGCGCGCGTCACGCCGCGACGGTGAGGATGCGCAAAAGCCACGGCCACACGAGAACCGATGCAGGAGGTTATCCACTCTTGCACAGCGTCGGGTTACATCGCAGCGCTCGGTAAATTCGCAGGGTTCGGGTGTGAAGGAAGATTTAGTCTCCGTGCGTTGACTTATTTTCAGCCCGAGCCTTTCACTCCATTGAGCACCCAACTGCTCGTCTCTCTTCTCACATAATTTCCCTTTCTTTTGTCTATCTCTTCCTGTTTTTCCCAGCCTGTCTTTGTCCTTTACATTGCTTCAGATGCACTTCTGCAGCCATCTGGAATGCTCTTCCTTCTGATATTACAAAGCCACTGGAGCTATGCACTTTTAAATCTCTATTGAAAAATAATTTCTTGAGAACTGCTCTTTGTGATTAGTTTGCTGTCCCTCCCCCGCACCTCAAATTAGCACGGTTAGCTATGTACAGTGCAAAAGAAGTTCAACATACACACATATAGTTCTGCCCCACCCCCCTCATTATTAGCAACTTACACTGACCAGCTTGGTAAAGTATGGTAAAACAACGGACAACCTGGACCGACAAACCATGGGCTACCAATTACTATTACGAATGCCAGTAAGTTAATAGTGCGAACACATTTAGGACCTGCGTGCAGAGTTGGCCCATTTTTCCTTCCCACAATGCAACGTGCACACGCTCTGAGAAGGGAAGCCCCACCTCTCCCGGACTTCCTCCTGGAGCTGGTGCCACTCTGCGAGGATGCCGTTAATCTTCTCCAGCATCTGGTCCCTGGCGGCTGACGGTTCCATCTCCGCGAGCTCCTTCGCCAGCTTCTGCAGCTCCTCCATCTTCTCGGATTCCGCCGACAGCTCCGAGCTTCGCCACTGAAATGCAACGCGAAGCATTGCGAGTCGTCACTTGGTGAAAAGAAATGATAATTAATGAAACTTTTTGCAAATGGGAAATAGTTGAACTTAAGGAGTAGCTCTCCGATGTGTTTTTCGGGTCGGACCGCATGTTGTCCGGGACGATGTCCGACGTTTTGCTCCACGTGCTGGGAGCTTCTTCAGGAACTCCAAAGGCAGTAATATAATTTTGGTGTGTTGGTATTTTTGGCGTGGGCTTTACCTGTATGTATGCATATGTATGTATGTATGTACGTGCCTTGAAATTACCATTTTTCCAGGAAGTAGTCTTACCTGCAGGGAGCTGAACCCGAGAACTGCCTTAAAAATGCTAATTAACGTCCTTGGTAATTTATGTAACATTCTTGATTTGAAGCTTTCGTGACTGCAGGAATCCATACTCTTTGGTTCTTTCGGCAAAGTCACGTACGTGATTTATTTTATTTTATACCTACGTGACTTTTGGACATATTGAAAATAACTCTTTTGATATTCATAATAACTTTAAATATCTAAACTTGCAATACCATACATTTGCCTAAACATGTGAACTAAACATAAAAAGTTCCGTCATAACGTACCTTCACATCCCGGCTCATTTCGGAGAAATCCATGCCTCCCCCTCCATCCACCATGTTGAAGCCCTTCTCTCCCGGAGCCATGAGGGAGCCCATCCGTTCGGTGGCTCTCTCCACCACCTCCATCTTCTCCGCCAAGCCGCCCAGGTTGGCGTCCTTGTCCTGGCACCGGCCGTCCAGCGTCTCAAATCTCTCCTCCAGGCGCCGCAGCTTCTCCTTCAGGTCGGCGGCGGTCACGGGGTCGGCCGTGGCGAGCAGGCCCTCGATTTTCTCGCGCATGGACGCCATGCGGCCACGCTTGCGCTTCAGCTCCTCTTGCAGTGACTGAGACAGCGAGAGAGGGTCAGGGCGGTAGTGGTAATGAGCGGCCACGGCGATATCAACTCACTAGCGATGATAACAACGGTGAATATTGTTTGGTTCTGCTGACCTTGGCTCTGTTTGTCGGATTTATAACTCATTCATGCCCAAAATTAGGGTGGCCTTCGATGCTACAAGTTCACCTGCAGATTTAGCATTTTGCATTGCGGGTCCCATACAAATCCCAGAGGTTATTAACAACCTGGAAGTTGATATTTACACTGCTGCCATCGAGTGCGCCAGCTCTTGTTTACCTTTTACTGCGGGAAGCAAAAATTTTGTTCGCCGTTGAAATCAATCAATAACCACGGGGCACTTCAGCCAATCCCTGTGTGCGGGGAGTGGCTCAACTTAAGTCCCTTCCACTATTTAAATCCCATTTAAAAACCTTTTGGTTTACTATGGCATTTAACTGGGTCCTTACCAGAGGTCGCAAACGGGTTTTGATTCCTTAGCCGTACCCGTACCCGGCCGCACCAGGGTCGCAAACGGCTACCCGTACCTGTACCCAGCTGGGTACGGGTACCCGTTCCCTACCCGTACCCTACCCGAAATGAGTGACAAACGGTTACTCACCAGTGACTCATGGCCTACCCGTACCCGTACCCAGCTGGGTACGGGTAGCCGGGTATGGGGGAGGGTACGGGTATCGGGTACCCGGTTGCGACCTCTGGTCCTTACCTCATTGTCGGTCATCATCTGCCGCACGGAGTGGGATGTGACGGGGCCGCTGGCCTCTTCCTCCACCTGCCTCTCGGCCTCCTCGAGCCACTGCAGCATCTTCTCCAGGCCGTCCTGCAGGCTCACCGACTGCTCCAGGGCCGCCTCCAGGCGCTCCCCGTGCTCGGCTGACGAGCGCGACAGCTCCTCATACCTCCTCGTCGCGTCGTCTGCCAAGGTGATCACGCGACAAAGCGTCCCCAGTAAAGCCAAGCGGTCTCGACGTACCGATTCAGCGAGACACCGAATCCAATCATTAGTCCCAGTGGGTGTTGCGCAATTCTTATAGCGCAAGGCTATAATAAAGGCACTATATTTCATAGACAATTGCAGTCTGTAGTTATTTCCCAATATGTGGCTTTACCCAGTTAGGTAATTTGTGAGTCATTTTCTCATTTGGAAAATTTGAGATAGTGAAACCGGCACACAAGGCCTACTCTTCTTATATATGTGTAAAGTCACGAGATGTTTCACGTCCACTGTGATATACCTGCTGCATCCATCTGGGCGGCACCCGGGAGTGAACAGAAACATTTTGAAACAAGTGGAAAAATGCGCTTCCACTTGGCAAAACTATATTTTACGGGGTTTTTTTCCTGCAGGTTGTGGTCAGAAAACAAAATCCGTTACGGTGCTGTACTTCTACATTCCCATGTCTAAGCAGCCCACCTTCACCAACCCGCACTGACCAGCATGGTGAAGTATGATCAAATAACCACTCACAAACTGCGCGGTGTGCTGATGCCCCCATCGAGCATTGGATTCACAAAAGGGCTGCAGATGGATGGTATTGTTATTACGCATGTGGTATTATTATGATAGTATTGTATGATGTATAGTATATATGGTATTGTATGATGTATGTATGGTATTGTATGATGTATGGTATTGTATTGTATGATGGTATTGTTATGATGTTATTGCTATTACTTGCATCACACTGGGATTTTTGCACAGAGTTGTAACACGGTGGTTTATTTTCTGGAATATTTGCTGGTTTATCCAGGATGTTTCTGTTGCGCGTCGTCGCTTTAAGATGTCCTCTGTTCATATTTTGCTTGTTGCGGTTGCACCTGATTCAAGAGCCGCATGGCTCACAGGGCTATACCAAATAAAAGAAACTTGAAAACTTGTATACGCAGGTGAAACTCTCAACATACAATTAATATTGCACGCGTGCAACTCACCCAGTGTGTTTTGAATTTCCTGCTGGTTTGTGAGCGGCTCGCCAGTCGTCGCGAGAAGCGCCTCCGTTGCTCGAGTGAATCTCTGCATGGCGGTCTTGTGAGCCGTCACATCTTCCTTCAGTTTCTGAAGTTAAAAATAATAATTAAAAAATGCATCTCAGTTTTAGAGAAAATGCGCACGCCCACTGTTGAGATTTCAATTTGCAATGTAATTTGATTTGAGGGAAAAATTTTGGTGAAAATGTAAGCCCAACTGGTAATCTCACAATTCACGTGAATATAACACCACATATATATGTAGTATAGTAAACTACGGCGGGAGACCACTTGACGGGTAGCACACTTTATTCACACTTGAACGTGATATGAAACATCTATGGAATATGAACGTACACAGGAAGTGTGTTTATTAAACAGATAGCGTAGAAATATATTTCTTTAAAAAAAATTATTTTACCAACTAAGTTTCACTGAGATATAGCTCTTTTTCAGAAGTGACCTGGCCACAAATGATAGCTCAACGAAGTGGTTTATCATGTGTACATTCATTGCAGCCAAATACTCTAAACGCATGTTTCTAACTGTGGAGGGAAAAACCGGAGGACCCGGAGAAAAATCCACACGACCTTGGGGAGAACATGCAAACTCCAAATATACAAGCGTCAGGGTCGAGACCGAACCCACGACCTCCTGTACACCAGGAAAAGTAGTTATCATCTCGCCACCGTGTTGGCCCATACATACTAAGCTAACTGTCAATGGTGTGCACTGCCCATGGTGGATACTGGTTGCATTTGCCACCCCAGGCAGTATCGACTAAATCACCTGGGCCAGAGGTCGCAAACGGGTTTTGATTCCTTACTCGTACCCGTACCCGGCCGCACCAGGGTCGCAAACGGGTACCCGTACCCGTACCCAGCCGTACCCGTACCCGGCCAGGTACGGGTAGGGTACGGGTATCGGGTACCTGATTGCGACCTCTGGGATGAAGCCATGTTGCAGGCGCGGGTGGGTTGATTCTAGGAACTTGAATTGTGAGAAGAGACAAGACGTGGGGAAATGAGTGACAAACAGTTACTCACCAGTGACTCACGGTCTACCCGTACCCGGCCGCACCAGGGTCGCAAACGGGTACCCGTACTCGGCTGGGTACGGGTAGCCGGGTATCGGGTAGGGTACGGGTATCGGGTACCCGGTTGCGACCTCTGACCTGGGCTCACGGTCTGCCTCTATGCATGCAGTGGTGTGGCACACTGCTTTACCTTTGCTTCCTCCAGCTGCCTCTGCAGGCCATCGGCGGTGGCGGCCACGGGGTCGGACTTCAGCTTGTCGGCCGCGAGCTCAGCCTGCTGCAGCCAGGGCACCAGCTCTGACGATGCCTCCTGGTAGTGCTTGTACTTTTCCTGTCTGTCCACCAGCTGGCTTCCAAGGTCATCGCACTAAGGAATAAACACATAAACACAGAGCACACATGCGAAGCGTATGGGATTAATTAATTTTTAAGAAAAAAATATGGAATATTTTATCTGATGCCGGAAAATTAGCTGTGACGGTCCCACCTGAAGACGGAGACTTGTGTTGCCTCCGAAACGTCGTGATTTAATTTAGTAATTTTTCATTTATTATTATTTTATTTTTATTATTATTTTACCTACGTGACTTTACCGAAAAAACCTAAGAGTATGAATCCTTGCAGTCACGAAAGCTTCAAATCTAGAATTACCATTTTATTTCATTAATAAGTTATGTTAACTCAATTTATTTTAATTTACCCGAGCACACATTAATGGAATTGGCCAAGCATTCCATTTCAGAAAATGTCTGAAAAACAGTCCCAGACAAATGAAACACGTGATCACAAATAAGGTAAAGGTGCGACCCTGCAAGAACATGCCAATGCCATCGCTGGAGGAAGGGTCTGCAACAGAAAGAGCCTCTAGTGAGCCTCGACAGAGGGTATTCGGCCTACTCATCAACGCTGGCCAGACATCTTGGAAGAGGTGGGGGAGTGCCCACACTTTACCCCACTGCACGTGACCTGCTGGTACACTAAATGCAGCTTGGTGGACAGAGGCGGAGGATTTAGAAACTTGCCCCTTTGTTGCAGTTGCTGCGCCAGAAGATCAAATCCAGATTGCAATTCCAATCACGCCAACCATTACCCCACGGCAGCAGCAGCAGCACTACCCCCACCCCCCGTCACCACAATACTTATCATAGTCACGAGTGCACACCGTGTCCCCTCCGCCAGCAATGGCGACCTGCCTGCCGAACGACTAACTGTGGTGCATCCATTTATACTGCTGCACGGACTGAGGCGGACCCATCGTGTTCAACTGCTGCACCGGGAGATGGAATTGAACCGGCGACCTCTGAAATTAAAAGTCCAGCTTGCTACCCATTACACCAAGGCACCATTAGCATCATTAAAATTATTATAAAAAAACACACACACACACACACAAACCCTCACATATCCATACCTGTGCGCGCAGAGTGCCGAACCGCCCGTTGACCTGCTGAAGCCTGTCTTTGATGGTGACGGCGATCGCGTCCGTGTTGAAGCTGGGTCCCGAGGGCCCGTCGGTGACCTTGGCGCACAGCTCCTCGTACGCCTTGATCGCGCCCAGCACCTTCTGGCCCGAGCGGCTGAGGTAGCGCAGGTCGCCCTTGTGCGACACCACGTCGTCCGAGAAGCTGCCGTGCCTCCGCCGCACGCTCCGCAGCGACTCGGGGTCGGCGGCCGATCGTCCCAGCTCCCCCATGTCGCCCTCGGCCTGGTCGAGCCAGCCCTCGAACTCGTCGCATTCGCCGCCGAACTTGCCCGCGTCGTCCTGCATCTCCTGCACCAGGCGCCACTTGCCGTCGGCGAGCGCCAGCGTGGCCTCGAAGCGGTCGCGCAGGTTGGCCAGGTTGCGCTCCAGCTTCTCGCGCTCATCGGGAGGCAGGGAGGCGCCGTGCTTGTCCAGGAAAGCCTGGGACTGCTGCGCCGCGATGAGGAAGCCCTGCTGCTGTGCAAGCACCTGCTGGTGGTAGGCCTGCTCGCGGGCACACGGCACACGGCTGGGCGTAAACCACTTCGGCCTGTTGCCGTGTTCTACCACCGACCGTACGAGTAAAGTATTCAAACCGGGAATGTAACAGCAGGCCGACGAACCCAGAAGACAACGCTTGTATGTACGTACGCTGAACTTCTTTCGCACCGTACGGAACCAACCGTGCTGATGGAAGGTGTTATTTTGTCGACCGAACATTGCAGCTAGCTGCATTAGAAAATACAAAGGGAGATATGGTGAAGAGCCTGGTCTTTCTCACCTTCATCGCATCGTGTTCCGAAATGGCACTGCGGCTGTCCACCTCATCCTGGGGTTCCTCCAGAGATGAGAGCCACCCAAGGAGCTGATCGATCTTGTCCTTGTTTTCTTCCAGCTGTTCTGCGGCGGCCAGCTGTTGCAACGGAAATACACGAGCCGACGACAAACTGTTCAGCTTAAATGGACTTGACATGTAACGCCACGATTCAATCGGCTAATAATGAGGAACGTTGCATCAGTATGAGAGCAGCATCATGTCAGGTACACATGTTGAAATCGTTTCTCCGCATTTTATAAAATTGTGCAGTCAAGTGCATGACAGCCTTGTTAACGGTTCATCAAACCAACCACATATTGAAGCATTATCAACACGTCAACAAAGGAATGATGATAGTGAATAAAAAAAATCATATTGGTACCAGTCTTACGTTGGATCTGATCATTCATATTTGAGTCGTAGACATCAGGTGACAGTGGTCACATGTGGATGAACACTGGAGGCTACGGGTGGGGAATATCATCCTTACTGAGCACCGACGAGGACTTTGAAATACCTATGGTGGTGGTGGTGGGGGGTCTACACACTGACACACACCTTGGTCACTTCTGTCAGGGCAAGAGGTCCTTTCAGCAACAGAAGCGACCGAGCGTGGCGCTAAAATGAGGAACGCGGTGTTGCCAGGTGAAAAATATTCCCCTCCAGTGCCCGATTAGTGCAGCTAAGGTTCTTGCAGTGACGGATAAATATCGTTTGCCGGCATTGTCGAAGTGAAGCAGTGGGCCGCTGAAGCCAAGTTATGAGGAACGCGGTGTTGCCAGGTGAAAAATATTCCCCTCCAGTGCCCGATTAGTGCAGCTAAGGTTCTTGCAGTGATGGATAAATATCGTTTGCAGCCATTGTCGAAGTGAAGCAGTTGGCCGCTGAAGCCAAGTTACGGGCCCTGTTCGGCTCGTGAGCCCGTAGGTTCCCCACCTCTGCTTGTAGAGGCCTTGTCAGCGGGTACGCGACATTGATTTTACTTGATAATTGGTTTTTTTACCCTTCTATCTGGCAACAAAACTGACACCTTTTACAAGGAGTCATGTTTGCATAGACCGCAATACCTGCAGTCATAATACAAACAAAAGACATAACTCTGATAATGTATGCAATGTCCTTGAAGTTGATTGGTCCACACCCGAGACAGCTTTCCTTAGAGCCTAGTCTCACATGGGTTGGACCAGATGACGCCAAAAGTCGCACAACTCAAAGACAATGCACCATCAGAGTATGAGAGCTCGGGGTAAGCATTTACACCATGGGAACCTCATTTGATTTTACTTGTTGAGAACTCACCGAGCGGACAGGGGAGGGGGAGGGGGGGGAGTGCTTACGCAACGCAAGAGGCTGAATTTTGACTGTAGACTTGGGGGGGGGGGGGGCCAAGGCAAGTCACTGTAAGGGGACGATGGTCGAACCCGACCGCGGATTGGCAGCAGACGAAGTTGGCAGCGCCTTACCTTCTCGGTCTTCTGCTTGATGGCGGTGCTCACGGAGGCATCGAGCTGCCTCTGCTTGGCCTGGGCCTCGGCCTGCAGCTCGCCTAGTTTGCTCTTGGCGCCGGCGAGTTTCTTCTCCACGGCGGCCACGAACTCGGGGTCGAGCCGCTCGCGGTTCTCGTCGAGGAAGCGCTGCGTGTTGCGCACCATCTCCTCCATCTCGCCGGCGCGGGTCGCCAGGTCCCTCTGCAGCATCTGCGAGTGCGGTCAAAGAGGCACGTCGGGTTTCAAGTTTCATTAATTAGGTATAGCCCTGTGAGCCATTCATGAACAGGAAAACATCTTAAAGTGACTATGTGCAAACAGAAAATCCAAGAAAAGACAGCAACATATTGCAGAAAAAGCACCGTACACCAACGCTGTGTGCAAAAATCCCAGTGGGATGCAAGTCAAACAACAACAACCACAAGACAACTTAGATTTAGGCCATCAGTCTAACTCTGTACTACAACAAACAAACATGGCCAAACCGAAAAACTTTTCAAAAATCACCAAAATAAAGCCATAAAAGCTATGAAACAGTGATCATAGGAACTGTGACCGCATTTTCACAATAAACGGCGTAAACAACATGTATTACCAAACTCTGCAGCCATAGCTGGCTGCATGAGTCACTCCACAACAGCAGGAGCATCAGTCGGAGTGTCAACATTTTTCAATGCACGTTTAAGATCAAAGCACGCGACCGAAGATTCACCGCCAAAAACACTGAACAGGACACGACAGTCAACAATTGGCCATGCCGGAGCGACAATGCTTACTGCTTCAATAACGTGCATTTCCCATTCGGCAGTTCGACACATTCGCATTTAGTAACTTCATGTTTGGAGAACTCCGGATGTGTTTTGTAACTTGTACTGCGTGTTTCGAAGGAGCTAGTCTGGTTTCTCAAGAAGATCCCAGCAACTGGAATGAAAATGTCAGGACATTATGCCGAAGAACAAAACAAGCAATCGAAAAGCTACACACTGCACATGAAACCTTGTGCAGTGGTAATGTTTATTTAATCCGTTTATGTGTGTGGATATATTTATTTATTTTACTTCTCAATGTCCACAAATAAATTCATACTCAGTGTCCACTTATAGAAAGCGGTTTCATTTGTTAACAGTTCTTAAAACTTCCAGGTTTTATGAGGGCCCCAGGGTAAAGCATGATCTCCAACTATTACGTCCGTATGCCTCTCCCTGCTCTGAAGAAGATTAAATGCCTGAAATGTTAGCCATTTACGTAACACCATGAAGTGGTAATGATTATTGTGATGAGTTTGTTTAATCCGTGCTCGCATATCATTTCCAGCCCAGCCCATTAATTATTTTGTATATTACAGTAGAAACTGTTATAAGCACTGTTATTATATAAGCAACAACGGTGTGGTCTGGCCATGTTTGTTTGTTGTAGTACAGAGTTGGCCTGATAACTTTAATCCACATTGTCTTATGGTTGCTATTGTTTGACTTGCATCCCACTGGGATTTTTTGCACACAGCGTTGAAATGCGGTGTTTTTTTTTATGGAAGACTTTGCTGTTTGTTCCAGGATTTTTCTGTTGCGTGTAGTCACTTTAAGATGTTTCTTGTTCATGTTTTTGTTTTGTTGCGGTTGCACCCGAGTCAAGAGCCGCATGGCTCACAGGGTTACACCTAATAAATGTAACTTAAATAAATGAAACTGAACACAAACAGGGATACACGTGCGTGTGTGTGTAAACTTTGTTCTGCGTAGAGACAGCAGCCACTGGGGCTCCACTTGGACAATGAATGGGTCGAGATGAGATGTGACGTAAGATGCTTTCTTTGAGTTGCCAAGGCTTATAAGCACCCTAGAAATGCAAATCCGTTTGCTTAATTTATTCTGGTAAGGGCACGCCGATGGACAACTTCTGACACAAGCATATGTCGGACATAACCACAGCTGACCTTGCTCCCAAGGAGTGTGCTTACACATCCAGCTTCCACTGTGATACGATTACCAATTTCTAGCAAGCCTGCGACTTGCCTGGTGCTGCAGCTGTTGTTGTTGCAGATCGTTGAGTTCGTGGAGGTTATCCTGGTTGGAGAGGCCACTGGATGCTTCATCCAGCCAGGACTCCAGGTCGCTCAGCTTCTGTGAACACTCTTGTTGCCGCACCTCCAGGACTTGCTGCAAGGCACGTGTGTTCCCATTTAAAACCCCGCCATGCACCATCCATACATCGATATCTTTCACATGGTAACATTTACAAGTGTCTAACTGGCTGATAGTGGGGTTTTGCACCATAGAAATTAAACCAATGACCACTGATCGAATTTGAAGCACACCGACAGGTCTTGCACCACCGCAGAATGTTTTTCTTTGAACGGAACAAATTGTTTTCGAAACAATGTCACCCCCCCAGTGTAAGCGATGAAATAGGCAATGATATCAGCTCGTGCGCAGGCGTGAGATGGATTTTGACGGCCCCCGTGGGACCACGAGAAATGGTGACAATGCGGAGGAGCCTTCATCCATCAGTGAGTAGGCAAGTGGCTGATGATGAAGCCTGTAACAATGTATGAAGGCTAGTTTGGAGAGGAAAAAAATGTTGACCACCTCTGAAAACAGGTACTCAAAACGCAAGTTAAATGTGCACACGTTTACCCAACCCAAAGACTCCAACAGCAAAGTCCCTTGCTAAAAATGCATGTGAATAAGCACCGGTTTCTAGACTTAAATGTCCATGGTTCTGAAATGACCCTTGCGGGTGAGCCATAAACATGCACAGCGGACCATCTGTTGTCCATTAGAGGAAAACCGCAGAAGTCAGTAAAACAAATAGGCCAGAATACCACGAATATTTTGACCATATAACACTTTTTCACGCAGTTGCAAAAAATAATTCGATGAATAAATAAAAATGCAAAGCATATGAGCAACCATTCAACTGACAAAAAAAAATAATCTCTCCATGCAGTCGAAAAAGAAAAAAATCTCAAACATTAACAAAACCCAAGGCCTAAAAAAATCAATACAATACACGGCACAACGGAAGGGCACCTGCTTGCATTCACACAGATTAAAAATCAAGGCAACGTTAACAACAAAGACTCACACACACGCATACACACACATTACAACTTTCAACGCGTGAAATAAATTTAACTGTTCACATGCCCTAGCCCAGGCACAGGATGTGACATGCACAGGGGCAGGCATGATGCGAGAGCGATAGCAGCGAACTGGGGATACATCTTCCCGGCACTAAAACCCGGACCTCCAGGTCAATGACGGAGCCTTCATCGTGTGTCACATCTTCTCGTTCACAACGACCATCCCTTGCCGAGTGGGGCTCGGGCAAAGCCTTTTGGGAAAAAAAAAGACAAAAAACAGCGAGAATGAGAAAATAAATAATAAATACACGTACATCGTTTATTATTTTCAGAAATACAATGCATATTTGCAATTAATGGGATACCATGAAGAAAAGTGCAATAATAATGTATTCACATATTACCTCTTTGCCAATGACGATGTCCACGTTGTTGCTGCCGCCCTCCTGCTGTATATCTTTAGCGGTGGCATTCTTGGAAAGGTCACCTTCAAGAGGCGTAAGCTTCTCTTCAATTTGACAAGCTGCCTGCACTGGCACCTCTTGAAATAGGCTCTGATCTAATGGCTTTTCTTTCGTATCACCGGTATCAAGTAAACTGTCATTCAATGGCAAAGGAGTTGGCTCTAACTTTGAAGCTTCTGTTGCAGCGAAGACTTTTCCAGATGACACGCTTGCATCTTTGGGTTCCACTCTCAATTGACCTTGTACTTGCTCAATCATTTCAGAAGGCGGCGTATCGTCCGTGCTATGAGGACGATCATCATCATGTTTCAAGGTCCCTCTCTCTTGTTGGCTCACATTAGATGATATATCTCTCCCCCCATGAGAATCACCTTCATATTTCACTGGATCTGGCTCTTGTCGATTCGCACAAGGAGAAGGTGTATCTTTCGCACTTTGGGAATCATCATCTTCATGGTGCAGTGTGTCTCGCTCTTGTTGGTTTGCATTATAAGAGGCATCTAGCTCAATTACATTAAAAGGGTCATGTTTTTCAGCATTAGGTTTTATTATCTCTGGCTTTTGTTGACCTGCACTAGAAGTTGGATCTTCCCCCCTATAATGGTCGTATTCTTTTTTCAATGTATCTTGCTCTTGTTGATTTGCACTTGAAACAAATGTATCTTTCTCACTGTGAGGATCGTGATCTTCACGTTTCACCATCCCTTGCTCTTGCTGGCTTGCATCAGAAGGGACATCTTTTACACTCTCAGAATCATCTTCCTGTTTAACCGTGTCTCTCTCTTGCTGACTTGCATCAGACGGAACATCTTTTACACTCTCAGAATCATCTTCCTGTTTTGCCGTGTCTCTCTCTTGCTGACTTGCATCAGAAGGGACATCTTTTACACTCTCAAAATCATCTTCCTGTTTTGCCGTGTCTCTCTCTTGCTGGCTTGCATCAGACGGGACATCTTTTACACTCTCAGAATTATCTTCCTGTTTTGCCGCATCTCTCTCTTGCTGGCTTGTATCAGAAGGGACATCTTTTACACTCTCAGAATCATCTTCATGTTTTACCGTGTCTCTCTCTTGCTGACTTGCATCAGAAGGGACATCTTTTACACTCTCAAAATCATCTTCCTGTTTTGCCGTGTCTCTCTCTTGCTGGCTTGCATCAGACGGGACATCTTTTACACTCTCAGAATTATCTTCCTGTTTTGCCGCATCTCTCTCTTGCTGGCTTGTATCAGAAGGGACATCTTTTACACTCTCAGAATCATCTTCATGTTTTACCGTGTCTCTCTCTTGCTGGCTTGCATCAGACAGGACATCTTTGACACTCTCAAAATCATCTTCATGTTTTACCGTGTCTCTCTTTTGCTGGCTTGTATCAGACGGGACATCTTTTACACTCTCAGAATCATCTTCCTGTTTCACCGTGTCTCTCTCTTGCTGGCTTGCATCAGAAGGGACATCTCTTACACTCTCAGAATCATCTTCATGTTTCTCCGTGTCTCTCTCTTGCTGGCTTGCATCAGACGGGACATCTTTTACACTCTCATAATCATCTTCCTGTTTAACCGTGTCTCTCTCTTGCTGGCTTGCATCAGAAGGGACATCTCTTACACTCTCAGAATCATCTTCATGTTTCTCCGTGTCTCTCTCTTGCTGGCTTGCATCAGACGGGACATATTTTACACTCTCAGATTCATCATCATGTTTCTCCGTGTCTCTCTTTTGCTGGCTTGCATCAGACGGGACATCTTTTACACTCTCAGAATCATCTTCATGTTTCTCCGTGTCTCTCTCTTGCTGGCTTACATCAGACGGGACATCTTTTACACTCTCATAATCATCTTCCTGTTTAACCGTGTCTCTCTCTTGCTGGCTTGCATCAGACGGGACATCTTTGACACTCTCAGAATCATCTTCCTGTTTCACCGTGTCTCTCTCTTGCTGACTTGCATCAGAAGGGACATCTCTTAAACTCTCAGAATCATCTTCATGTTTAACCGTGTCTCTCTCTTGCTGGCTTGTATCAGACGGGACATCTTTTACACTCTCAGAATTATCTTCATGGTTGTCCGTGTCTCTCTCTTGCTGGCTTGCATCAGAAGGGACATCTTTTACACTCTGAGAAACATCTTCCTGTTTAACCGTGTCTCTCTCTTGCTGGCTTGCATCAGGAGGGACATCTTTTACACTCTGAGAAACATCTTCCTGTTTAACCGTGTCTCTCTCTTGCTGGCTTGCATCAGAAGGGACATCTTTTACACTCTCAGAATCATCTTCATGTTTTACTGTGTCTCTCTCTTGCTGGCTTGCATCAGAAGGGACATCTTTTACACTCTCAGAATCATCTTCATGTTTTACTGTGTCTCTCTCTTGCTGGCTTGCATCAGAAGGGACATCTTTTACACTCTCAGAATCATCTTCCTGTTTTACCGTGTCTATCTCTTGTTGGCTTGCGTCAGACGGGACATCTTTCACACTCTCAGAATCATCTTCATGTTTTACCGTGTCTCTCTCTTGCTGGCTTGCATCAGACGGGGCATCTTTTACACTCTCAGAATCATCATCATGTTTCTCCGTGTCTCTCTCTTGCTGGCTTGCATCAGACGGGACATCTTTTACACTCTCAGAATCATCTTCATGTTTTACCGTGTCTCTCTCTTGCTGGCTTGCATCAGACGGGACATCTTTTACACTCTCAGAAACATCTTCATGTTTCGCCGTGTCTCTCTCTTGCTGGCTTGCATCAGAAGGGACATCTTTAACACTCTCAGAATCATCTTCATGTTTTACTGTGTCTCTCTCTTGCTGGCTTGCATCAGACGGGACATCTTTTACACTCTCAGAATCATCATCATGTTTTACCGTGTCTCTCTCTTGCTGGCTTGCATCAGACGGGACATCTTTTACACTTTCAGAATCATCTTCATGTTTCACCGTATCTCTCTCTTGCTGACTTGCATCAGATGGGACATCTTTTACACTCTCAGAATCATCTTCATGTTTTACCGTGTCTCTCTCTTGCTGGCTTGCATCAGACGGGACATCTTTTACACTCTCAGAATAATCTTCATGTTTTGCCGTGTCTCTCTCTTGCTGGCTTGCATCAGAAGGGAGATCGTTTACACTTTCAGAATCATCTTCCTGTTTTGCCGTGTCTCTCTCTTGATGGCTTGCATCAGACGAAGGGACATCTTTTACACTCTCAGAATCATCTTCCTGTTTTGCCGTGTCTCTCTCTTGCTGGCTTGCATCAGAAGGGACATCTTTTACACTCTCAGAATCATCTTCATGTTTCTCCGTGTCTCTCTCTTGCTGGCTTGCATCAGACGGGACATCTTTTACACTCTGAGAAACATCTTCCTGTTTTGCTGTGTCTCTCTCTTGCTGACTTGCATCAGAAGGGACATCTTTTACACTCTCAGAATCATCTTCATGTTTTACTGTGTCTCTCTCTTGCTGGCTTGCATCAGAAGGGACATCTTTTACACTCTCAGAATCATCTTCATGTTTTACTGTGTCTCTCTCTTGCTGGCTTGCATCAGAAGGGACATCTTTTACACTCTCAGAATCATCTTCATGTTTTACCGTGTCTCTCTCTTGCTGGCTTGCATCAGACGGGACATCTTTGACACTCTCAGAATCATGATCATGTTTCTCTGTGTCTCTCTTTTGCTGGCTTGCATCAGAAGAGACATCCTGCCCAGTGTGAGAATCCTCATGCGTCTGCTGTACTCCCGTTTGCCCTTGCTTTACCTCAGCAGTGGAAACCGTTTCAGACACCACTTTAACATCATCAGGTTTTACACTGACTTGGCCTTGACCCATTTCAGGAGAATGAATATTGTTCCTATTTTGACATTCTTCATCGGTACTTTTCACACCGTGTCGCTCATGTTTCACAACTTCATGGAAGGAAACCTCTTCTCCTGTGAGAGGTTGCTCATCTGAGCATTCATCACCTCCTCGCTGCTCCTCAACTTCACAAGTTAGAGAAACGCCTTCCTCATGTTCGCTCGTCTCGTGCCTGCGTTGCTCTTGATCCTGTTCCAACTCTTCAATGTCAACCACGTGAACGGGCGTGTCCTCCAAATAGTTCTCAGTGGTTTCCGTTGCTTTCATTTGCTCTCTCTTCTCACATTCACCCACCACTCCTGAAGCTCCTTCAACCACAACTCCATCAGGCCGTTCGCTCGGCACACCTGCAATGTCTTTCTCGAAAGGAACACACGTTCCAAACTCATTGTTCACATCCTCACTTTCAACCTTTTCAACATGCGTCATTGAGCCTTTGACATGACTACCATCAACTGCTTTCACAGTTACGGTCTCATCTTTAAGATTACATTTTCCTGAAGAGTTAAATAGTGTATCGTCGTCTTTGTGCGGACCTACAACATTGTCCGTTTGGAATTTTCCAGTAACAACATCTGTCTCAGTCACCTTTGCATCGGTGTCTCTTTCCTCTTCTTCACCTTTAATTTCAAGCAGCATCACCTCCTCACCAACCTTCTTGACCATCTCTACAGCAGGCAGTGCAGGAGCAGGCTTTGCTTCGGAGCAAATGGCAACGGCGTGTTTGTCATCCTGGCAACTTTCTGAGCTAACGCTACCAGAAGACAATCTTGTATCATCGTTCACCATTTGGTCAGCGGATAACAATAATTCTGCTTCTGAAGGAACGGCCGTTTTCATTTTCTGTAATCCCGATACATCTTTGACCAGCTCTTGATTCACCACGTTGTTCAACTCATCCTTCGTGGTGAAATTCATCGCACTCTGGCCATTATTTGCTTCTGTTTGTTCGGTGTGGGCTTGTAATATGTTGGCTGTTGTCTCTCCGTGCCATTTGTCTGTAGCTAAATTGGAGCTAATATTGTCATTTGGTTCGGTTTGATCATCAAAAACATTTGAGGCAATCTCTGGCTCCCGTAAGGGATGACTGATCATATGGAGGCTCTCTCCATCCTGGCTCATTTCATCAGTGTCCGAGCATTCAACAACGCTTTGAAAAATATCCTCAAGGTCCAACACATTTCCTATTTCCTCCGAGGTAGTTTCCTTTATATCATGAGTGATATACTCCTTCTCATCATCATCATCAGTATGTTTTAGTAACTCACTATTTATATTTTTTGACTTAGTTAACTCAGGAGGTTCAAAAGGCATCTTTTCTTGTTTAATATGTAGGCCCACAGGCTTCTGCAACGCTTCCGCTTCATCAATATTGGAAACCCGCACATCTTTTGACTGCCGTGCTCCATCTTCAGAAACCACGACAGCAGTTTCAGCAAGTTGCCCTACATCATGAAATGTTTCTTTTTCAACCAAGCAATCATCTCTCGGGACATTCTCCTCTCGCTCATCTTCATCGGAGTGCTCTTTCAACTTCCGCTCGACGTCCTCTGCGTTCGGGCTACAACCTACATTTTGCAAATCGATACGCTGCGTCTTATCTTTCTCGGCATCAACGTGCATCTTTGGAACGTACACTTCACCACCTGCTACATCCACTTCACTCACTACACCACGATCGTGATCTGCCCTGTTTTGATCAAAGGCACTTTCAATGTTTTGCATAGGGGTCAGGTTTCCATCTGTCTCGGAGCGTTTGCGATTACCTTCAGCTCCTTCCAATGGCATTTCCTCCAGATGTTTTTCTTCATTGAAGATGGCCTCATCAGACAGTGACAGAACATTCTCAAGAATTGTGTTGTCTTCGGTTGCGTCCACGGACCTGTAGCCCGAATCTTTACTCAGTGCAGATGCTTCTTTTTCAGTCAGTGCAGTGCTCTCCTCTTTTTCTTTCATGCACAAGTCTATGTTGCCAACATCTGAAAGTGCTTTTGTAAGGGAAGCACACATTTCAATCACCTTCATGTCACCCATCTCATCTGCAGATCCATGCTGCTGGCTATCAACATCAGTGCTTAATGTAAAATCTTGCGCATCACTTGATATCCGTGGCATTTCCCCTTTATTACTTTCTTTCTCACACGGCAGTAATTCAGTCACCCTGTTCTCTTCACGAGCTAGGTTCTCATCAGAAAACGTTTGTTCGTTAATGTCCATCTCTACGTGGCTTCCTTCGATTACCCCTCTGGTCAGGCATGTAACGCCAGCATCCATCACTATTAGCCTGTGCCCTGTTTTAGTGTCCATGTAACTGTGATCCAGAACGTATTTAAGCAGAAGATGTTCTTCATCCACTTCACTGCCATGTTCCTCTGCATCTCCTACAGAAGCATCTTGCTGAATTTGACAGGGCTGCTGCTTGAGGAATGGATTTTCATCTGGCACAAGGATCCCCTTCAGGCTATCACTAATCGCAATGTCCAGCACAGATCTTTTGGCAGACTCCTTTATCGACAACACTCCGCCAGCCTCAGGTACATAAAGCCCAGCCACATAATGGCGGTTTTCCAAAACCTTCAGTGCTGTGTCCGTACTAATAGCATCCTGATGTAGTGCAGTTGAGACTGGCATCAGCTCCCCAGACTCCACCCAAATGAGACCTCTGAATGCCTGCAGAGATTCCAAAACAACCAGGGCACTTGTTGGAGAGATTATGTTTTGAGCCACAGCTTCATCCACAGAGAGTCTCTGACCACAGGAGGGATCCACAATTCCGCCAGACATGACTTGCTGCACTAGCAGTGAGGACATCGTCTCGTGGTCGATAAGGTTATGGTTCACAGCTTCTTCTGCAGTCATCCTGCGCCCTGTCCTAGGATCAACAATGCCCCCTGCGAAAAGCTGGCATTCCAAAAGACGAAGCATCACGTGCCTGTCGATAAGCCCTTCGTGAACTGCCCTGAGTACACTGACCTTTCTACCAGACTTTAGGCAAATAATTCCTGCTGTCGTCTGCCCGACAGGCAAAAGCTTTTGGCCAGTTTCCTCATGGTAAATACATCGCTGCAACAGCTCCGAGAGAGACACTTTCTCGAGTGAATTGGGATCGAGTAGGCTCTGGCAGGTCTTGTTCCTCTCCAGCAGCTTGGAGAGGAACTGTGGTGTTATTAAGTTCAGCTGGGATGCCTTCTCCAGTGACAGGTCATCGGTGAAATCCTTGTGAATTAATCCTCCTGTTGCAAGCTGTGCTTCTAGAATCTTCACCCCAATGGCTTCTGGGATCTGTCCTGTGTCCACAGCTGTTACGACGGGCAGATGATGTATACGGTCAAGTGGAATGGCACTGACCGCTTGTCGATGGAGCTGAATAATTTCTAAACGACCGTGAATGTGGTCATCAATGAGCCCCCTGTGCAAGGCCTCTTTCAGTGAGATCACCTGGTTTGCACGTGGATCGACCAAACCACTCAAAATAACTTGCGTTTCTAACAGTGTCAGGCCAGTCTCGTGATCAAGGAGCCCTTTCTTGACCGCATGATATATTGAGAAGACTTCTGACGTGCCTTGGTTAATTATTCCGGCAATTGCCACATTACCCTGCAAAGCCAAAAGAGATTAAACAGCATCAATGTGGAAACTACGCGTACACAAGGGATTTTTTTAGCAAACAGAAACAATAGCAACATAAATACGTAATTAAGCAGCAAAAATCGTCATTAAAACTGCCAAAAAATATGCAATTGATATAAATGAATGCGAAAAACCGAAAGGCAGTTGTAAAGCAAGTAAAAAATAATGTAAAATTGACAACGTATGTACTTACCAAAACAAAAGGATGTCACACAAGCGGTGCAAGCATTTTTGTCAAGGGTCAATGCCAACAGCATGACAGGTGAAAGGGGATAAGGAAGCTGGTCCAGCATGCTTCTTTAGAACTCACAACACAATGGCTTTGTGACACAGAAGCATCAGTTAGTTAACGGCAAGTAAAAAAATGTTAACTTGAACCTCCAGACTCGATGTGGGGAGACACACACGGACGTTTTGTTGTTCTTTGCAAACACGCGAGACATTTCTTTGTTAAAGTTCAGACCATGCTGTGCATGTTTATGGCAAGCCACACGATGTACTCGTGAAGGTAAGTAAAACACCAGTGCCCTGCTGTGTGTTACTTTCTGCTTCCAGTGCAAGGTGGCGGTGCTTGAATACAAATGTCCCAATGGTGCAGCGGTGGTAGTAGTAGCTGATTCATGACAAGGATTTACTTTTTTCGCCTGTATTGTTGCAAATTTGAATTTCGCTCAAAATGTAAGGACCCATACTGGTATGCAATTAAAAATAAATTCACAAAAAAACACACGCATATAACAGGATTAAAACCTATGGTGCAATAACCCCACCATGCACGTTTATAAAGGAGAGCAATGCAACACATTTGAAAAAATAACAAAAAATGAACGAGCTGAGCATGCACGCATCAACAAAAACACACGTTAAGGTGCAACCAAAAAACAATGAACATTCCGACATTCCGTTTAATGAAAATGCAGCGTTAAAAAAAATCACCGCATTAATGTCTGCAACGCAACACGACGACCATGCTTGTCCTGTGCCAACCCAGCATCACCGAGACCGAGCAATACGCTACCTTGCGCTGCGCTTCCTTGTGCAGCTGTTGCAACTCCTCTGCCGACTGCTCGCACAGCTGCTGGTAGGTTTGCTTGAGGTTGTCAAGCTTGGCCTGAATTTCGGCCTTCTGTTCTTCCGATAGCCTTCATGCACAGCACAGGAAAAAGCAGAATTTAGTTGTTTTTCCCCAACGGCAAGTTAATTGCGCAATTTGTGATATGTATATATGCATCGGAAAAACACCAAAAATCTTTGAGCTCAGATAATGCCCCACCAAACTTAACCCAAACCTGGAACGCAGAGTGGTATTGTGCACTGCAGCACTATGCACCTGGCCACCAAAGTTCCTTCTTTGCCCTCGTCTAGGAGGCCGCTTTCCTATCTTACAGCAGTTACATGCTAATTTCTCACATTAACAGCACTAGCCCTGGCCACTTCTTTATGACCCTTGGGCTACACCCATTTCAAACCTTTTAAAACAGTCTGCCTCAGCAGCAGACCATGCTTTCCCACCTGATGACGGATGCTTGTGTTGCGCCTTAAACGTCGTGATATATTTTTATTTTATACCTAACTTTACCGAAAGAACCAAAGAGAATGGGTATTAATACATAAAACTACTAATATTATAAATACATACAATTAAAAGAAACATTGTTAAATCAAAGCATTAATTAACATTTACTGTACCTACAACAGCCCGTCGTTAACAGGAGTGGTCGTTAAGAGGGGTTGTCTACTGTATAATAACCATGAAAAACGTGGACACTCACTTGCTGCCGTTTTGAGCCAAAAACAGCTCCGTCTGTCGAATGGCCTCAGCAACAGCATCCTTCTGGGAGGACAGCTGGTCAACCAAACTCTGCAAGAATGGAGCAAAATGTGAGAGTTCATTAGCACAGACAAAGATTAATCGAAATGCAATTGTAATGATTTTAGATTCCAAAGAACACAGGATGGGATGTTATTATCCTTTGTGCAAGCACTTCCAAGAGTTCATGAACAGTGAGCCTGGTGAAATTTGGGGAGCGCATCGTCAGTAGTGAACCTTTGGGTCCTAGGGTGTTTCGGCCTTTCATACTATACACCCTCCCCAAAGGCGGCCAGCGACAGGGTGATCAATCAATTTTAGATTATACAGCATTTACGTAGAGACGCATGTAGAGTTTGTTTCATACTGAGAATGACAGAGTAAATCCAGTGATTTTTTTTGAAAGATTACTGTGAAGTGCCATGTGTTCTAAGTGCGTAAAAAGGCTTGATAATTATTACCATTTTGGCAAATATCGTGAAAATTACTGAATATTTGACATTTTTATTCTGTACGTGTATTTATTATACCATTGCTGGATGTAGGTCTAGGTCTACCTAGATCTTTCGGTAATGGGGGGGGGGGGGGTTGTTTGACCATACTTCCTCACGTTGTTCATTGTGGGTCGGTGCAGGGAGGCCAGGACTGGCTCATGACGATCATCGCCACTTTAGTCGTGACCGGGAATCGAACTCAGATATGACAGGGTTCGTGGTGCAGTTTGTTCAACACTGCATCACCGCTCCACCCTTATCTCGATATAGAAGGGCTGATAAAGCACTGCTTTGTAGCTCGAACACAATAAGATAACATTGTGGCTGAAGGCCATTCTTTAGAAGGGCAACTGTCGAAATATGTTACTTATTTCAGACCAATGGTAGGGGGAGGGGATATGCATCAACGTATCAATTAAAATCGTTCTAAAGCTCATGATGCATCAGATCCTGTTGTGCAGATTTAGTTCACGAGGACCCCTGCAACCACTAAAGGTGCTACAGCGCAAAACGATGTGAGAACAAAAGTGTGATTCTTTAATCAAATTGTGCCCCCTACTCAAGACGAACGGAATCGCCAGGATTGTGCATAATTACAGGCATATTTTACACATTTTTAATTTGTGGACGTGTTCGCTAATGTTGAAGGTGCTAAAAGACATTTAACAACTGATGCTTCAACACCACTGCCAATGCAATGCTTCACTGTTCTTGTCAACTTACATATGTATGCACTGTAATTCAGAATATTGGATAATGTGGCAAGGCCAGAGCCCTGATATGTGTCGAATTAACAAGGGTTTACTGTATACTCTTTGGTTCTTTCGGTAAAGTCACGTAGGTAGAAATAAAATCAATTAATCACGACGTTTCGATCGCAACACAAGCGACCGTCATCAGGAGGAACCGATACAACTGCTGATTTCAGCAGTCAAGCAGGACAACTGCTGTCCAAGCAGGACAACTGCTGAAATCAGCAGTCGTCCTGCTGTATCGGTTTCGCCTGATGACGGTCGCTTGTGTAGCGATCGAAACGTCGTGATTTATTTTATTTTTCGATTTAAAGCTTTCGTTATTTTATTATGTTTTATTATTATATTATTATATTATTTTATTATTATTTTATTTTTATTATTTTATTTTATTTCTACCGACGTGACTTTAACCGAAATAACCAAAGAGTATTTGATTCCTGCGGTCACGAAAGCTTCAAATCAGGGTTTACTGTATGTTGAACTTTTTTCGCACAATATGGAAAGGTGGTCACAAATGACACCTGCTCGTTACGGCGTTCTTGCCTGCCGAGGGGCTATGTTGTCGGCAAAGTGCAGTGCAGCAAAATGCATATTGTACTGTGTTACACCCCAACGTCTATGCTCCCCGCCTTCAACAACCAGCAACTGACCAACGTGGCGAAGTATGGCCAAACAACTCGCACGACCTGCACGGCGTGGGGGAGGCCCTCATCCGTCAGTGCGATGAATTCACGTAAAGGGATACGCACATGCACGTACGTACGTACGTAAGAGTTTCGCGCGCGCGTCGAACAAATATCGCGCAATCACGAAACATTTGAACGCATCCTCCTCACCTGCTGCTCATTGCAGCTCTGGTCCAGCAGCTCAGAGCTGGGACTGAGGCCACTGGACTGCGCTCGTCTGCTCTGGAGATTCTCGCCGATGCCCGACACCCACGAGAGAAGCTCGTCCACCTTTGACAGGTGACCTTCTCTGGACTGTTCCAGGGACGTCTGGGTGGGCGGCGAGGATGCCGAGAATCCGGTTAGTGGCGCAAAAATAAAAAATTGTACACGTGATTTTTTTTTTTTGTGGTCGTCGTCGTCACATTTCAACGTCAAAACACCAACGTCTCAAGGTGGAGTTAAGCTTGGCAATTGAAAATACAAGCACGGTGCATGCAGAGTTCAACGCAGTTTCTGCGAAAGTGTCGAGACTGTACGGTGCTACAGTTATATGTTTCAGGACGGTTTTATATTTGCAATGACTTTCATGTACTTTTTATTGAAATATAATTTGCATATCTGTAACACCGTAGAGTAACACTTTCAAATTGGAAAAGTTCACCTTTTCACAATTTTAGGCAAATATAATGCCAAGCATGCATACCAAGCAGCTGCACAACTCCCACTTTTGGCCATAAAACTGGAATTTTTTTCTATAATTCTCCACAGATAATTCAAAGGGAGTGTGAAAGGCATAGTACAACATATAGGGCACTACACCTCGTTAGCAGATGGGACATATCCAATAGTTTTAATGAGAAATTTGTATAAAGAGCCTTCGCATATCTTAAAAGTTGTTGCAGCTTGGTAATACACTTTGAGCAAGATTAACACACCCTACTTTAGACATAACACACACATTCAGAGCATCACCACCATTAAACACCAACAAACTCTCAGTCAACGGAAGCAAAACGTTCCAAGAATTTAAGCGTTGCAAAAATATGCACTCGCCATTTTGGCTCATGCCAGTTTTGTTGTTTTCCTTGTCAAAACATTGAAATTTCCATCATTTGGTTAAGTACGGATGTAACGAAAAAAATACATATGGCACATCCCGATAAAGTGAATACACGTGTGGATGAATAAAGACAAACAAGTTGCTGCTGTCACAGTTTTGTACAAAATGCACACCAACCACTGCCCCACAGACCTCCAGGCCATGCTTCCACCCCCGTATGAAAGACGCCGTGCCACGCGCTTCTGCACAACCCTGTCAAGTCTCGCCCTAGCCCACCAGTTGCCAGAACATGCTCCCTGGACAGAAGCTTCCTTAGATCTGCTGTCCGGATATGGTATGGAAATGCCTCCCTGAACACATTGTCGGCAAAATCACTGATTCTGGTCTTCAGGCCTTCAAATGCCGAGCACACACATGGATATCTCCTAACGTCACCATACGCCTTGTCGGGACTATTCAGTCATTGAGCTGCAGTGAACCAATGATTATGCCGATTAGAAGTACTAATGTGTGATATGGCTGTTGTTCACAATTATACCCAATTAAAAACATCCAATACAACGTTGATACTAGACACTGGATAGCCCCAACGTTGAGATTAAAAGTAAAAGTTGCAGCTAGCTTTGTTTTAGGAGCTGAACGCCATGAGAAATTCGCACAATAGGTTTGGCTCTTAACGTGACACAAGTACACACACACACACAGGTTTGTTTCAACATTGTACTCCACACATATGTTGAGCACTGGTTTTAATTAAAAAAAACACTGCACAAAGCTTAGTGGCTAGAGAGGGACAGCAGGGATGGAGATGACCTTGAAAGTGAAACCACAGCAAGGAAAAACAGAATATATTGCATTGAAAGCACCCAACCCAAGTGTATTTCCAGAAGAGAGGAATAAAAAGTAAAATTTTACACAAATATTCAAATGATGGACTGTAACTGAATGAGTTGCTTCCATGCACATAGTTATTGCTAATATACATTTATCAAATTAGCTTGGATGCTACACATTTACAGGGTACATACCTCAAAGAATTAGTTTCCCCCCCCATTTGTTTTGTTAATGAATACATAATAATGCGCAAAGTATCACAAAGTGATTATTAAACCGATAACATATGCAGCTTTGAGTGCTACGCACCACACTGCAAGATGCTTGAGCTTTCGGGCTGTTATCACAGGAGAGGTCATCATCATCGCTGTCCCCTAGCAGTGTCTTGTCCAGCCCAAAGTACACAGCAACCCCATTGCGAGGGCACTCTACCAGTTCATTCTGTGGCACCAAGCAGCCTTGCTCCTTCTGCCACCGTTGTGCCCAGGAGAAATTGTAGAAGCTGTTCTCAGACATTGAAGGCTTCTCCCCTTTTTCGTGTTCAAAATAAGATCTCTTCTCACTTTGTGGAGCACCCTCAATCGTCTGGGAGGTTCCGGTGACATTTTTCCCTTCTTGGTTGTACAATTCACTTTCGCAGATATCGAGAGGAGCACACGGTTCATCTTCACGATGCTGGTTTGAAGCCTTAATGCATAGGCCTTCGTCAGAATAAACACACTTTAAATTCTGTGTTGATGGAGATGTAGTTTTGGAGCCACTTACATTTCCATACGATAAACCTTCTACACCAAGGGTGTTTACTACGTCTGTGATTGCGGGGATGACATTTTCTTTGGTTGGCTGTGCCATATAATCAGCCAAACTTCCAGAAGAATAAACTACTGATGTGACATTTATTTTCGAACTGTCAAAATCAGTATCGGACATCTTATTTGGAGGTGACCCTGGTGGTGACTTTTTCAAAATATAGTAGGTTACATTTTCATCATCTTTAACTTCCGCATTTTGTTTTTCAGGAGGGGTAAGGTAATCATGTCCATGGTGATGCTCAATTAATTGCTCAGGTGTATTTCCAAGCATGGACCCATCGACGTGATCATGGGAAATGGCATAGCTAGACAAAGGAGGGGATCGATATGTTCCAGCCGAATTGAACAAGTTGGCACTGCCGTCTGCCGCCTTTACTTTGTGCGAAGCGCCATCGCAGGAAGGCTGGAGGGATCGGCTGGAATCTGACTCGGCAACGTGCATCATCATTTCGGGAGCCTCCGTGTCCGAGAGCAATTTAGAACTCTCAGACACGGAGCCCACCCCTAAAAAATGATCGGACTCGTTAGAAAGCATCGTAGGAGAAGTCGCAACCCTCTGACCAGAACTAAAACTAGTCTGACCAGAAAATGTATGAGTGCTAAACCCTGTGCTATGGCCACCACTGTCAACAGAACTTGAACCTGAGCCAAAGAAGGAAGTGCTTCCAAAGCTCGAGCTAGACCCAGACACAGCAATGGCCTGCTGGGCCGACACTCCCAAGCTGGTCAGCGTAGAAGCTTCGAGGAACCTTAAGCCGGTCGGGGCGTCTATCTTGGAACGATCCATCGCCTCCTTGTAGGATATTTTTGCTTTTGTTTTAGGGCAAATCATGTATTTTGCGTAAGCGTACACATTGCGCAGTTTCTTGATCATTACCTCGCTAATTGTGCCCTTCCGAAGAGCTTCATCAATTGGCACTCGGCCTTTTATACCAGGTTCAATGAGGCCTCCTGTTAAGTACTGCACCTCAAGATATCTCTGCCCTGCCTCAGTATACAAGGAACCTTTTTTCATGGCCTGCGCTGTGGAAATGACAGTTTTATTACGGGCATCTTCAAACCCTTTGAACGCCTTCTCAGCGAGTTGAATCCTTTCTTTCATTATTTTATCAATAAGATGTTTTGCAACTGCTTCATCAAGGGAATATCTCTGCCCTGTTGCTGGATCTATGATTCCCCCAGTGCATGCCTGAGCCTCAAATAGCTTTTGACCCGTTGATCCATCAACTAAATGTCTCTTCATTGCTTCTTTGATGGTAATGTATTCCTTTTCGTGAAGATCTAAAATCCCTGCGACTGGCGTGGTTTCCTCTGTGGGGTCATTGAATGAACACAAGCTGCCATATTCCACAAACACATCACTACTGCCAGTTTGTGGTGATCTTGGAGATGATGGTTGGACTTCATGGACAGGCGCGCTTGCACTCAGCATACCGGCCAATTCTGAGACAGAAATAGATCCTTCCTTGTACTGTTTAAAGCTAGCCTCGGTTAATATGCCTTTCGCAAGTGCATCATCAATGTTAAACTCTTTTCCGGACTTGCTGTCCATCAAAAGAGTGGAGACACTGCCGTCTGGCATTATTGTTACAGTTTCTTTCCACTCACCTTCTTGTTCTGTGAGCTTATAATATGTGTGCACATCAATGAAACCTTTTCGGTATGCCTCATACACAGTCATTTCCCTCTTTGTATCGGGATCTATGATAATGATCTTACGGGCCCGTACAGATGATTTGGACGAGGGTCTCCTGTCCTTTTCCTTTTCTTTCACCGGAAGCAGAGATAAACCAAATTCTGAATCGCACACACATTTGCCCAACAGGTCTTTGTAACTGATTTTGTCACCCGTGTCTGGGTCATGAAAACCTTTGGCTTGCTCGCCAACGCCTGACAAAATTCGGAACATATCCGTGTCTATGACATTGTGCTCATAAGCCATTTTCAGAGGAAGGCGAATGCTTGCCTGTGGCTCAATTATCCCACCTGTGGCCGCCTGTACCTCCAACAAATTAACAGCCATAACCTTCAAATCGGGTCTTTTCTGTAATACCCTCTGCAGTGTCAGCACTTTCCCCGTGAGCATATCAGTAAAGCCTGTTGCAATTTTTTCAGCAGTGAGCAGCTTTTCGCGAAATTCAGAGCCAACCAACCCCTTCCTGAAAGCATCATCTACCGTCAGCTTGCCATTGTTAGCCGGGTCTAATATGTAGCCAGTGGCAGCCTGAGCCTCGAGCAATTCCAAGGCAGTGGTCGGGCTTAGAATCCCTCGTTTCATTGCACTGTAAATGCCCACCTTTTCATTCGTGGACTCAACAAGGATCCCAGCAATTCCCACCGCCGCTCTGTAATTGCGATTTCAGAGACTGCGATATTTCCTCGAGGGTCACTGTCCCCTGCAAGACTGAGAAGCTTTCGCCTCGCTTAGCAATCCGGCGTTAATCAGTGCCTCCAGACTAACTGGGCGTCTCACTCCTTGGACGCCGATGAGCTTTTTCCTGTCAATCTTCGGACCCTTGCCCTCAATAATTTCTATGATTATGATGATAATTGTCTCCACGGTTGTGACACCTTGCTTGTAGGATGCCTTTAGATCCCTCCTCTTTACTTCTGAAATAATACTGGAATTAAGGATCTCCCAAATTGAAAGGGTTTTTCCTGCCAACACACCGGACGGTATGGTTAAAAATGGTTTCTTAAGAGCAATTTCCATTTGATATTCAGTGTATGTCTCTATTACAGTTTTGCCCGAGGCGCCGAGAAGCGTCGCTGCAACCTGGCTGTATCTATCGCCAGGACTTTGTTGCTGCTCGCTTGTTTGGCGACTGCTGCTGTTGCTTTCTGTGTGAGTGACACCTGACCTAGTTATAGTGACATTGCTCTCGGCGACCTTGTCGGTCTTCATGGTCAGCTTCTGCAGAGCCTCCATCTCTCGCTTTTTGTTCTGCTCTAACTTTTCAAGCTCTAGTTTCCTCTCTTTTTCGAGACGCTGCATGTCCAATTTCTTCTGCTCCTCCAAAATCCGCTGCTGGTGCTCCAAGTCTCGGAGCCTCTGCTGCAACAGTCGGTTCTCCCCTTCCCATCTGCGCTTCTCCTCGTCAGACTTTTTCTTCTCCATGTCCATCAGCTCCTTCTGCTTCTGCTGTATTTCCGTCTCACTCTTCCTCTGCTTTCTCATGCCCTCCTCAATCTGCGCACGCAGATTCCTGTTCTCTTCCTCCTGCTGCCTTCTCTGCCGCGTTTCGGCCATCAGCAAGGCCTTGGCCTTGTCGAGTTCCTCCTCGTACATCTGTTCCAGCTTTCCTTTTTCCTCGTCGAGAAGCTTCTGCTTCATTAAGAGCGTCTCCCTCTCAGTCTTGTGCTTAAAGGCTTCTTCCTCAATTTTCTTGTGCAGCACCTGAGTCTCGTGAGATATTTGCGACTCGTCTAATTTAGTCCTCTGCGGGGGAAAAAAAATTGGCAAGACATATTTTTGTCAGGCCAAGGTTTCAAAATGCTTTTTTTCCCATGGCTCTTTCCCAGCAGGCAAGCCCTGTGGCTTTGATGAAGCATGCATATTGTAAATAGGGAGCAGTGGTGTTTCTTAAGTATGGATGTGAGGGAAATCTAGAAAACATGAATATTTTAAGACAATAATTACATGCTACTTTAGTTCAGCTTAATAGTGTGATTTTTAAAAAATATTATTGCATAGCATCCCAATAAGATGCAACGTTAGGTCAATGCTGGATGACACTGGGCCAACGTTGGTCCAATGTCAACCAATATTGGCCCCAACATTTGCATGTCTATTGCAATACATGATATTTAAATAGACTGCATATTTTAGTATATTGCCTTTACAATTCTAAGAACGGTATAATGAAATATGGTTAGTTGTACTTTATGAACATGCAAATAATTATAGATGAAAGTGATTATATGCACTACATATAATGCAACTGAAAGAAGCCATGGGATTCATAATGTTAAAGAGAGCATGCATAAAATATATTTTATACACATAAGGGCTTACATAACTACACTCCATGTTTTTGGTATATTATGATATTTTAAGTATATAGATGTCTACAATAACAGGTAGAGGTCCTTTGTATTCAGAATGACAGAAGGTAAAAGGAAAAAAGTCAGGGTTTGGAAAACAAATAATGGATCGCAAGCTTACCAAATACAGAACGAGGAAATAGAATATATATAAATAGTAAAATAATCCCAGCGGAAGGTATGGATTTTCCAGAAAAGTTACAGCCACCAAGCAGAAAAAAAAACTAGAAAAAATAAAACCTTCAGGGGATATAACACGACTGCATGTGTATAGAATGTTGTTATATCCTGCGGCGTTAAAACTACGAGGTATGATAAAAAATTAAGCACCCACCACCAAGACGGAAAATTACAAAAAGTCAGTATTTTTAAGGCACACATTACTTTTTTTCCCACATTCGTAAGACCCATTTGTCCAGCTAGTTAGCTTTCTTTTCTTTTTGAACACACGAAGAGGGCCAGTGCCAACCTGAGATAGTTAAATAAAACACAACTGTGACTAAGAGTAATGAAAATATATCCTCTCTCCACAAACAGGTATTTTAAATGCTCTGTCAAAACAGAGAGTGGTCACAGTCACATCAGGATAAGTGTGTTAATTTGTAATAAAACAGTGGGGTATAAGATAGCTGATGAAGTGAAAAACTGGCTTAGCCAAGGACATTATTAGCACGTTTGAATTGCATCGCGCTTGTCACACAAGTGCCGCGCCAATGTTAGGAAGTAATTATGATGTGGCAAAACTGTTAGAAGCCTTGGGACACAAAAGTTTTGGTTCATGCATCCTGCAAGGGTTGTGCACAAACAAACACGGATGTTTTTTTCTTTTTTTACCACCACCAATGTTTCCCGGAAAAAAAAAGTTGATAGGACAGAAAAGTTTTGAAAGGGAATACAAAAGGAACACATTCAGACCTGCACATGTTTGCCTGTTTTTTCTAAATTGGGATTGTGTAAATGAATGTGGGCTGTCCAAAAGCTTACCAAGTCAGACCAATAATATGAATACGTTAAAACGCATAACCTTTCTCAAATAAATTGGCCATTTCTTCCACGTAATTTTTGTAAGAGTGCATTTTGCATTATTTATAATTGCATATATTCTTTAGAATTGCTAAATTACCAGAAAATATCTGTCTCACAAATGTTATAAACATAGGAATAATCCCACTATATTAAAAATATATATCCTCTTCTACTGATACAGTAACACTGTCGAAAAACAATCCCGTCTGACTAAATTTCATGCCAATTATAAAAAAATTCATAATTATTATGAAACACCCTATGCACGACTTAGACGCAACTGCCAGTGTGCGATGGGCAAGATACCTCTGCCATTTTTTTTAAGTGCTCAAGCTCATCCACGATTCTCTTCTTCTCCACGTCGGACATCTCCAGCTTCCTGCGCATCAAGTCCAGCTGCGTTTTGAGAGCCTCTTGCTTCAGCTTCTCCTCGCCAGCGAGCCTCTTCTGACGCTCGGCTTCCGCTTCCGCGCTACTTTTCTGCATCTCGAGCAAGTCGCGCGAGCGCCGCTGCTCCTCCTGCTTCTGCTCAAGTCCCCTCAGCTTCTCCATTTCCTGCATCAGCTTCTGCTCCATCTCGCGCTCCTGCTTGCTGCTGACGCCCGGCTGCTGCATTCTCTGCTCCGACAGCTGACGCTTGCGCTCCGTATCCACCACAGTCTGCTTCAGCTTCACCACTTCCGACTCGTACTCTCTCTGTTTTCTGATGGCGTCTCGCTCGGACGCCTGCTTCATTTGCATCTCCTTCTCCATTCGGCCCTTCTGGTTCTTCAGCTCTTCGAGGTAGGCCTTCTGTTTCACGATCTCCTGCTCCAGCTTTGACTTGTCGCGGTCCGCCAGATCCACTTTCGCCTTCAAGTCCCTCGCCTCCTTTTCCGCCTCACACTTGCTCTTCTGTATCTGCTCCGAGTAGCTCTTCATCTGCACCACCTTCTCATCCAGCACAGATCGCTCTTTGGCCATCTCATCCAGCTTCTGTTTCAGCTGCATCTCCTTCCTTTCCATGGAAATCTTGGTTGCGGACTCCCGCATTAAAATGTCCTGCTGCGACTGCTCTCCCAGCTTCTGCAGCTGATGGTCATACTCCCTCTTCAATTCAGTCAAGTTACCATGCAGACTTTCGGCCGACCGCTTGCTGCTTAACAGCTCCTGCTCAAGATTCGTAATCTTTCTAAGGTACTCATTTTCCGCCCTCAGTTTCTCTTGTGTGAGCTCTTCCGCCTTGCGCAGCTTCTGTGTGAGCAGCGTGATCTGCTCCTCTTGGGCCACGATGCGCTTTTCCGCTTTCGCCTTATCCAGCTGCACCATGTGGATTTGATTTCTCAACAGGCCGAGCTCCTGCTCAGACATATTCTTCGACCTGGAAAGTTCGTCAATCCGCTGCTTAAGCACTTGCATGCTTTTCTCATCTTTCTCCTTGGCTCGGACGTAACTCTCAATGTCCAGCAGCAATTGTCTTTCCTTCGTCACCATGTCCATGTGCCGCACCGCCTCCTTCTGGAGAGCCTCCCTCGCCACGGCTAGCTGACGCTTGGCCTCTATTTCCGCCGTCTCGCGCTGGCGGAACTTTTCTTCCGCCAACGCCTTCTGGCGCTGCAGCTCCTGCTCGGACAGCTTGCACTGCATGCTCAGCCTCTCCTCCGTCCACGTCCTCCGGGCTACCTCCTCCTCGGCTCTCTGCTTCTGGGCCATGCTGTCCTGCAGCTCCTTCTCCCTACGCTGCAGCTCCTCTTCCAGCTGATGCCGGATCAAGTGACCATCCTGCATCTCTCTCTGCAACAGCACCAGCTGCTCCTCCGACACTTGCTTCCTGCGCTCCGTTTGCTTGCAGCACGCTCGCATCTTCTCCAGTTCCGCCTCCACCCCGTCCTTCTGGTTCGTCAGCTTATCCACCTGGACGCGCAAGTACTGCGCTTCTTGCTCAGCCTGGTCTTTCTGCCGCTGGACGTCGCTGGCGAAACGCCTCTGCCTCCTCAGCTCGTCCTCCGCGTTCAACTTCAAGCTCATTATTTCCATTTCGGCGGCCGACTTGATTGCGATGTTGTCAGCCAAAAGAGCTTGCTCGTGCACGCTGCTTGCCTGCTTGCTCCTCGACACGTCGCGGCCACTGGACAACCTCCGTCGCGTTTTGGTCGGCGAGTTCGGCTGATCAACGTTGGCGTGCTGTTTCATTTCTACTTGGTACATCTTTGGCTGCTGAAGAGGGCTCCCGTTGAGGACCTGTATCGTCTCCCGTCTTCCTCCGCCCCTTTCAGGTGACATCTCTGCCGCCATTTGTTGCTGCTGTTGCTGTTGCTGCTGTTGCTGCAATAGTAAGAATTCACACTGCTGCCGATGCCTCTGCTCCTCTTGCAGCCTGTGTTGCTGTTCAGTGTGACGTTGCAGGGCTGCTTCTGAAAGTTGTGTTTTCTACAATAGAATTAAAGTGACGATCAGAGTTGAATTTTGGCACGGTGCATCATCTTGAAGGGGTGGCGACAGGGCAAGAGGATTTGCAGAGGCAGTGCAGCTTTCAGCCCAGGGCAGGATGCATCATGAGATGCATCCTTTGCAAAAAAAGCAAATGTCAGCAAGGCCATTTCCCTCCACCACCAGTTGAACAAGCTAGTAATGAATGCCCTGGAATGAACATTCATTGGCACAATGATTCATAGAATCATGTCCTAAAGGCATTATTCATCTCTTGCCACTTTGATGCAAGACTGGAGTTTTTCCATCATTTCCAAAATCATGCAAAATAGCTCAAACATTTTCAATACTGTAACTCTTGATCAATAATTCGGAGTTGTTCCATTTCAAACCCTACAATCGTTCATCATGGGGCCATAACGTGAACTACTTAGGAATGAATGGCTTGTGATGTTTATCCAGGCATACGCTTGTAAGTATTGTGTAGAATACAGAGTTAAAGAAACGGAATATTATAGCAAAGTAATCTGCCTATTCTCATAGAAGACAAAAACTTGCTTTAAAAGTAGTCAGGCAAACACGCTCACTTTCACAGCGATAAGAACGGATGTCATGAGGCAAATAATCCTAAAAAACAAGGCAACGATTGGTGGTAAAAAAAAAAAGAATAAGGTGTAGTCACCCGCAACGATGACATGTTTAAAACAGTCCCAGGTGTGAAAATGTTAACTTTTGTTCTTGAGGTGTGGAATAGTTATATATGTAAAACGGCATGGCTAACGTTTGTCAATATGCAAGTGCAGTCCCTGCTTCCAGTGTGGAAGACAAAACAATAGGTGAAGCTTGGTGTGTTTTAAAATCACACAGACGAAACACAACACGCACAAATACAAGATCAAAGCTATGCATGCATAGGGAGGGCTTGGTGGCTTTCAGAATCATGTCAAAAAGACACTAATCAAATGTAATAAAATGGCAACGCATGAAAAAACGACCCTGACTTTCACCAGTAAAATATACCTTCTGTGTGACGAGAATATTCACGGTATTCATACGACTGCAGACCACACGTCTACTTAATGTCAAAGATGACCACACCAATACCTCTGTAAATTTGGTGTCTGCGATGGGCTCCGTCTGACCACCTTGCGCACCCCCTGTTATTCGAAGTGTCGTCCTTTCGGCACCCACCGCCAGTTTTACGATACTTGGGTGCGTCTTTGCGTCGACTTCAGATTGAGCCCCGAATGTGGTTGCTGTTGAATCGGAAGGTCCCATTTGCTGAACACTGGCATCAACGACAGGCCCCTGATCACAGCGAGTACCCGTAATTTCTGATTGTGAATCACGTGCACTACCACCCTCAGTGACCGTCATTTCCAACGGTTGTTCACCGACTAACGTAGTAGCGTCAACATATGTAGGCAGTATTCCCGTGTAGTCATTATGGGATTCTTGTTGTACTACAGTTTCACGAGATTTGTCTATGGGCAATTTTTCTGTTTCAAATACAGGTTCAGCTCCTTCCGTCACTAAACCTGCTTTATCGCCAGCCTTCAGATGATCACTCAAGCTAATAATTTCATCGCGTGGTTTCTTTTCTTTTTTTTCAACCACTCCACTTTCTGCACGGGTATCCATTGCCTCGAGTCTGGCATCACATTGATCTTCTTGTCTTCCACCGGTTATTTCTACATTTGATGGTTTGTCATCTTCAACTGCAATGAGCTCAACCTCTGCGCACTGATGGTCAGATGTTAAAGTAGTACCTCCCATTTCCAACGCATGACGGATTCCTCCCTGCTCAAGAACAACTGTTGAATTCTCACTTCTGCCAAGATGTTCTTCCCCTTCGAGCAGTGAAACCTCATCTAAGCCAGATGTTACATCCACAGACATATCTTCGATAATGAAAAGACCACGTGCTTTGTTCGCCGAAACCTCAATATTAAGTGGTTCTTCTTTTCTTAGCGTCTCATCTTGCACGCACTGAGACAAAACATGATGCTCATCCGTAGGCAATGTTACCGCATTGCTTGCACTAATCTCAGACTCTTTCAAAAAAGACCCATCAACTGATATAGGTTGACCAACAGTGCCTTCATCATACTCTTTGGTTTTTTCGTCACTTAACTCATCTCTTTCAGCAAGTCGCGTTGGCTTTGTTTGGTGCCCATTTTTATTTTCTGAACTAAAATCTCCTGGCTCGGTCTGGACTGCTATTTCTAGACATATCTTGCTGCCAGATTCAAAATCATGGCACGCGCTTGCTATCTGTCCCTGATCAATCTCCGCTTGGTGAATTATTTTCTCAGTGTCAACCATTACGCGGGGCTGAAGCTGCAATTTTCTGCCTCCCGGAATGACATCTTCGTCGCCTTGCTTCACACTCTCCCCCACAGACACGTGCGGAATGCTGTCCTCACGACGCTCATCGCTGCTCGATGTTGTTTTGTCTTCACCGTCTTGCCAATGCACACGTGAGCATTCCTTATCCGAAAGAAAAACGGTGTCGGTGCCAATGTTTTTCATTTGCTTGTGGAGGTCTGTCTGCTGCCCAGCATCCGTGACCAACGTCGGTGCTTTGTCAAACTGCGCTTTGGCATTCGCCGCCGCTTCCTGTGCCTGCGAGCGCTCCAGGGTGAGCTGCTCCACGAGTCGGCGGAGGCGATCCGCCTCCTCCAGCAGCGCTTCCTGACGCCGGTGCTCCTTCGTTTAGCGTCTTCTTGAAAAGCTCCGACTCGGACACGAGCAGCTGCTGGTAGCGCTCTTTGTCTTCGGCCAACGCTTTGAGATTTTCTTCCGCATTCTCTTGCTGTCTCTGCACCGCCTCCGTCTCTTGCTGGAGCCGCAGTCCTTCCAGGATTGCCTGGAGCTTCTCCTCCTCCATCCTCCCCGTAAGCTCTCTCTGATTTTGCAATTCTTGCTCAGATTTCCTTTGCAGCCTGGCGGATTCGTCCGCCTCTGCACGGAGATGCTCTGCTTCCATCGTGGCCACCCTCAACTTTTCTTCTTCTCCTAGCAGTAGCACACTCTTCTCTTCTTCGGCTTTTTCATGAAGGTTCTTCATTTGCTCATCGTTGTTGTGCATTTCAAGCACCTTTTGCATCCGAGCTTTAAGATCTGCCAGCTCTTCTTCCACAATGCTCTTCTGATGCACGGCCTCTGCTACTTCAGCTTTCTGAGAAATCAGCTCTTCTTCTAGATCCTTCTTTTGACATTTGGTCTTACCCAACTGGGAGCGTAGCTCGTTCAATTCTAGTTCAGTCGACGCCCTTTGGTTGTCCGTCTCTTGAGCAATGCGTCTTTGTCGTTCAATCTCAGCTTCCGCGAGTGCCTTTTGCCGCAGGGCCTCGGCCTCAGCATCCGCACATCTGCCCGCGTTCTCCTCCGCTTCCTTTCGACGCCGTTCGGCCTCCTCCTGAGCCTGAGCAGTATGCACGGCAGAGTCTTCAGCCTGAGCTTTCAGGCGCCGTGCTTCTTCAGCCTGCTGTTGAAAGAGAAGCAGTTCCATCTCCGCCCGCTTCCTCGCGAGGTCTGCCTCCGCAGCAAGCCTCTTGGCTCGGCTGGCCTCCTCTTCAATCCGCAGAATTTTCTCTTTTTCCTCAGAAGCCAATTTCTCACTTTCCGCGCACTTCATTTCCAGCAGCGCCAAACTGGCCTGCGTTTCCGCCTCTATTTGCGTTTGAGCGGCTTCTTTTGCCAACGCGATCTGTCTGACCGCTTCCTGCTCAGACTGCTCTTTCAGAATCAGTGCCTCGCGCTCCCGTTGCCTGAGATTTTCAAGCTCGTCAAGCGCGCACCGACACTGCTGCGCCGCGTCTCGTTCAGCCTTCATCAAACGCTGGACGTGATCCTCAGCTTCTCGTTTCTTCCGGGCCTCCTGCAGGGCAAACTGTCTCTGCTGTTGCGCCTCCAACTCGGCCTGTTCCTTCAGCCGTGCAGTTTCATCAGCCAATTCCTTCAGCTGCAGGAGCTGTCCTTCCAAATTAACCCTTTCCTGAAGAGTATCATCCACCTTATTTCTTAGCAGCTGGATTTCTTCTTGTATTAAGGTTCGCTGGAAACATGTTTCTTGAACGATGACCTGCTGTTTCCTTATCTCGTCCTCAGACTGCAGTCGCATTTGCTCCTTCTCTTCTTCTATGGCCTTTTTTTCTCGGGCTGCCTTTTCTTCAACCAACTGCCTCTGGTATGCCTCCTCTTTGGCCAAAACCTTCAGCCTCTCTGCCTCCTGCTCTTTTTCCTTGAGCGCCAGCTCCGATTCTTCCTTGAGTCTGCATGCCTCCTGAATGGCAGCCAACTTATCTCTGAACATTTGCTTTGCATCTTCCCTCTGCTGAGCCAAGGCCGCCTCTGCTTGGAGGCTCTGTTGCATTGCTTGCTCAGCCAGAGCTCTCAGTTGTACAGTCTCCTGTTCCATGTCCTTCAACTTTGCGACCGCTTCTTCCTCAAGGGCCTTCTGCATCTTACTAAATTCCTGTTCTGACCATCTCCTTTGATCGTTCTCGTTACGCAGCTTGAGTTTAATGAGCTCCTGGAGCTGCGCTTTGACTTTAGCGAGCTCTTCCTCGAGGATTCTTTTCTGACGCACCGCTTCTGACGCGTGAGCCCTGGCGCGCGTTACCTCCTCTTCCAGGAGCACAACGTGCTGAGCATTTTCTTCCATGCACGTGCGCAAACGCGCAAGTTCCATCTCCGCCAAACGTTTCTCGTTTGCGGTTTCCGCGGCCAATTTTCTCATTTTCTCCAGTTCGTCTTCGGCGTGCCGTTTCTGCCGGAGAGCCGCCTCCTCCGATTTGGCGCATTCCTTCGCCTCGTGTTGAGCGAGTGACTTCTGGCGCTCGGCCTCCTCCTGTGCACGAGCTCTCTTTTTAGCCGTCTCCTCTGCCAAGACTTTAAAGTGAAGCGCTTCATCGGTCCTTTGCCTCCACTTCTCCAGCTCCCTCTCGGCTGCATCACGACAAACTTCTGCCTCCTCGGCCCACTTTTTGCACCGTTCCACTTCGGTGATCAGCGACTTCATGATTTTTGCTGTTCCATTAGCAAGCCACCTTCCTCGAGCTCCTCGTGAAATGATGAATGCTTCAATTTTATTTCAGCTTCTTGTTTGTGCTGTTCAGCTACTTTAGCCAATTCCCCTTGTTCTCTAGCCTTGGTCTCAGCCATGTCATGGTGTTTTTGAGCCTCTTCAACTTCCCTGCGCACTTTGTCGAGTTCGTGGAGGGCAAACTGTGTTTGACGAGCCGCTTCTTGCTCTGCTATGGCCTTCGCTCTCAGTTCTTGCTCAGCATTGTGCCTCTTACAGGCTTCCTCCTCAGCCAGGTCCTTCATTTTTTTAGTTTCCTTTTCGGTACGCAGCTTCTGAAGCGCTGCATCCTCCGCGGCCATCCTGAGGCGCATGACCTCTTTCTCGAAGGCCTCTTTCTGCAGAGACAACTTCTTGAGCTCCTGCCTGAGGCTCTGCACTTCCAGCTCGGTTTGCTTCTGCTGCAAGAGAACGTCCTGAACGATCGTTGTCTGCCGATCGATTTCCTGCTCCGTCTGCCTCTTGAGCTCCATCAGCTGGCGCTCAATAGACAGTTTTTGCAGCGTCACCGTCTCCGTGTAGGAGAGGCGGTTCTGGGTCTCTCGGTGCATCTGCCGGCGCAGTTTGTCAGCCTCGGCCTCAGCCTGTGCTTTTTCCTGGGCATAGTTTTGCGAGATCTGCTTTTGTTTCTCCAGCTCGGCTTCCATCTTCGCTTGCTTTCTGAGTGTTTCTCGCGCCGTTTGCTGCCTCATCTGTGCCTGCTTTGAGCCAACCCCGCACACCGCACGCACACAGAATCGCAACCAAGAGGAAAGAATAAAGAAGAAAAGTGAGGGGGAAAAATTAAAGTGAAAAATGGGAAAAAAGACATTGAAAGGGGAAGAAAACGGTAATGAAATGTAGAAAACAAGATATTAAACACTGGGGTATTAAGGGGTTAAGAAAAAGCAGTGAAACAAAATGTTATGGAGTCACACATGAAGAGCACACAGCCACACAACTTCTAGAATTTAGCTGCCATGGAAGCCATTAATTCTTCACGTCACACATGTAGAGTTTCATTTCAACGCAATGCGGGCAGTAGTCAGTGTGGCTGATGATTCCAAAGCCACTTGCATGGTGTTATGGCAGTCACACAAATGCCCCTTGGATAAAGGCTTTAGCAGCAATACAGGTTCTTCATCGTCGCTGGGAGCCGACTTGAAGCTGTGATGACCTCCACTGACATGAACGAGTTATCCGTGAACGCTTACGACTCCCGCTTCCATTCCCTCCGTTAAATATACAAAGATTCATTTATGTTCAAGATATGTTTCTGGAATTTAAAAATGTACACTTCAAAGTAGTCAAAAATTGCATTCGTAATATTTTTTTGCGAACGAATATCTGCACTGAAAGCTAATTAAAATGTGTGTAAAATAAATGTTGCTAAATGTTTAAAAGCTTACGATGATCGTAAACACATGCTTAAGTCATGCTTAACGATAGCTCCGATGCGTTGTCAGATTGTACAGCATATTTTTTGGCATGGTGTCCGACGTTTCACTCCCCATCCTGGGATCTTCTTCAGGAGCCTAACGGAGCGACTAACTTTCTCCCCCGATTACAGCGAGTGGCCCAATTCATTTCCCGAAGAAGCTCCCAGCACATGGAGCGAAACGTCGGATGCCAAGCTAACACTTGGTACGATCTGAGAAAACACAAATATAAAAGTTCTGTAGAAATCCTTAATTATTTTATGCGATGCTAGTTACAAAGGTATCTTTTTTTATTGAACTACTGTAAATTGCATCGCCTTGCTTATTTAGGCAGATACTCTGAAAGCCACCAGCGTTTACCTCTTAAATACAAAACAAAGAGACGTGTGTTTTTTGCAGAACGAGTAGGTCACGGGTGAAAGTTAGTCGTTTTTTTTCAAACATCAGCCAGAAAATAGGGTTACTGTGATGAGTCACAAAACACAGACACGTGCAGACACTCACTATTGCGTGAGGTCGCTGCAGAAAAAGACAGGAATTGTGTTAAACGCATGTAGTGGCAAACTCTGCACATGATCTCGACAACACAGAGCGAGCACATTGCCGATTGCTCTCCCCTGTATGAAAGTAATTCGAGTGAGGCAAAGGACATTGAGAAAATTAAGTATATAAAATGTCGTGCAATCGACTTGGTTTTTTGTTCTAGATCACTTCTTGTGATGCTGACATCATGTAAAATAATTACGTAAGTTAATATGTTATTCAAAATTACTGTATGTGCAATGAGTTAAAGAGGAAGAAAGGGACATGGCATCACACGGATGTCAAACTACAAAATGGATAATATATCCTATTTACACACAAACACACACTTGCAAATGATAGTGAAAATCCTGGAGAATAACCAAGTGTTAGTGCAATGAAAAGCAATCTACCAATAATCTGGAAGTGTTCAGTCAAATATAATGCCACGAAATAATTGTACTAGGTGACATGCCATAGGTTTACCAGCTCTTGGTGTTTACAAATACTGTAAAGTTCAGCAATTAAACTAAATAACATTGCAATCCATAACGAGCAATTAACAATGAAACGGTTAAAATGGTGTGATTCACCCCTAATCACTCCGTGTTCACGATCACCAATTACACATTGCCTTGGAAACATGGTAACGCAATGTAAAAATACAACTGAATACTTAATAGGAGAGAGAGAAAAACACCAAAGACAGGAAAACCACATCACAGATAAGACATTTGTCCACGTGTTGGCCATCGGCTGTAGATATCTTGTCCCATCTTCCATCGCGTTATCTTACCGCTAAGTTGAAGGAGCTGCAAATCACACTGTTACCTCGATAAAAAAAGTATACCGTTCCTTCGAGTATAGCCGACACCTGTGTTGCTTACTACAGGATGCTGCCACTACAAAATATTATGGGGAATATCTTTTGTTTAACTTGGCCTGCACTGGGATACCTTTCATAGCATGCAGGATAGTTTTTAGTTTTGTATGTTGGGCAATTAAGTGTATATTAGGGCTGCCACGGTACAATTTTTTTACTTTGTGATATTACATTTCATGATTTTAGAATCTCGATAAAAGTTTTCCTTAACCTTCAATCTGTATTTCACATCTGCCTCGTCTTATTATTGTGCCTTTATGTACTTCTAGCACAAATAAAGAGTGCTCAAAAGTTATTAAACTGCAGTTCACGCAAAATAAACTGAGCAGAAGTCGTTTTTATTCATTATTACTTGACAATGCATGATGCTGATGGCATTGTATAAACACCATGCTGTCAAGTTACGCAAAACACGTTTTATGAAGCAGCAATTGAATGAAAAACTACGTATATTTTTCACGTGAACGTTATAAATATTGTCAGGAAGTGACGATATTATTGTGGACTTGATATCATCCGATATATCGTAGCATTGCTACATACATCATGGCAACCCTAATGTATATATAGATTTATATTTCAGCATACACAAGTGAAGGCAAATAACGAAGGATTTTAGTTTTCGGAAACAATTCATCGCGCGCACGCTGTATTGTCCATCACAGGTCGTGTGCTGCAACAACGGTGCACCAGATCAGTTTGGTGGAAGAGTCTAAAGGGCTTATCGGGATGTGCCACAGTATTGCTTCATAATGCAGACAAGCAAGCATTCTGCAGCACAGCAAATGTTTGTTTCAAACGCAACGCATGAACTCCCACACACATACGAGCGCACACACGTACAATCAAAGTGAACTGAACAACAGTTCAGATCACTTCATATTTACATTTCGTAAATGTTAGTAGTGTTAGATACAAAAGCTGCTTACACAAACCACAAAAGTAACAAAATGTTTTTGCACGAAAAAACATTTATGTCGTTAATCGCTGCAGGAATCAACAGTTTCTCTCAGCATTTGAGAGAGAATCTGTTTAGTCAAAACAACACTGGTTTACTTTCAACCGAGTAAAAAAAAAATTTCAATATTTAGAATCTAAAATGACCATAACTTCAGGTCCGTTACTCAAACATTTAATGTCACACAATGCACACACTGTGCCTCACAAGTGGAGCACTGTAGTGGTCATGTGCGCTACATGTCAAATGCAGAACGAGATGTCAGAAACTAAATTAAAAGATAAATGAAGGAATAACATCGTGACTGGTTAACACTATTTACAATTAATGAGCCTTCGTCAAGATTCACGTAAAACTATTTTACATGGAGCCCATGCCAATTCCACGCACAAACAGCGATTTTTGGAATTAAACAAATCAGCAGACGGAACACTGTCCCATGAGCACTGTTTGTGGTTGACTGCCATCAATGTCAATCGATATGAACATACAGGCATTTCATAAATACAGATGGGCATAAGTTAGCAAGTAGTTCATGAAAATTCTGATGATGTTGGGTATAAAGCTGAAACATGCCAATATAGTAGTCATACCTATGATTATAAATTTACACAACCGAAAAAAAAATTGAGCACCAGAAAATTGATGGGGGAAATAAAATAAATGTTGAGCTATTCTGTGTTTTAACTGAGCACTGGGGAAGTTTGTATTCAGAGATTTTCCAAGGCGCCGAATCCAAATATGATCAAATATTTTTCATCATTCAAATTTTCGCAAAAATGTGACATTAATTGCAATAGTTGTGGGTAAATTCCCACCGACAACTCGAGTTGAATACAAGGTACATGCCTCTGGCATGACCCTGCCCAGTGTTGTTCGACGTCACCGCACGACGCGTCGTTAGTAAAACTCGTTAGCGACACTACCTCGTCGTCGCGGGCACGCCGCAGCGTGTCGCCGATGAACTTCTCGTTCTGTCGAGCCAGAGTAATCTGGCTACTGTAACGGTTACGCAGCTCCATGAACTGTAAGGGGGAACAACATTTCGCAAAGTCATTGGCGATCCAAACACGTGCGCAGCGGTCAACCGAGATGTACACAATCCGCTCCGCGAACGAGGAGCGTTCTCGCCGAGGGGGCTGGATTAAAGCAAAAACAACTTGCACAACACGAGAGTGTGATTAATGTCAACGCTGCTGTAGAGAAGTGTTGTTCATAAAGCGGTCGTGATTCAGGCTAATATAACTCAGACCCACTTTCTCATATATGCATAAGCCACTAGTTATCCAGATTCTCGTGGTAGAAAAACCAGCGCGCACAAATACGTCTTGGGCTGAAATTATTAAATACTGAAGCCAATAGGTGCATCAGTATCTACGTCGATTGCATGTCTGTCATAATGCACAGACATATCGTCAAGGACGTGCATCTGTATCAAAATAAAGGGCCACATTGCCTAAAAGGTAAAAGCCAATCTTTAACAACGAATATGTTATGGGATGTTGGCTATCAACAACAAGGCAACTCCTATGACTAATTGGGAATGGGACGCAAGCGTAGGATTGATCACCCTGTCGCTGGCCGCCTTTGGGGAGGGTGTATAGTGTGAAAGACCGAAACACCCTAGGAACCAAACGTTCACTACTGACGATGCGCTCCCCAAATTTCACCAGGCTCACTGTTAATGAACTCTTGGAAGTGATTGCACAAAGAATAGTAACATCTCATCCTGTGTTCTTGGAACCTATCAAGTCAATAATTTTCTGTTGAGAATGAAGGAACAATTAAGTCACAGGCGCATTTGGTGTTGAATATCTGTGATCCGGCACTTTTGGACGCGAGGGGCAATGGATCAAGTAGATTTTGACAACTCCCAAACCCACTGGGTGGAAGATGGAGCCCGGAGATGGCAGTGCCGCAAAAGTTTTTTTTTTTGCGCTATCCTCATGAACATATGTGGGTTTTCTCCGGGTGACTCCAGTGTTGTCCCACATTCCAACTATTCCTTGCAATAGAATTGGCCAAACATCCCATTGCAGGATCTCCGTGAAAAACAAAGAACGAAAGTCTTAACCCTTATGGAAGCTTTCCTGAACAAATAACTTTATCGTTGATATAACCTACTTAAGTGCATAAGAAGCTTGCAAAAAATAAGTTTCCCAATTATGCATGAAACACACAAAAATTGTAAGTTTTTCGTGTGCGTTGTTTACTGCGTGTTGTTTGGCATCATGCTTTGCTCCACTTGCTAAGAGCTTCTTCGGGAACTGAATGTAGCAGTTCACCAACAGTTTCCTTGATAATATAAATTAAGTTGAGCAGCCAATGTTGTGTTTCATCTCTTGTGCATACAAGATCAATGTAACCGACGGAGAACGTCAACTGCTTCATCCAGTTCCTGAATAAGCTCCCAGCAAATGGAGTGAAAAGTCGGACATTGTGCCAAACAACACGCGGTGATACATCCCGAAAAACACAACGGGGATCAGTACAACGCACAACTCTGTAAAACTACGCAATCGTGACATTGATACTGTAGTCCCCCTGCTTAATGCAAGATCCACTTTTGTGGCAAAGAGCCCGTGGCTCCAAATCCCTACTACCTGCTGCCCTGTGACATCAGCAGACGACTGCAGCATTCGCTTGCGCACAGGTGCCTTCTCCGCCATGGCCCTGTAGGTCATCAGCTGCATCTCGTAGTCCTGGTTGGAGAGAAAAAGGGGCAGCATTGGAATACTGAATGCAAACTGGGTAGCTCAGTACTCCCGTTATCACGGAGATGAAACAGCCAACGTGATAATGCGGTACTGGAATAACTGCCGACGCGATGCCGGATTTGAATGTTGATTTTATAAAAATCCCAAATTATACCAGGCATTCTAATGTTATAAGTAGATAGTCTGAGGCTAATCGTGTATGTATGAATGCACACACATACACACAAAACACTGTGGTAATTTATTTGTAAAGCCACATAGGCTGTATATCACGACTGCATGTCGGATTACTTAAATTTGGTGAGCCACTCTCTAAAAAGGACGATAGAATGCTGCCTAGTATTGGTAACAGAGACCTAATCGAGCGATTCCAGAATTAGTTCTGCCGAATCGTGTCACGAGGCCGCTCCCTGATATGTATTTACCTCACCGCCTCACTCCGGGAGCACACGTCGGACGAGCATGGTGATTTGAAAGCGGCAAAGGGTTAGAGCTCACCTTGACTCCAGTGCAGAACTGGTTGGAGTATTCCTGGCACTCGTTCAGCTTGGGAAGGTTCTTTTCCAACTCCACAACCAAATTCTGAAAAAAAAAACGCAGCCTCGCAATATTCGTGCGAATGCTTACCAACAATTCCATCTGGAGCACTTGGCCCAGCAAAACATTCCACGGCCCAGCGGCAAGCCCTCATTGCCGCTTGTTACAGAGGTTCACGGTTCTAGACCAGTGGCCACCCTGGTTGAAACAGCAGGGTCTATTTACCATAAATAAATAAATAGATGCGCCATGTCTGATTCTGAGTGGAACGTTGGAGTTCCTGTGACGTTACACGAAGAATAGCAGTCCATGTGTACAGGTACCATGGTCCAAATCAGCAAAATTGTATTTGTGATTGATAAGTTACTCAATGGGGAAAAACCACAGAGCCGGTACCGTAAACATCTAGTGCTGCACAGGGACAACTGCCACTGAGGGTGCCCTTGGCTAGACTGTAGAAGGGCATTGGAATAGCTCACATGAGGTGTGATGTAAGGCACTTTCAGTTCCTGAGGCATGTGAGCAAGCGTTCATTATCCTAAGTATAAACAAAATACACGAATGTTGACGTTGAAGTAAGGAAGGCGAACAAAGGAAAAAACAACAACCTGTTTAAATTTCGATTTAAAGCTTTCGTGACTGCAGGGATTCATCTTCTTGGTTCTTTCGGTAAAGTCACGTAGAAGGGAAGTAATAAAATAATAAAAATAAAACATAATAAAATAATTCTCACGACGTTTCGGCCACAACGCAAGCAGCCGTCCTCAGGTGAAGACCAGCTCTGTTGGGGAGACAGGTCTTCAAAAAAACGTCGTGAGAATTATTTTATTATGTTTTATTTTTATTATTTTATTACTTCCCTTCTACGTGACTTTACCGAAAGAACCAAGAAGAACAATCTGTTTGCTCATTATTTTATCTTAAGAAGAGCCAGACTACTTCCACTGATTTCCAGAGGGCCTGACACACATATAGAGGCCAGATCGAGTGGCTGCTCGTACACACAACACACCTGCTGCTGGTGGAGCTGTTCAGTCAGGCTGCGGCTGTCGGTGGCCTTGGCGGACTGGAGACTTTCCTGGAGCCCCGTGGCTTCTTGCACAAAGCTGTCCAGCCACACGTACGTCTCCGTGTAGTAGCCGAGCTGCTTCTGCAGGCCCTCCAGCTCCCGCGCTCTGCAATGTCAACGCGATACGTTTGCACAAAGGGCCGCATGTTGTTGTTCGGCACGATGCCCAGCGTTTCGCCTCCGCGTGCTGGTAGGTGAAATTGTTACATGCGCGCAACGCTTCAGCGGGCTATAAGCTGCGCGAATGTATGCGAGGCATTGACACGGCTGCCAAGCGGTAACGCCTTTCCCCGCTTGTTGCAGAGGTTCGCGGTCCGGCAAACGCCCTGGTCAAAACCGCGGGTGTATTTACCAAAAAAAAGTACATCTCTCCCCTCTGTTCCACTGCAGACGATCAAGATCCCTTTGTGAACGAGTAGGCCAAGCGTGCTGGCGGCGTCACAAGGCAAACGACTCGCAAATTACTTCATTGAGTCAAAACAAACAATTACAACATCGCCCTGCCCCCCCCCCAACAGGCAGTGAAACATAGCGCCCGTCGCGATCGCCTCGCCCCGTCTGTTGGGATGGGCCGTGAATACCAAACGTGCAGAGTTATTATTCCGGTCATTGTCATCACAACGACTAAAAGGGGGGCGGGCGGGGCACCTGGCGTCGATCTGGCTGTGGACGCCGTGCCAGCGCTCGCACAGCTGATCCGCCCTCTCCTTGAAGCGATCGACGTCCGGGCCGCGCTCGCTGTGGGCGCGGAACATGCGCTCGTTGACGGCGCGCGCCCTCTGCACCTCGTCCTCCAGCGAGTGGAACAGGTCCTGCTGCTGGTCCACCTCGGTGCGCCATTGCTGGCGGTGGTGGGGGACACAGACACGGTGCCGCATTTACAAAACTTGCGCTCTTGGCTATGTGGGAGAGGGGGGTGTGCTGCCGACAAAACAAGAAGTTCATCAGTGGCACGCTGCGGGCTGCCAGGATGAGGTAGCCTGCCCATGAGTTGTACTAACAACGCGTGCAGTTATGTTGAACAACACTGGCAGGGTCATGCCAGAGGCATGTACATATTCAATGGTAGTTGGAAGTGGGAATTGCCAACAAGCGGTTGGCGTCATTGGAATTGCAATACGGTGCGGCAGCTGAAACATCTTTCCATGGTCTTGCCCTCTCATCTCCTTCCATGTCCCCTTCTCATCTTCTTCATTTCTAATCTTCTCTGTCTCTGTCTGTCCCTCCGTCTCCCTGTGCCCAATCCCATGTTTGGCACTTATTCCTCCTTGCACCCCTCCACTGGAATCAACTTCTCTTGTACATTTCGATTTAAAGCTTTCGTGACTGCAGGGATTCATCTTCTTGGTTCTTTCGGTAAAGTCACATGTCGAGAAGACAGACTCTGTCTTCTCGACAGACCTGTTCTTCACCTGAGGACGGCTGCTTGCGTTGTGGCCGAAACGTCGTGAGAATTATTTTGTTATGTTTTATTTTTATCATTTTATTATTTCCATTCTACGTGACTTTACCGAAAGAACCAAGAAGACAGTTGGTAAAGTTTACAAAAAATCCTCTGCCGCTGTCCACCAAGCTGCATAAAGTTAGTGTACTGGCAGGTCATGTGCAGAGGGGTGAAGTGTGGGCGCTCCCCCACCTCGTCCAAGACGTGCGGCCAGGGTGGAAGAGTAGGCCAAATACCTATAGAGCTCCCTCTAGCAGAGGCCCTTCCTCCAACAGTGATGTGAGCAGGTAATTGCATGGCTACACCTGTGTCTGTGATAACTATGACTCCGGGTCATTTTTCAGGAGAATTCAGCTTTGGGATATGCGACCAATTCTTTCTGTTATTTTTTTTTTGCATGTGAAAAGAATCTTAGAGTGCTCGGAAAGAAAAAAAAACATGCGAACAAGGCAACAAAACTAGGAGGCTAACAACCTATGTCCTTACCAGCAAGGGATTGTGGTATCTGGAACATATTAGGGTTCAATCTGCGCGGGTGACGCAATGTAAATGCCAAAAATGGCAACAAGAAAAAAAACTGATCGATGTGTCACCTTGAGAATGGTTTTATAGCGCTGTATTTCCTGTGGGTCAGTTGGAACTCTTTCTTCCTCGCATAGCCTGGTCTCAAACGTCTTCACGAGAACTTCTGCATCTTGCACAGACTTTATCACCAAATCCACAGTCTTCAGCCTACGGGGAAAACAATTAAAAAAGCAATTATATAATAAAATAATTATTATATAAACATTTTAAGTTCATGTTCTCCATAAATAGTTTTGTAGGGTCTTTATGAACCCAATTATGCAGCATTTTTCCAAATCAGTAAATTATCATAAAATGAACGTAAAAATGACATTAAGTAAACACTTTAATTTTATATAGCGCCATTCAGACTAACAGCGTCCCATAACCCTGTACATCAATGAAATATGAGGACCAAATCCCATACACAGCCACTACCAAGTGAATTAAAACACCTACTTACCAAGCAAAATCAAAAAGCATTAAATTAAGACATTGCACCAAAACACAAAGAGCACAAAACAACAAAAAAACGTCATCACAACAAAAACATCGGTCCATTAAGGTCACGTAATAATAATGACATTTATAAAGCGCCAGATCTTGCAGACAAGTCAACAACTCAGAGGCGCGGAGCCAAGCTCAGGGCAGCTCGAAAGCTCTGACCAAACAGATGGAGGTCTTTAGATGTCTTTTGACAGTCAGAGTGCATTTGATGTTGTGGATACGTAAAGGGATAGAGAGTTCCACACCAAGGGGGGTGACAGCAGAGAACCGACGTGAGGCTGTAACAGTTTGAGACCTTGGTGTCCCGAAGCAGATTGTGAGTGACACGAGACAAAGGCTACGACTGCGTGTGGGTCGGTGTGGCGCCGTCCTCACTTTTCCAGGTAGACGGAGGAGAGGCAGTAGACTTGGTCCATCCTCTGCAGGGTGACCGCGTGCTCGGAGCGGAGCTGGGTCTGGCTCGGCACGGCCACGCTCTGACCGAGCACGGACTCGCAGCTCGCGCTCGTGCGCTGCAGCCCGGCCTTCACCTCCTCCACGTCTCCGTGCAAGCGCTGCCCAGAAAAGGGAGGAGCACAGAATGGAAGGGACGAAAGCGATCAACGTCAGCGTCAGCAAGATGACCTGGCGCGGCAATAGCATGTTAAGAGTGCCCCGTACCGGTTTGCTGAATGAATCAAGGTTATCAATGGCAACCCTGCTGATGCCACCACAACTTTTCATTGCTCCCCTTGCCGGCTCCTGTTTATTTGACAGTTGACAATTGTCTCATCGTCTGGCTGACCTCTGGGTGATACTCCAATGCCAGTCTCTGTAACCGGCCCTTTTTCATACTGCACGTGTGCCCTGCCCATCACACCCTACTAGATTGCATTCAGAATGATTGCCTGGCATCTTCCATTGCGAACTTACAACTTGCTCGTCGATGAAATTCCCAGCATAGAGTTGCACGTAAATGTATTTAAATTCCAGAAGCGTATTTTCCACATGCTAATACATTTTGTACGAAAATCATAATTACCGTAGAAGAAAAACATGATTGGAACTTGTGAATAAGCAGGCAAAGAAACATTATTTATTCAAGGAATGTTCAAGAACACGATATTTACATCGATGAGATCATGTGTTGATCGCATTTGTTATACAAAACCTAAATCATGCGTAATATTGAAAACTTCCATGATACTAAACATACTGATTTGGAACTGCCTACCAATAAAAAGAAAGATTAATGATGAAGGTATGTCGAATTATTATCAGAATATAATCCTATAATGAACACAAATGATAAAAGTTGCGCTGTTCAACAGCAACCTATTTTTACACATTCTTGCTCGAGCTGAAAAAAAGCATCAACAACAATGAATAAATGATTAAAAACATTCTGACATGCCAAACAAAAAATACTCGGAGCTTCTCAAGAAGCATTTTAACACTGCAAATTCCTTCTTGCTTTCCCAAAACGTGTATGCACAGGCCCCAGATAGCTGGGGTAGCGCCACGGGCAAGCGGTCGCAAGGCTGTGGACATTTCTGTCGTTCCACACACGCCCCAACCGCGGTCACGTCCCTCGCACAACGGTTTCAATTCACCACTTGGCAATAGTATATACCGCATCATTCTGGAAGCGAAAATAATTACACTTTCACAAAATGTAACCTACTTTATTGAGCAATGCTGTTCTCACTATAATAGTTTTTTTTGTAATAAAAATAACAATGTACATTATACTTATACTCTTTGGTTCTTTTGGTAAAGTCACGTAGGTATGAAATTAAATAAATCACGACGTTTTGATCCACTGCTGGATTATATGTTTTCCGCCTTAGGACGGCCGCTTGTGTTGCGATCGAAACGTTGCAATTTATTTTATTTTCTACCTACGTGACTTTACCGAAAGAACCAAAGAGTATGGATTCCTGCAGTCATGAAAGCTTCAAATCAAGAATGTACATTATTTTTTACAAAAATAACTGAACTCATCGGAGACGAAAGAAAAGTAAGGATATGTAATGCTCGGTAAACTTGTCAACAACTGGTCAAGTTATATTATTTCCACTCCAGAAAGTATGCATGCATGTACGTTTAACTTCTTTCGCACCGCACGTAGCCAACCATGCTGAATTGTTACATCACAGGAGTGGGTGGATTGTTACATCGCAGAACCATGAGAGATGGCCTCGGTTGGGCTACGCGATCATGCAGCAGGGAACTGATTGTGGCTGAAGAAGACACTCCCAAAAAGGAAGGCACTGGCACTTAGGCAGCACTGCTTGTGAGCGAGCGCCGTGCAGTCACGCACCTCCTGCTCGGAGATGCGGTTGGCATTGTCCTGCAGGGCATCCTGGTCCAAGGGGGTGCGGATCATGCGGACCATGCGCTCCTCGCAGCTATCCAAGCGTTGCTGCACGCCCTGCAGTTCGGCAATCAGACTGCGACACGCAGTCTCGTCCTGGTCCTCTGCACGCCATCCAGACACGCGATAGAGAGACGGACTCGCATTGTGAATCAAATGAAAGCGATAGCTATCGGCGCCGAGAATACAATGAATCAGACACGGCTGTCAAATTTCTTGGCACCTACATCAACCCAATGCGTTGCATCAGAAGAAACAAAAGACTGAATGTTGGAGATATACAGACACCGACTGACAGATGATTGCCGCTGATGTTTCCCACAGATGTGAACATGAGTGACATCATATAAATTATGTGTTTAGAGACGACGGAATAAAAGCACCTTGTCAACTTTGCTGACAATATCAGCAACATCAGAGAAAACTGCGAGACGTACTTTCAAGCTGATAAATGCGATCTGCTAAATTAGCACCGTCAACAAAGCAGGAACCACCACTGTCCTCACATTACCTTTTTCGACCGTCAGAAGCAGTTCCTCGTAGTGCTGTCGGCAGAAGTTGAAGTCGCGCTCCAGCTGAGAGAGTTCCGACGGGGTGAAGACCTCGGACTCCCGGCTGTTTTTCAAGAACTCCTCGTAATGCACCGTCAGATCATGCATGACGTTGGCGTGCTCCTCCGGAGAAATGTTGCGAAACTGTCGTGGACGTCGGAACAACGCGCAAAGCCACAGCAAATCACAAGGAGCAAACTACGTCGCGGAATTCTAGCGAGTATATTAAAAGTCCAACAGCAGGAGTGCATCGAACTAACTATCACACGTATCCATACCGAAACTACCTGAAGATAACATTTAAAAGTCCGATTGTAAAAATCGTGTTTAAAGTTTGTGCTGTAAACTAACATGCCAAAAAAAAGTGTTAATTGTATTAATGTTTGCCCGAGATTATTTTTACAATGGCACTTTTTTCTATCGATCTTTCTTAGCGAGGGCGAAAGCAATGGACTTTGCATTTCATAAACATTGGTTGAAAGGTCGCAGCGTGTTTCCATACCATGTTGGTGTTCCAAGAGCGGATGATGTCGATGTCACTCACAAAGTAGTGCCAGGAAAGCACGCTCTGCATATTGGTGTACAGCTGGTGCCAGAGCGTCCCTATGTCATGGTACAGCTGCTCAAGTCTGCCAAGGAACCGCACCGTCGCTTATTGGTTACAGAAGTATCCTTGGAAACAGCAATGCACAACAAACTCACCATTTTTATTTACACTGAACCTGAGAAAAACTAAAAACATGTATAAAACCGTAAAAGAAAAAAATACTTACATAATGGGATATATAAGGTAGCCAATGTATTTGTTCATTCGTTGAATTCCTAGCATAAACCAATTCATTATAATTCCATATCTGTGTAATATATGAAAAGGGAGTATGAGCCAGAACTTTAGGTTACGATTTGGTTATTTCTCACTTTAAACATGTAATGGGTATGTCAATACATGCCCATTATAAATAACACGAAATAATATCAATAATCTCCAGAAGTTTTATGGAGGCTTCTCCACATCATCTCAATCGGGGGGCTGTCTGACCATACTTCACCACAGTGGTCAGTGTGGATTTGGTCGAAAGGGAGAGCCACCCAGGAGGAACTAACCGCCGATGTTAACCGCGGCCAAGAATCGAACGCAGATCGCCAAATTCAGAGCGCACTGTGCCGCTGCCGCCAACACCCATTGCACTAAGTGTTGCCTTCTAATCACCGTGCCAAACTGCCAATGATAGAACCCACAGCACACTGGGCCACACCTGCTGGCCAAGTCGATCGCCTCCCTGTTTGGCGCCGGCACGGAGAAGCACACGGAGGGCACCATGGCCTCGCTGCCGCTCGAGCTGATCACCTTCCACCTGGAGCGCTGCGAGTTGTCCTCCAGGACGCACTCGGCATTCTTGTGCAGCGTGATCTTCAACACAAAGACAGGTATCCCCCACGTAGCCTATTAACGGGCTGTTAGGGCAAGCGCTGTTAGCGAGTGGCACCCATGAAGGCCTGCACGGCACGCCTTCATGTAGTATTAGAATAACACGTGTGCACTGCTGTTAGTCGTCGCCATATATTGAAACATAAGACAGTACGAGCGGGCATGCGTACATTAACAATCCCTTAAGCAACCTTGTCGCCTGCTGGCCATGTGCACGTAACAGATGCACGCCGACACAAAGTTCGCAAGTACTGAACTTATTCCGTGGAAGTACACGTTGCCACGCTGAGGGCATCCATACCTCCAGCTGCTTGTAATCACAGATGGCCCTGATGGGAATGGTGCCGTGCAGGAAACTGTCCGGGTTTCTGGGCTTGAGCTGCACAACAGTCTTGGCTCTGCTCGCAAGGTTGTTCACGCGGCTCTTGTAGCTTGAGAGCTGCTCCTTTTCCTCCTAGGAAACACGATCACACATTCGAGCCCGATTGAACGTGCTGCGTCGGTGAACAGCAAGCGGTCACGGACTACAATGATTCAATAAACCGAGAGATGAAAAGGTAACAGGGGATAACGGCCCTTGTGTAATGCCTTGGCTCATTTCCCACTGCTGCCAAAAGAGGCCTCCACTAGAGGGAGCTCTGGAAAGCTCTCTGAGAAGGGAATCGGCCGACTATTCCACACCGGCCAGGCGTCTTGGAAGAGGTGGCAGACACCCACTGTTTATCCCACCCACACGCGACCCTTCCAATCGATTGACCTCTCGGTGTCACCCATTCGTATTGCTGCTGTGGGGACATGGGTGGAGGAGGGATTTTAAAAACTTCAACTATCATGACAGGGAGTTCGAACTGGCGACCCGTGGATCACAAGTAGAGCATGCTAACCATTATACCATGGCAGCGTCCCGTCATCAAACTACGTTTTCATTAAGTCTAGTCATGGATATTTCCTCACCATATTTATTCCAATTCTAACCCGTGTTAAAAGGCACAGGTGACTTGCGATTATCATTGTGGTTATGAACGTGGAAAAGGGGCAACCCACAAGGATCAATACTGGGGTAAGCATTACACACGTAATCAACTTAATTAGGATCTCGGATGAAAAAGGAATTAAAGTACAAATATTACTACTATTTTATTTGATCAGGTAAGGCCCATTGAGTGATATAGGTCTTTTTTCAGAAGCGGCCTGGCCACAAATGACAGCTCAACGAAGTGGCTTATCACGTGGACATTTATAGCAGCCAACACTCTAAACTCTCAAACACTCAAAAGTACTCACGATCGCGTCCTGCAGGAGATTCTCTAGGCGGGTCAAACTTGTCGACTTGTCGCATTTGTACTTCCTCCAGATGGTGTCCTGAAGGTTGTTCAGCTGCTGTTCCACCTCCTTGGCATCTTGAAAGAACTGGCAACGAGTAAAGGAAGTTCGTGATCATCGCACCGTCTTGACAAGATTAATAGACGAAGAATTCCATCGTTTAGATGTGCTGCATAGGAAGTAGCTATGCGCACGCAAATACGTTTCCTAGTTTTGAAAGAGGGATAACAGCGACTTACACGTCACTCAGTGCCGTAAGCGTACCTGGAAATAGGCGGTGTTCTCGGCCAGGTGAGTCTCTACGCAAGAGCACAGCTGGAGGACCCAGTTCCACTGCGTTTGCATGGCTGCAATGTAGGCCTGTAACACACAATTACAGTCAAACAACCCAATTCCAAAGGAGAGTTCAGTGGAAGCACACGTCAGGGTTGGGTTAGCGAAATAAATTATCGTCATTACTTCTATATTTGAAGCTTTCGTGACTGCAAGGATTCATATTCTTAGGTTTTTCGGTAAAGTCACGTAGGTGAAAAATTTAAATTAATAAAAGTAAAATAAATATAAAATAAAAATCACGACGTTTCGGAGGCAACACAAGCTTCCGTCTTCAGATGGAACCGTCACAGCACGATAGCTGTATCAAGCTCTTTAAGACGGAAGCTTGTGTTGCCTCTGAAACGTCGTGATTTTTATTTTATATTTATTTTACTTTTATTAATTTTAATTTTCACCTATGTGACTTTACTGAAAAAACCTAAGAATATATATCGTCATTACGGCTATACCAATGATCACGTGCATCTTTGTAATGAAGCTGCATACCTGAATCGACTGCTTGCCAGGGTGGGCATCAGCCAGGAGTTGCTCGCCACTCTCCTGGATACTCTTTATGTTCGATTCCCTTTCCTCGAGCTCTCGCATAAATTCCTGCACAAGGAAGTAAAGATGACGACGATCACATGACGTCTTCATTGCGCCTCCGAATATATTACCAAGGTCGGCTACGTAGGGTGCGAATTAAGTTCAATATGCATGCATACAATTACATGGCTTGCTTTGCTTTTCACATTTTCACATCGGCCCTTGAGAACCACATATTTCTGGACAAAGTTATACCAGTGAAACAAACCGCCTCTTACGCTCTCCGGCGATGTGCGAGTGACTTATGGGCAGTGGATAAACGTACACCGTAGGCCTCCTTCTTCACGGCAGTGCTGCTGTTCTTCTCGCTCCAGTCATAGGACACCTCGTCTTCCTCCTTCTGGTTCAGCCAGATGAGCTCCTTGGTGGCGCGTGTGATGAAGCTGTGCAAGCTGTCCAGGTGCCTCCCTCTGCTCCGTGACGCGTTCTGAATTCAAGGCACACAATGCAAACCGCTCAGAATTCCCATCGCCCAAAGGGTGTGGTCAATAAGTATGTGCCCTTTGGATTAGTTAGAGCAAAAATGACATTGTTTCACGAGGAATATTGCAATTTTATTTTAAACTAAGGTAATCTTGGTGTTTACAGAGAGATCACGATAGCTAATAGGTAAAGGTCTAGCCGTCTGGTTTCTTGGCCACGCTCTAGGAAGCTCGAAAGAGACTCTCTAGACGGTATTTGACCTATCTCTTCCATGCCGGCCAGACGTCTTTGGAGTACCTAAACTTTATCCCATCGCATGGGACCTGCTGATCTACTTCATGTGCTGTAACCCGTTTATACTCATGGGTGGACGGAGGCGGGAAACTTGACCCATTATGTTAGCCGCTGCGCCAGGAGATCAAAAAGTCCGGTGCGCTACCCACGGCAGAATCCCGACCTAAATAGGAGGTCACTTCAACCGATATCCACGAACTACATTTCAAAGCTTCAAATTTACAAGAAAGTATTAGAGAGTTAAATTACGTGATAGACACCGATGCTTAATTACGAGTACTCATTAGGCTTTGCTGCACTGTGTGAAAGCATAAGCCAAGTTACAAACCATGAGTTTCGTGTACTTTATCTCCAGGCTGTTCACAAGCCCAACGTACTCGGCCTTCACAGTCGATGACAACTTGCTCTGTAAAACAACAATGGACATGGCACACACACGTCGCACTCCACTCACATTTGTGCAACTTTACAAACCATTTTAACGTGTTGGCTTTTGAGTACAGCACTCAAAATGTAAATGCGGTGGGTTTACGCAGTAGGCAACTCGTAAATCTTGTGGGTTTACTTTCCGATGAACCGGTGTGCTGAAGTAGTAACTAATTGGCACGTTTTCTTCACGTGACAAACCTTACTAATTGGCTGTGTCGGGAGTGGTGATGGGTTTAACGACACATTTACATTTTCGTGATCGAACCCATGAAAACGTGATTATGAATAAACAAAGCCTCTCTTCCCGGAGAGCAAATTTATTACATTTTTATGGGAATCAATGATGTGGTAATAAACCGTACCTTGTTGGCCATGGCTTCTTCCACACTTGACCTGAAGTCCTCGATGGATCTGTGTAGAGTTTTGTGGCTTTCCATATTCGCCTCGACAGAAGGAAGATCGGAGCCCCAGTCACCCGAGTCGATTTGTAACTGTAAGAACCCAGAAGCACCAGGTAGGTTACACAAGCATCATGGGCGAGCCAGTTGTAATGTTAATGCATTTACATTTGTATTTTTTTTAAATATGTCAAGCTGTTGGAATGGCGGAATTTGCAAAGCTGCTATTAAACTGTGTTTCACCAATGTGGAAAGTTACATCTTGTGACCAGCAACCATTTTCCACCACATACAGAATACACTTAATTTTCTGTTTATAAAATTTTAGTCAATATTATTTGTATTTGCACAGAAGCGACTGCACTTGTATTAACAGAGACTAAAATAAGTAATGTAATTACAAAACAAAATCCAGAAAATGGCCTTCAGAACTTTCACAGATTACTCATGAGATATATTTAAAATTGTAAGTCTTTGTTGAATGATGGGCATGGCAGACTTTGCATGTTTTGTTTCCAGCCGACACAGCAATTGAGTACAAGTTGCGACACCATCATGATTATTACTACTACTACTATGACTGCATATGTTTTCACGGATCGTGTTGCTGAACGGCTTTCCGGAGTATGCGCGGATCGTGTGTGCGTGCTGTACAGCACGATGCCCTTGGGCAGCTGCTGGCATAATGCGAAGCCAAATGTCAGACGTGTCAGAAAATCATGCCGAGCAAAATACAAAGATCCTCCGTATAGCCTGAACAGACTGTTTGGACAAGTGCTGTTCGCAAGCACCTATGAAGGCCAGCACGCCACACGAGGGGGGTGGGTGGCCAGCACCACGCCCGGCCGCCTTCCTCTCCCTAGCGGCGATATTTACACACCGCACCAGGTACTCATTTGAGGCCGAGTCGACATAGGGGGAGGCCCATTGTCACCGGCGTTGGTCGTGAGCAGGAATCGAACTCGGGTGGCCCGGGCTCGTATAGCACGGTGCGCTAACCGCTAAGCCGCCGAAACACGCGATTTACAGCAAACCCACGAGCACATCAGGAGCGAATACAACTTATCTGCCGTGTCGTAACCCCGGGCAGCCACAAACGCACCTGGCTGTGCTCCACCCAGGCGAGCAGCTCATGAGCATACTTCAAGTTGGAGTCGTCCTCGGTCCGCACGCGCTCTGCGTCCGCCGCCCTCGAGGCGGCCGCGTCCCTTGCCTTGTCCTCCAGCAGCTGCTGCACCCTGCCCAGGAGCTTGCCCTGCTCGGCGCGCATGCTCGTCAACTGCTCGTGCAGCTGCAGGACCCTGTGCGGCCGCGGCACGACGAGAAAGCTTCATCGTTAAACCTCCTTTGCCAGTACCAAAATATAATAATAGGGTTTTTCCCCTTTTTTTCTGGCAACAAAACTGAAACCTTTTTACAAGGATTCATGTCTGCATTAACCACAATATTTGCAGTCAGATGCAAACAAAAAACACACTAATATATGCATTGTCCTTGAAACGGATTTGTCCACACCAAGGGACGGCTTTCTTTTGAGCCTCGACCCAATTGGTGCTCGACCAGAGGACGCCAAAAGGCGTAGAGCTCAAAGACAACGTCACTATCAAAGTAATGAGGGCTCGGGGTGAGCATCTACATCATTAGACCTCCTTTACCAGTACCAAATATAATAGGGTTTTCCCCCTTTTTTCTGGCAACAAAACTGAAACCTTTTTACAAGGAGAAAGCTCATGCTCCATTAAACTAAAACTACTTTTTTATTTAACCAGGTACAGGCCCCTCTGAGCTACCATACCTCTTTTCTCAAAAACAAAACTCGCCACAGATGGTAGCTGAACGAGGTGGCTCCTTGCATGGAAATTTATAGCAGCCAAAAACTCTTAAAAATCTGAACGCGCAATTCTAAATGTGGAGAGAAAACCCAGAGGACCCGGAGATAAATCCACGCGACCACAGGGAGAACATGTCAACTCCAAATATACAGCAGGCGTCAGGGTCGGGATCGCACCCATGACCTCCTGTATACCAGGTGAGGTAGTCAACATCTCGCCGCCGTGGTGCTCAGCCGGAGACGGGAAGGCAACCATGCCACTTCCCCGGAAGTATACTTAGAGATATTTGTTTTGGTTTGGCATTCAGGGTGAATGAAAGAAGCCACATGTCGTACCTGGAGTAGAGCTGCTCCGAGTGGAGATATTTTGCTTCTCTGAGACTCTGGATGTCCACAAAGAGTTTGCTGATCTTCACTTCAGTTTCCGTTAAATACTGTGCAATCTCAGCCATGCTCTGTGGTTGCTGCCCGGAAGAAATTCGATTCGAGTCCTAAGAATGAATAAACATGGATCATCTATTACGTTCTGTATTGACGCGAGAACAGGATACACAAATAAATACAATTGTCCAATAAACACTATTTACTAAAGACAAAACATTAACTTATGAAACTGCTTCTACGCTATAATAATACATTAACACAGAATTTACATTTAATTGTTTTAACGCCATTATAATGGTGCCTTATGCAAGTTTCCTTCTTTGTAAAGATCAATTTCCACATCTTTAAAAGCCCATTGCAGAATCCAAATGGGATTCGGGACAACTAACTGAATATTAACTATTTTTCTTTCACCAGGAAAGGCCCACTGAGCTAAACAGCTCTTTTTCAGAAGAGACCTGTCCACAAATGATAGCTCAACCAAATGGCTGATCATGTGGTAATTTATAGCAGCCAAATACTCTAAACGTGTGTTTATAAATGCGGAGAAAAAAACCGGAGGACCTGGAGAAAAATCCACACAACCATGGAGAGACCATGCAAACTCCAAATATGCGGGCGTCAGGGTTGGGATTCCAACCCACAACCTCCGGTATTCCAGGGGAGAGAAAGTTAACATCTCGCTCATTAGGCAGGCGCCAGCAATGGATTCCAACCGCCGTCTCATTAAAACAGCACACGTAGGGATGTCATTGCCACCAGCAGACCGTGTGCAGTTCATCACGAGGCTGCTGCCTTTGTCCCTTTGTCCTCCACTGCTAGGCTATAAATAGAGACGCGCAGAGAATGCGGTGTGACACATACGGCCTGCAGGGCCGACGACGCTTTGGCCAGGAGGTCACCGCACTGGCTCGTGTCCATCTCCGCTGTCCTCGCCAACCTTTGCAGCGCCTCGAGCCTGGCAATCAAAGGGCAGAGTGGCGATAGCACAAGAGGAATACGATAAAGGCGCAGGCCCGCAATTACCCTCCTGAAAAAAAACTGTCATGAGACTCGGCTGCACTTGCCGAGGTGAACAAGCATAATACATAAATAAACCATCTAGAGAGCGCCGCTACAGTTAATTTAGCAGACTCGTCCACACCAGCCAGACGACGTGAAAGCGTTGAGAGTACCCACACTTAACCCCACCACGTGCGATCCGCCGATCCACAAAATGACATGCAAACCATTCACGCCATCTGTACTGCCGCGTGAATATAGGTGCGGAGATTCAATAGAACTGGCGAAGTCCAGTGTCATAACCGCTACACCGCAGCTGGCACTTGAAATGAAATACGCCATGTGAAATGTCTCTCCTGTTCCAACTGGAACTGCATGCCCGGTTCTTCCCATTGCGAGAAGCGGGCAGCCCTCTCCCGTCACCTTTCCGCAGAGCGAATGAGCTAATTCAGCGCGGCTGAATTTTTGTTCTTGTGCCCACGAACGACATGGCAGTTTACCTACTACGTCAGGTATATTTATATCGGATCATTGTTCAAAAACGACATTGTAAAATTATCCCTCATTCACGTGCTCACGCTTTGTTTTGGTGTGAGCAGGTGGGGCTCATGCATCGCTGTGAAAGCATGCGGCCGGTTCTATATCCAAATGAAGAAAACATGGCAATTAATCACGTATATTTTGTGACTTATTTAATTTAAATAGAATGACTATTTGCAGTATATAACTGCAATGCGTTATACTATTTTTGAGATGTCTAACTTTTTTCAACAAAGTGCTGAAGAAAAGACTATATATTTGTGTCACCATGACAATGGTGACAATAATTATAGAATAACTATATGCAAATTCGATTAGGGATTAAAATTAAAAGCCATCGACTTAAAAATGAAACATCTGAATATGTATGTGCATTGTGCATAATGCTTATATACAAATAACAATTAGACTCGAGCAATGCAATGCGGCATTGCATGCATTAACGCGTACGCACCTATGCAACAGCGACGCACAAGCAAGCGCTGGAATTTCACACCGCCATCGACACGCGCGGTTACTGTCATCACCGTTACCTGGCCATCTCTCCACCCGTGTCCACCAACTGACCGTACGCCGGCATGCCTGTCAACCCGTGCCCACCCCCCCCTCCGAAGCTGGCTTGAGCCATCTGGCTGGCGTTGCTCCTCAGGTGAGCTGCGCTGCTGAGACCGCTGCCCGTTTGCGCTGGGGTCAACACCTGGCTGCTATCCACTATGCCGATGTCTGAAGAGGGGGCGAAGGCCTGTATCTGCTCGACGGTATATAGCGTCATGCCGCCCGATTGACTGCGATCGGCGAGAGACGACGCGACCCCGCCGCTGTACTGCGACGGCTGGCCCCTCAACACGACGTTGCCAAACTGAACTGGCCCGACCACCTGGCCACGGTCAACACCAGCCGGACTGGGAGATCGCTGCCGCATGACGGACGCTGCGACATCAGCACCGTACTGTGGAGAAGGCAGAGGGCTCGTGGCTCTGCCAAGTGTCTGGCCTTGGCCGCTACCGCTACTGTAAGAAACGCTTCTGTACACGTCTGCATTGTCAAAATTATCAGCAGAGGCTCCTGCAAAGGACACGCTTTTGCCCGCGGCATTGTTTAGGTGTAAAGATCCCGCAGACTGGCCCCCATCAGGAACACGAACATTTGAGCTGACCGACTGACTTCTGATCGACATGCCACGTCCAGACTGGCTCCCACCAGCGACCATTCTATATGACGCACCAGACATCGACCTTGGCAAAGATCCATAATGGACGGTGCCTGCAGGCTGACTGCTGTAGGACATACCACCACCAGACTGTCCTCCACCTAAAGCCATCCCATACGAGCCACCAGCAGCTGTCTGCGACAGAGAACCATACTGCATGGTGCTGGCAGCCGGATTGCTGTAGGACAAGCCAGCAGCAGACTGTGCCCCATCCACAGCCATTCCATATGACGCACTAGGACAAGCACGAGAGAAAGCTCGTGGCAGAGAACCGTACCGCACGGCGCTCGCAACCTGGCTGTCGTGAGGAGACAAGCCAGTAGCAGACTGTGGTGCCCCATCCATTGTCATTCTATAAGAGCCGCTACCACCACCGCCATCACTACCGCTAGAGAATGCCCTTGGGAAAGAACCATACTGCATGGTGCTCCCAGCTTGAGTGCTGTAGGACATGCCAGCAGGAGACTGTGCTCCATCTATTGTCATTCCATATGAGCCACCGCCACCACCACCACTACTACCACCACCACCACCAGAGAATGACCTTGGAAGAGAGCCATACTGCATTGTACTCCCACCTTGTCCACTGTAAAACATGTCACCAGGAAACTGTGCTCCATCCATTATCACTCCATATGAGCCACAACCATCGCCACCACCACCACCACCGCTACCACCACCGCCAGAGAATGACCTTGGAAGAGAAGCATACTGCATGGTACTTCCAGGGTGACTGCTGTAGGACATGCCTACAGGAGACTGCCCCCTATTCATCACCATGTCATGCAAACCTCCAGCGTACGAGCGTGGCAGAGAGCCATAATGCACGGCAGAGCTACTCGACATGCTCCTAGTGCTGAAGGAAGTCAAGCTTCCCTCCTAAGTCCAGTTGTTTTTATCAAAATTTCCTCCCTTGACTATTTCCTGTATTTTTACCCCTTTCCTCAGCAGGGCTGCAAATGACAAACTGACGCTAACACGTGCTACCCCATCTTGATTGAATGTACTAATAATTACGTAAGAAAATAAAAAAAAAACACGAGCACGTTTCTCCGAAGAATCCTAAATTACTGCCACAGTTAAGAATACATCTTTCACGATGGCAAGTTGAGATGAACTTCCCAAAAACGAAAGCTTTTCGCGGCGAGCAGGCGCTATTTAAGGAGTTTCTCCCCGGCCACGAAAAGCATCGCGCCAATCGGGCGAAAAGTAAAACTCCCCATGCGTCCCGATAGGTCCGGCCATGATGGGCGTACCTGTAATAATTCGCCCCGGAGGTCTTAAACGTTGTTGGCTTAGTGCACTGAAATTAATCCAGACCGCACTTGCCACGGACCATTGTCAAGCCTGACAAGCCAAGGCACGGCAGGCGCTCTCAGATCACATTTTTGTCAGTTACACCACATTCCTCAGCCTGTTATGTTTTCCTGCCCCCCCCCCCCGACCACACATTTAAAAAATATATATATATACTTAGAGATGAATATGTTATTATGTCTGTATGACAAGCTACCAATGAGTTACGAAAAAAATTAACAAAATGGATTTCTGTTAATTGCATCCAGGTAATATTATTTAAACAAAATAGTAAGAAGAAAAAATGTATGCATTAAAAAATCCTAAAATTCAAGAAGCTACACAGCAAGCAGAAAGGAAAACTACTGGACAGCAATGGAAATAAAATACAGCAACGCTCTATATTTCACTTTAGGGCTTATTGATTTAAACACGACGACGAATCATTACCGACCTCGCTATTTCAAATCGAAGAGTGGTCTCCCGCTCGCCCATGGCTTTAAAGAGCCTGCTCCACTCCCGCTCCACATCGTTGGGATGGTTCTTCTCGGGCAGCTTGATTCGACCTGACTGAAACCAGCCCTGCCAAGACAAGGGCACAGAAGCGATCGCAATTGCTCTCGCAAAAAAGAAGAGGATGAACGGAGCGCGACGCAGTGTCGGTCTTCTTGGTTCTTTCAGTAAAGTCACGTAGAATGGAAATAATAAAATAATAAAAATAAAACATAATAAAATAATTCTTTATCATGTAGAATGGAAATAAAAAAATGAAGCATTATAAAATAATTATTTATTATGTTGTATTTTTATTATTTTATTATTTCCATTCTACGTGACTTTACCGAAATAATAAAAGAATAAAAATGAAACATAATAAAAAATTATTTTATTGTTTTATTTTTATTATTTTATTATTTCCATTGTACGTGACTTTACCGAAAAAACCAAGAAGACGAATCCCTGCAGTCACGAAAGCTTTAAATCGAAACAGTGTTGGTCGTTTAAAAAAATCAACGAGCGTTGTGGCTGCCGTGCGATCCGCACCTCCAGCGTCTTGTAGAGCTCGTGGATTCTGTGCTTCTCCGACAGCCTCGTCGTGAACTCGGTGTTTTTCAAGTGGGTGAATTGGGCATAAAGTGCCTGCAGAACAGAACATCGGGTAAGAGGAACTTCAGATTGTGGCTGCAACACAGCATTTTTGTTTGCTGAAATAAATGCCCATGTGATAACCCACTTCGTTGAGCTATCAATTGTGGCCTAGGTCGCTTTTGAAAAAAAGCTCTACTGCTCAAGTGGGCCTTACCTGGTAAAATAGAACATTGTTTAGTTTGTAGTTTTTTTCGTCAGTAAGTTACATGAATAACACAAAAAAGTTCATCATTCCTGAAAGAAGGTGCTGTGTTTATGTATTGGAAAGAAAATTCCACAGTGACTTAAGTATTTAATACTTATGGGAATACACATATCAAGCATTTAAAACTTATAAGACAAAGAGTGAAACAACGTATTGCAGTGTGCTATTTGTGTATTCTGCTTTTAACAAGCTTAAGACATACTTGATTATTCTAATTAAAGATTACACATCTCAGAATAATTTATCTAACATCTGTTTGTCAACTTATATTTCACCAATGTATATGATTCAGGGAGAGGGGGGGTAATTAAGCCACAGGGCACAGGCACCAGATGTCGAGGTAGTGTCTCACATTCAACTGTTCCAAGTCGTCAGGGAATGTTCTGTCCTCCATAATCTCAATCTGTCGTGAAATCCAAAGCAGCAGCGACTTCACCATCTCCTGGTACTCCGACCACTTCAGATCGGCCTCCTGGTGAAATAAGATAAACGTGTAAGTTCCAATTCAAAGGAAAGTTTTTGTTTTTATTTTCACTACGCAAACAAACTCAGACACAAATATTCCCTCCATAGAGTCTTTAGCACTCACAGCAAGTTCTGTGAAGGGGGTGATGGACTACACAGGTGCTCGCTGACAGCACATGCTCGTAAGTAAAAGCCAAGAAGAAAACAAGCAAATAATAAGGTTAACACGTTAGCTTTCGCGACCGATAAGGAAGACTTCTTCACAATTCTGGAAAATCGCCTGATGAAGCTCGTTGTAATCACCAGCAAAACGGTTTACTCAGATTGTAAATGTTGTGGGTTTACTCTCCAACACACCGGTGTGCTGAAGTAGTAACTAATTGGCACGTTCTGTTCACGTGACAACAAACCTTACTAATTAACAGTATCGGGTGGTGGTGGGTTAATGACACATTTATATTTATGCGATATAACCCAAAAACCTTCATTATGAAACAAATAATAAGAATGTACATCTTCTGTGTGAAAATACAGTTAAAAACATTTTAACTGCTTAGATAATTCTTCACTGGATGCATTCATTCCAGGAAGTATATTGTGTGTGCATGGCAAAAGTACTTACATCCGCACTGATTCCATTGAACACGTCAGGGACAACAGGCATTGCGTCGTACAGCGAAGACACGTACGTGATGATGGACTTTTCATCCGGAGATACAACATCAATGTCTGCAACAACAACAACAAAAACCCATCTCATTACAACAACAAAAACGAGTTCTTTTGACAGCCTAAATTCAGAAACGTATTCAAGAGCAACTCTAAAAACTAGAACTTGCTTCGACAGCTGGTTTACATTAAACATACCTGGTTACAACAGTAATTAGCGCAAGATAATTAAACCCGCATTGGCTTGCCATACGTGTTTTCTTTTCATTATTGCAGACAGATTCACCTTCAGGGTCCAGTAGACTTGTGACCCCGAGTTCCTTTTCTGCAAGGGCAAACGCTTGCGCCAGATTTTCCCTGTTGCTCTGGATGTTGACTTTTTCCATGTCCACAAGATCCGGCCTGCAAAGTGTGAGTCAACAAAGGAAATGTGATGTGTGAGACGCGGGTTAATCCCATTGTAATAAGACTTGAGGAAATGCCAACATTGGTTTTCATGCGTAGGATTTCGCGATTGTGCCTCTCAGCTCTTCGTTGCGCTCTTTGTGTCGTTTGGCATCATGTCAAACACGTGGCACACCCCGAAAACCCATTCTAGAACGTTACATTTTATCTCCACCTAGATTATTTTATTTTCTTTGTTCGGCCATGAACGCTGCCAGGAGAACACACAGAGCTTCACATGTCGGTAAAACTACGAATAACTCTGCATTACCTGTGAGCAGATTATCCAGGTTGCTACCTAATAACGAAATCAAATATTTTGACGCATGCTGGTTCAATTATTAGCTGCTCTTCACACCTCGAACGTCAGTGACTCCGATGCAATTATTCTGAGCCTAAGAATATGTTTTAATTGATTCATCAAAGCACTGTTTCTTCCAATATCTAATGAAACAATTTACTTAAAAACTGGGTGTGAGAAGAGTCATTACCCCCAAAATCTTAGAAATCTGTGTTATTTATCTGTTATCATTTTTTCCCCGATTGTGATACACTTGTTTTAATTCATGTTTTCTAACAAACTTCCAAAGATTGCAGTGTTATAAGACCACATATTGTAAATCCTACCTATAAATGATATTGCTTGGGTCTTTGACTCAACTTCATTACAATTGACACCACGTCATATAGAAAAACATCCATTCAGAAATATTGCCGACCAACGTATCACCCTATACTGGAGAATAGCCTGCTCGAAGCAGACATCACAGAACTAATTTTGAGAGCGCTTCAAATGAGAATTTAATCCACACACCCAAAGGGCATATTCTTCATCATGCGCCGGTACACAGCAACTTTATTTGCAAGACAATCGAATGTGTACGTTTTTTTTTAATAATCAGAGCTATAATTCAGGCAAGTGAATAAAAAAACCTGACAATTTCAACATAGAGGTTTTTTTTTACAATCACAGGTAGCTACGGTTTAACTCGATGCCCAGATTCACACCTGGTATATCCAAGCAGTGGTAACTCAATACCGTGACCCCTTGTGCCAGTTGGCCACCTCCAATGATCCCAACTAATTTAAAGGCTCTAACTCAGCAGCCTTCGTCACAGCAACTGCCCTCGGTTATGTCCCCAGAGCTGCACAGCTGCAATCCATCCCAGACCTCCAATCACTCTCATTACGTCACTGCAAATCCTCCTCGATTGACCCCTCGCGTTCGTGTCATTTTGCTTGTTGCTTTTCTAGAATGAGATTTATCTACAGATGGTCAGCCTTTCAAAAAAGAATGTCGAGTAACATATATATGTGTACGTACTGCACAGGATTATTTGTTTTGCTTGAAGAAATCTCAACATGGAGTTCACGTGACATCCATGTGTTTTATACTCGTAATGAAATATGTTCTGCTTAACATCTGAAGCTATTTTGATCTATGAATCAAATTACTGTCACGTGGTAAAACCTGTGAGTATAAAGTTGCAACATCCACAAAAAAACACAACTGCACGTAAACAAAGTTCAAGAACTGAAATCCAACCATGTGTGCTTTTAGACAAATAGCCTTTTCATGAGAGGCATCATACCGAGGCTACAATGTGTGGCATTAGCAAACCACTTATATTGCCCTGGGCACAATACCTACAGAGTGAAGAAGTGAATATGCCTACCAACATTACCGGTTTGCTAAAATGCAGAGTAAAATGTACCAACATGCTAATCGGGACAAATACATAATCGTAATAAAGCAAACAAACTAAAGTTATGGTGGGTGTGAAATGTATTTACAACACTTGTGTAAGTGATATAAATAACAATTATTTACATCCCTTTGTCAACCAAATGCTGATGAAGGCCTCTTCACACAACACCAGTTTAGGGAGTTGATCGGCCATACTTCGCCATTCTGGTGAATACGGGCTGGTGAAGGGTTTAGATAGAAATCGCTACTAATGTTACCCAAGGCTGTGAATGAAAGTCAGATGGCAGTAACTGCCGTGGCACCGCACCACCCCATTCCACTCTGGTACAATCAAATATGCACAGTTTAGTGCACAAGCTGGTAAACCAGCACATCATAAAATTGTGTTAATGTTAAGTATGCCACATGTGTTATGCAGTGGTTATGCAAGCTTCATGCTTAGCCGCAATTAAAAAAAAGAGATAATCGTGGATTTGGTGGTTTGGGTGTTTAAGCCTTTAAAGACAGATCCGCGCACCACAGAATAGTTGTTAATTCAAGTCTTAACCTGCATAAGTAGACTCGTGTCACTTCATACATTACCGATTTATCACAGCAGCTTTATACTTCCGATTAAACCCATCAGTTAGAAACAATCACCGTCTACCAATGCAATGTACTGACAGAGCACACATCGTGAGACATCGTTTGCTATTCTTTAAACAATAAAACAGAGAAGATTAAGAATTAATAAAATGAGAAGGGGACATGGAAGGAGATGAGAGGGCAAGACCATGGAAAGATGTAAAGACTAGCATCAGGTATTTGATAAGAGAGCGGTGTAGTAAACGGAAAGCCAGTGGGGTTGAAGGAGGAGAGGTGAAGTGTTATTGTTTGACTTGCATCCCACTGGGATTTTTGCACACAGCGTTGATATACGGTGGGTTTTTTCTGGAAGATTTTGCTGTTTTTGTCCTGCATGTTTCTGTTGCGCGTAGTCACTTTAAGATGTTTCTTGTTCACGTTTTTGTTTGTTGCGGTTGCACCCGAGTCAAGAGCCGCATGGCTCACAGGGCTACACCTAATAAATGAAACTGAAACATTGTCCTTAAAGTGTTTCAATTTTTCAATCCAATCTAAAAATCAGAGACCATTCCTCCAAATGGGTGGAAGCTGGCCTCATACGGAATTAGTAGTGGAATGCAGATAACTGAAAATTACATCTCAAATAGTCCAAATAATATCATTGACATGTGTGGAGCACTGACAGCTGTATATGTGCATTTTATTGGAATGTACTGCAGTCTGTTTGGTACAGCATTTGACTGAGATTATCTATGGTGTGGACAAAATGGGTTCTGACAAATGATACTGCAGTGCAGAATGTTTCAAGAGGGTGTGAAAAATTCGTTTTAAATGCAAGATGAACGGGATAAGTGATGGAGGCCATTTCAACATCTTCATCATTTCTACATAGATTTGTGCGATTTTTCAAGACATTTCCAGTAACCTGAATACACCAGCGGAACCGTTGTCCAGACACCCAAAGTGTCCAAACCACGTAATTGCACGTGGCTGCCTGTACGACATTTCAATAGGGATTAAGAGCCAATTGCTTGCACGTTTACGTAACTGAAGAAAGTCGCTTTTGGTCACGCCTTTCAAACCCTCGCTCACAAAAGCAAATTCCACGTTCTGCTGAAATTCTATCCATTACAAGCGAGTCAATTTAGTGGCCTGCCATTGAAATTCCCATCACGTGTTTGCACCACGTTAGCCATGCTTGTGACGACTTGAAAAGACACCCGCACATTCAGGGCCTTGAATTCCTGAACCACAGCCCAGTGGCAAAGCCCAGTCCTGTCCCGACAAGCAGCAACTCTGCACTGAGACCGTCAACATTCAGCCAGGGCCTCTGGGACCAAGTGAATCAACGGGATACACTTCACTTCATCTTATAGATATGTTTTTTTTAAAGCCACCGACCTATTTTCAAACACAAGTCACTCAGATGTGACAGTTCGCCACGTGGCATTGCCTTTGATTACATCACCTCATTACAGTCAGTAGTGGTTGTCCTATGGGTAGACTCACCCCCATCATAGGAATGTGGAATTTTTTTCACCACAAGCTCATGGAAGTAAGCAGGAGAGGAGTGCCACCCCATGCTAAGCTGGAGCATGAAACCACTTTAAGATGATTCTTTTGCAATTTCGTTGACTTATATTTCCACAATTTGTATACTGTAAGGATAAAATGTACAATCTAATCTCATTTATATTTATAGAGCAACTTCACTCGAGGCGCTTGACAAAGCTTACCAAATGGTAACAGAATATAATTATTTAAATTTCAGGTGCGTACAAGGATATAAGAATGAGTGAGAGCGATAGAGGGTACTTAGGGATCACGAAAGGGTATGGGAGGGACGGGAAGAAGTGGAGGAGCGAGGGGAGGGAAGGGAATGGGCACTGGAGGAGGAGAGGTGAGCTTTGAGAGCAAAACAGAAGGATGTTATTGAGGGGGACTGCTAAATGTACAAGAGAACATAGTAAAATACAATTCTCACGACGTTTCGGCCACAACGCAAGCAGCCGTCCTTGCGTTGTGGCCGAAACGTCGTGAGAATTGTATTTTATTGTGTTTTATTTGTATTATTTTATTATTTCCCTTCTACGTGACTTTACCGAAAGAACCAAGAAGATGAATCCCTGCAGTCACGAAAGCTTTAAATCGAAATGTACAAGAGAAGTTGATTCCAGTGGAGGGGTGCAAGGAGGAAGAAGTGCCAAACATGGGATTGGGCACAGGGAGACGGAAGGACAGACAGAGACAGAGAAGATTAGAAATGAAGAAGATGAGAAGGGGACCTGGAAGGAGATGAGAGGGCAAGACCATGTAAAGATGTAAAGACGAGCATCAGGTATTTGATAAGAGAGCGGTGTAGTAAACGGGAAGCCAGTGGGGTTGAAGGAGGAGAGGTGAATGTGTAAGAATTACAGGAGAGATATAAAATAACAATACATGTTGATTTGAAGCTTTCATGACTGCAGGAATCCATACTCTTTGGTTCTTCAGTAAAGTCACGTAGGTAGAAAATACGTGACTTTACCGAAAGAACCAAAGAGTAACACACCAAAGAGTAACAAGAAATGTTTTTACGGCAAAGAAAAATGGTTGCGCACAAGTGATACTGCTGATATACCCAAACATTACGAGTCTAGACTAGCAGCTGCCAATGCCAGCAAATGAGAGAAAGCATGTCGATTTAAACCGACAGCATCTGAAGAAATAATCAGTTCCATCGATAAAACGTTTACCAACATTATTTGGGAAAAGTAGAGCTGCAACGGCCAACGGAACAACTTCTGGAATGCGATTTTGAAACGAGTTTGCATTGACGCACACAGACCGGTATCACCATCAGCTATAATGACTGCTGTGCATACGAAGACACATCGGTTCAAGTAAGGTCTACGGACATCTGCGATTTCTGGGGCTCCTTCGTGAAAGAGTCAATTTTATACTCTTGTCAATTCTGCGGTTAAACAGCAATGCGACTTTGTCAAATGCAATGCCACATCTCGCTCTGTAGATTGGCTTCCCCAGCTAAATACTTGGCTGTGGAGCAGCATACCACACTCACGCAACAAGTCTCAACGATAAATCCTTTAGGGCTCAAATAAGTGGTCAGCAGAGGACACACCTCACACTGACCGCAGCCAACAGATATTGGCGGCAATGTGATCTCCACTACAGGGACATTGCAAGGGATTGTACGCAGAATCATTAATTCATGGTAACAAAACTTACGTTAAATGTGTCAAGTTTGGTGAAAGCTTAACATATCCACCTTTATTTTAATGATGGGGACTGAAATGTAAAATTGGCAGATTCCTAAAAAAAAAGACACTTGCCTTAATTGTTAATGACCTTTGTCGGTTAAACGTGACCCAAACATTCAGGTAAAGATAACAAGGGTAAATCAAGTGATGAACCCATTTAACGAAGTTAATTAACTCATAGTCAAATACACATGTAACACTGTTGATATACGCCAAGATTGCAAGTCTAGACAAGCAGATGCTAACGTCAGCAAACTGAGCAAGCATGTTGATTTGAATAAATAATGAGTTCCATCTGTGAATGTCTTGTTTTTCTTCTGAACTTATGCAGTCTTGTTTGAAATTTAAAACACAAACACATAAATAACTTAAAATGCTGCCTTTGTTTCTAATCATGTCATCGCTCTGGTATTAAGCAATCTAATATCAAATAGATGACAGTGTGCTTAACTCACTTGACATAACATGTCTAATATTTGACAATTCAACGGAAGAAATGAGTCCAAAAGTGCACTGGGCTATTTGCTATATTACTTCGATTATGCACGCAACAGCATCAACAACTTCATTGCGAATATAATAGCACCGAGTATCCGTGCATTTCATAAACATTCATAAAGAAACAAAAGCATGTTAAAGACATCGTTATATCGGTTAAAAAAAACTAAGTAAGTAGACTTGGACAGCACCACTCCAGATGTCCGCTGCAAAGTATAATCTTGAGTTTCGATTATAGTGTGCTGAACTTGAAAGGTGCATTGACAAATTTTGATGTTATGAAGTGACTCATGCTGCCAGCTATGGCCGTAAAGTTTGGTCGTACATGTTATGGATATCGTTTATTGCTAAATTTGAATCACAGTTCCTATGATCACTGTTACATTGTTTTTATAGCTGTATTTTGGTGATTTCGAAAAAGTATGGTTAAGCCATGTTTGTTGAAGTATGGAGACAGCCTGATAACTTTAATCTAAATTGTCTTATGGTTGTTATTGTTAGACTTGCATCCCATTGGGATTTTTGCACACATCGTTGATATACGGTGCTTTTTTCTGGAAGATTTAACAGTTTTTTCCTGGATGTTTCTGTTGCGCGTCGTCACTTAAAGATGTTCTTTGTTCATGTTTTTGTTTGTTGCGGTTGCACCCGAGTCAAGAGCCTCATGGCTCACAGGGCTATACCTAATAAATTAAAACTGAAAAAACCAAAGTCGCTAGCTAAGGGAATAGAATCAGAATATGTATTCACACTGAAGGAATCCGATGAGCTATAAAGCTCTTGTTTCACAGATGTCTAAGAGGGGCGGGTGAGAACGTTGCAACAACAAACAACACAACACGATAGGAGTGTAAAGTCTCGGAGAGCTAAACAAATAACTAAAATCTATAGATAAAACTAAACTATTTTATTTTACAAGTCAAAGCCAATTTGAGCTATTAGCTTCTTTTTCAAAAGCGACCTGTCCAAAAATAATAGCTCAACTAAGTGGCTTATCTTGTGGATATGTATCGCAGCCTAATAATCAAAATAATCGAGACGCATGTTTCAAAAATTTATAACACGCCCGAGAAGGTGTCCACTGGATTGCAACATCGATAAAGCCTGAGAGATGGTAACGGCTTGAGAAGGCCTTCATCATGGCTGATGATTGACGATGACAATTAACAATTCATCTTTAACCCACGGAAAAAAGATTAAAGACTTGAACCCAGAAACAATAAGCGGTTGAGATGGCCAAACAGCAGGGTATAAAAACACAACATGTTGGTGGTGAGCAATGGCTTACCAACATGGCACCTCCGATTAGCGCGGTTGGCTATGTACGATGTGAAAGAAGTTCAACATACATCCACACGGCTAAGCCAAGCTGGCGGGTAATGGCTGCAAAGAGCACCTGTTCCAGTTTGTTGTCCTTCCCTAGCACCTACGATGAGCACGGTTGGCTACGTACGGTGCGCCAAAGAGGTTCGACACTACACACGCACACATACCGGTGTCGATGGATGATGGCGTTGAAGAGGTGTCCATCCCGCCAAGCAGTTGAGAAGTTCTGGCATGAGGCGGCAGGGTAGACCTCCACCATGCGCTGGGACCACAGCAGCAGCTTCTCCTTGGCTGACATGTCCTCCGACTGTCCCGTCACCTGGATCTCCGAGATCTGTCAGCAACACCAGCGAGGCGGGTCAGATGGGGTCACGGATGCACGCGACCTCAATGAGGTTAAACTGAACTTTATGTTGGAGGCAGCGCACAGCCATACTCCAACGCACCTCTGATTAGCACGGATGGCTATGCAGTGTGAAAGAAGTTTAACTTACATTCATCTTTACAATTTCGATGACAGTTTAGGTAGTGTAAGACAGCGCAAGATGTAAAAGATACTGCTTAAATAAAGTTTTAAGTAGTGCAAGTTGCAGATTTAACCAGATTTTTTGGTAAAGATGCATCGATGCAATCGCTTGCCCATGCCATATCTGGGCAGAGAAGGGCCTCTACTAAAACTGCCACGCCAGGAGATCGATCTCTGAACGGAGCTAACCATCAACACAACAGCAGCAGCATCTAACGTGTTTTGGACATTGTTGAAATTACCAATTAAAACTTTTTTTAGAAAATCACGTGGGCAGAGCAAAGAAGCAACAGCGCCCCTTCTTGATTGGACGAGGTCAAGAATGTTGATTGCTTTGTGCCTTTAAAAAGTTAAAAGGACCCCCAACCCTTCACCAGATAGCCTTGCGGAAATACATAAAACAAAAGACATCATTTATATCGTGTATTACGGTACACATCACTCAATGTTGGAGATCTGCATTCGGAAATTATTGCCGTTTAAAAAGACAACGTAATGCTGCCACCAAGCGGTGCATACTTGTCAATATGCACCCGGTTATTTAAGCAGAGAGGCGAGGATGAAACGATACATTTTCCATAAATAGCACCTTGCTCTACAATGAACATAACCCTTTATGGAAAACTCGGGCGAGCTTTCATCTCACTCGACTCTGTTTCACAGTGCCAATGGTGAATCAACACCTCCTGTGAATGTCACTAGTGTCCATAACTTTTAAAGATATGATTTCAAAATGTGAAAATTTACAGGGTTTACACATTTCTTCCGTGCATACAGTGCTTATTTTTACATGGCATATGTGTCGTTAATAACAATTTCCGGTTAAGTGCAAGTTTAAAAAAAAAAACACTCCGAAAGACTTTTGGAGCAAATTTTCGATGAGTGGAATTACATCACTGTATTTCCAACATTCCTTTAGCACGAGACGGAAACCAAACCTAACGGTACAGTTCAGCTTTTTTTGGCATTAAGAAAAGAAAAACCAGACATTGGTAACAACTGCCTTCAGGACTACCAATTAAATCGTTGCTTTGCAGACAGAATATCCAAGCAAAAAGTGAGCCATTGATCTGCTCACTATTTTAAATTTCTTTAGATGCATTGGCCTCTTTTTTTCCTACTCGTTTTTTTTATAAATTCAAACATATAGAAGGTAAAGGCACAACCCTGCAATGTTTTGCTCATGCCACTACTGGTGGAAGGGCCTCCTCTAGAGGGGGCCCTCGAAAACCCTGCTATAGGTGATTTTGTGGCCCTGTTCTTCCATGCTGGCTAGACGTCTTGATGGAGGTGAGATTACCCACACTTTACCCCACCTCACGTCACCTCCTGCCCAACGGCTTACTGCGGTGCACCCATTTATACTGCTGGGTGGACAGAAGCGGTGGTGGTTGGGGAGATTTAAGAAACTCGCACAATCGTGTCAACTGCTGCGCCAGGAGATCGAACTGGAAGGCCTCTGGATCGCAAGTCAAGTGCGCGTGAAGCATTACACCGGGGTTGCATCCTTCCAAAAGTTAATTTCAAATAAAATAAAATTACACAGTGGAAGAGAAACCCTACGAAACTAAAATGTGCGATCGTCTATCCCAGCGTATGCTGCAAAATTGTGCTAAGCGCATAAAAAAAATTAAGGAAAGTATTCCATGCCAAAAACAATTACGTGAATTAATGCTGGAAACAAATGACCTACTAACGTGGGTAAACAGAGGACACCATGGCTGTTTGCAATTTGACAGCCATTTTGACAGCCATTTAGGCGCTTGTCCAACGGTGCCTAGATAATGGGGGAAAATTGACACTTAACATTCCGCAGCGGCTACAAAAACAATCAAACGGTGCCGCCACAAAGACAACCGCTATCAACAGCAATGTCGGAGCGTGCGCCAAATTCTTCGCATAAACGAGACCATAATCATATCAGCTCCTCACACGCGGGGCGACATCGTGCGCACGGCATTATTACGGGGGTCTTGTGCGCATTATTTCAGTGCACGGTAGAAGTGTTTAGATTTTTTTTAAAGTTAATGCAGCGGTGTACGGTTGGGAGCCCCATTCGAAATGAAAAAAACAATTACAAGTTGTTGTTCAATACTATCCGTAAAAAAATACAAATCTAAGGGTCCCTTAGGTTTTTCTCCTGCAAGGTGTGGTCTCGCGCTGTTTCAGACTAAATTAGGCAACGGCAAGCTTGTGTGACGAGTGTGAGATGGGCACAGAGTGTCCCGTACGTGAACACAACCTCGGTCGTGTTTATACCTCGGAAATGTACAAGAATTCTACGGCATCATCGGCGGACCCCGCACAAAGCCATTTAAGTAAAACAAGTGCACATCGTGCACGAACAAAATATTTATTTAAAACAAAACATGTCAAGTAAACCTTTACAGGTGTCGCCCGTATTAGAAATTAGTGCTTCCGTGATTAAAAAGAAAAAAATCCTTTGGATTTACAGCTGGTGGCTCACAGATGTCAATGATGCCTCATCGCTGTTGGTCCACTGAGTCCATTATTTTTACAGGATTGAGACATATATACAGAGAACATGGTTTTTTATGATATGTTTATAACAGCTGACATGACCATCCATGAGAAAAAAGACTTCAAAATAAGGGATAAATCACTTAGACCCGGTATGTTTTTGCAAGGATTCATACGAGGCTTTTCTGAAAGAAAAAAAAAGATCTCCATATATATTCTTGGTTCTTTCAGTAAAGTCATGTAGAATTTTTATTTATGTTAATTTTTTTTTTATTCTATCTAAGTGACTTTAACGAAAAGAACCCAGAAAATGAATTCCTGCAGTCACGAAAGTTTTAAGTCAAAATCCCCCATATAGCTTTCAACAGATTGTTGGGGAAAGTGCTGCTAGCGAGCACCCCTTAAGATCGGCACGACACAGGCCAGCACCACGCCCGGCCGCTTTGGTCTTCCCAGTGCTCTTTGCACATGCACCAGATACTAAATAAGGCTGAATAGACCCACGGGAGGCCCAGCAGTAGTGAGAAATTGGCCACGAGTGGGAATCGAACTTGGGTGGCTGCGCTGGATTCATAGCGCAACGCGCTAACCACTGCACTACTGTACTACTCTTTGTCTTTAAGGATATGTATATAAATGCATACGCGCAGAGGAAAGGTAGCCAGCTCAGTTCTTTACATGATTCAAATGTATTTTGATCTATATTTAGATCAACTAACGTAAATTATCTGCACATGTCAAAGCTTCCCATTTTACATTTTTATATTCTACATTGAATGATTGAGACGTATCCAATGCAATCAGAAACCGTACAAAAAAAAGATTTCGTTTCTCTTTTAGATTGATAGAGCGTTAAACAGCAAATAAAATTCAAGTGAGAACCATTGTTCTATCTTTTATTTTTTGAGATATTTCAGATTAAAGCGGTTGTGAATGAAAAAATACTGATTTTATGATGTTCAAATCTGAATATTTCGAAAACGGTAAAAGGTAGAAGCTTCCTGTCATATAATATTAAGTTCATTCATTTTTGTTCTTTCCAAATATAAAAATAACAATCTTTAAATTGAGTGATTTCCGATTGGTACATCGTTAAATATAACAAGTTCAATCAAGTCGTCAACAATGTGTTATTTTTTGTGGAAAAATACACATTTTTGGAGTAGTTGTTGGTGTCTGATCGTAGATAAAAAAAATTAGATCAGGTTAATTCTTATATTTATTGAAACTTGCCTGGTGAAGACAGGCTTTATGAACTAGTTTAATATAAAATTTAACCATGACTTTTATTTACCCTGCAAATGCTCACTCAGTCCTCAAACCTTTTTCAGAAGGCTCCTCCATAAGGAAGGCCCTGCAATTCAGAAGGATCATCAATTGCACGAAAATGTTTGGCTTGTGTAAATCAATTCTAGTACTTGGAGAAAACCCATGCTTACTTAACTAATCTTTGTATTTTACAGGGTAAGGCCCACGTAGCTATATAGCTCGTTTTCAGAAGCTACACATTTATAGCAGCAAAATAATCTAAATAGCACGTTTTGTTTACATCACAAATCTTACTGGCTGTGTCAGGTGGTGGAGGGTTACGACACATTTACACTTACGCGATCTAACCCATAAACCTTTATTATGAATAATATTGGTCGCGAAAGCCTACGTGTTCATCTCAATATATTGTTAAGGATCACATTTACAAATCACATTTGGAAATGTGGCTGTATGCAGCACTAATCTTTTGCTTCTAAATATTTTTTGAAGGAAGATTTAAGTGAAAAGGCAGAAAAGAAGGTTGTTCCAAAACGTTGGTGCTGCAATGGCAAAGGCTTCGTCACCTTTACCAAATCGTGTTCTTGAGATGGTTAAAAGGCAATTAGATGGACACCTTAGGTTTCTTGGATTTGACAATGGCGTAAAATGAATCAGCTAAGTATAGCGCAGATTTGGCAATAAAAAATGTTACGGATAAACATGACCCAATTTATATTTCTTGTTACATCAAGTGATGAGCGATCGGATTTTAGGTCGAGGTCACAATGGTGGGTCCTGTATGGTGCATCCAGTGCAAATCGAATAGCAGAATTATAAAGTGGGTTTCGTCTGTTTAGTAATTTATTAAAAGATGATCTGTAAGCAGCATCACCGTAGTCAAACAGTGATAGCTTCAAAATTTGCAGGCATAATCGAATGGAAAAACAATGTTTGTTTCCATGTTTGTTTCTAAATATAAAAATCCTATTTTTTATTTTGTTTGGAATCAATCAGTAAACACAAGTAGTTAAGCGCTCCGTTTGTTCAATAATGTTGTTTCTGATATCAGTATAAGGTGAAGAGAATGAAACTGGATTTTTGTTTGAGGGAAAGACCATGACTTTGTTTTTTACGATTTAGGAGCAATCTTACTGTTGACAATTGATCTTGAATTAATTCAAAATCGTGTTGGAGATTCTGTTTGATTTCGTGAGGAGATTTAACAGTAAAAATACCACGTAGACAATATGTTTTTGTTCTCTGATCCATGCCTTCCATATTTCAGGTTCAGTGTCATTCCAAGAATGAACGTTTTCTTGTTAATTTGCAAACGTTTTATGATTTGCTAAATTTAATTTGCCGTTGTCGTGTTCCCAATCCATATGTTACATCAGCGAATGAAAGCTGATTTTAAAACGTTATTCTTGAGGAATTGTGGTAAGTTGTATTGCTTCAGCAAATTCAGTTCTCCATATGCACTCCAACCTCTTAGTGACTTGAACTACTTGAAGGGTTACAAGAACCGTGAGCCTTATATCTTATGTATATAAATTATTTACTATGGCCAATTTAAAGGCCAGCTAAGCCGGATTTAGGAAAGGGTTTTCTACCAAGAGACTACTTTTATACTCGAAATCAAACTATAAACTATAAAAAAACAATTTTTATTTGCCAGGTACGGCCCACTGAGCTACAAAGCTCTTTTTAAGAAACGACCTGCCCACAAATAATAGCTTAATTAAGTGGATTATGATGTAGAAATTTCTATCAGCCAAATACTTTAAACGCATGTTTATAAATGTGGAGGGAAAAACCGGAGGACCCGGAAAAAAATCCATGCGACCACAGAGGAGAACACACAACAGGCATCAGGGTTGGGATCGAACCCACGACCTCCTGTATACCAGGCGAGCTGGTTAACATCTGACCACCATGGCGCCCTATCAGATTCTGAAATCAGATTGAGATCATATTCTAGTAAAGACTAAACATTATCTTCAAATCTAGAAACATTATTTTGCTATTGTCGACTAAGGAAACGAATTTTACTCAAACAAATTGTCTGCAGTCATCAAAGTCCTCACAAAGCAGGTACAGTATGAAATAAAATAAAACATATTACAAATTATGAAACCATCTACAAGGATGGAAAAGCTATATTGAGACTGCATGAAGAGAGTAACACATGAAGAGAGTAACAAATAACATATCATAAGCAGAGCCAGGTAATGAGATGCACTCTCACTAATGTTATTCGCACCTCCGATAAGCATGGTTGGCTACGTACTGTGTGAAACAACTTCAACATACATATATTCCCAGCGACATCAGAAGGTATTTTTGTACAATTATATTGGAGAAAAAAGGAACGGCCATGAATTGAGACATGTTTTCTGATGACACTCATAATATATGGAAATAAATAACCGAAAATTATCTAAGAATGTAATAAAGAAGGCTGCAAAGTTAGGCTCAAGAAAAACTAGCAAAACAAAAATCATCCGAAATAAGTTTTCGATTTTTTAAAAATATTTATTGTGGGTAGACACAAATGGAAATTATTTAAGGTGGATAAAAATCTGCCATCAGAGTTTCCAACGTGAAGAAATAGAAGTTATTTATATAAGTGATGAACGAATACACATTTTAAGTCCTATGAATCTCCAGCCATTATTCGTAAAGTTTTACATTTATTGTTGTTGTCCGAGGTCCTCGAAATGACACATCTTGCGGATAAGTCAATTCAAAACAAGGTACACACAAAACAAATACATGTCCCGAACAAACGACAAAAAATAATGAACGCCGATTGTGCCAAGCGAACAAAACGTCCTGTTCAACGCAGCTGCTTCTGCTGCAAATCAATACGTGCAGGAGCTCAATGAAAAACACATGCTTTACAGTTCTTGAGGGTGTGCACGATTACTTATAGAGGCCCCAACCCATCCATAATGAGCACATTTTCAACATCTGCCAACCATTCTGGAATAAAGCAACTGAACCACACAAACGCCCCACTGTACCAGCTCTGGCCACCGTAAGAACTTAATCTGCTCAAGTAAATTGCCTGCTCACTTACGGTGGGTTACTCCGCAGTGGAGTGCATTGCCGCATGGTTCACACTCAATATTGGCAATGTATTGAGTTTATATTTTATAGGAGTTATTTTTTTCACACAGCTAAAAACGCCCTTCAATGTGTTTCACTTGGACGATGCTTTACACGAGCACACATGAGGGCAACACAGTAGTGTTGTAAACGCTTCCAATTTTAAAACATGCAACCAATGTTATGGGACTAAAACATCACCACCGGTCATTGCGTTGAAAGTGATTGATTTTTAAAACGGAAAAGGGTCCTACCTCTTGCCTGTGAACAGCCTTAATTATGTCGCTCTGATGAATGTGTCTTTGACATACTTCACCACCATGGTCCGAGTCATTAATTCCCGAGGCTGGTTTCCCAACAACAGATGGGGAATTAACTGGCTTAAGAGCTCCTTCTTCACGTGGACGTGCCTTATCATCAACCCTTTGACCTCTTGCCCAGCCAGCCACAGCGCTGGGAAGATCGCCAACCGTGTCGTCATCTTGCAAACTGTCCTCATTAATGTGTAGAACTTCATCGCAGCTAAACGTCAAATGCCTCTCAAAATCAGCGGAAGCAGGATTGTTATCCTCCCCCAGATCTGATGCATCACCGCTGATATTATCCACAAGCTCCGATGAGACATGCTCGTGGCTGACCAACACAGTTGCCCTCTTATCTGTTGCCAACCCATCTGTGACTGGCTGCTCGAAGACGGCAGATCCAGATCTAAACAATCCAGGCGCATTGCTGTCAACTTTGTCTTCGCTACTGGAACTGGCCAACACACTTGACGAAGCTGGTCTTTTGCGGTCGTCTTCATTATCTTGTTGAAACGATGGCGAGCCGCTCTCGTGTGTAGTAAATCTATTATTAACGTGCTCCGCTGAGCCACGGTCGGTCGACACAGAATCTGGTTTCAACTTCTCTTGCCTGCACAGTTCTGAACCACCAGTGGGCTCAATCACACAATTATTACTTGAACAGTTTTCCAGATGACTATTATCTCTCCCGCTCATAGGTTGTGTCTTCTTGCTAGCCTCAGCCTCACGTCCATATCCAGCGAGCTCACGTTCAGCAGGGTAGACAATTGGATTTTTTAACATCCCCATGTCAACATGGTCGATATTTTCTGCCGGCAAAATGCTTCTGTTGCTAACGTCACCGACCTGCCATGGATGAAAAGCTTGCGTCGGGGTCTCGGCTTCTCTCGCATGCGGGTCGAGGTCTTGCGACAACTGTGACTTTACAGACGATGCTTGCCTTTTGCTCCATTTTTTCCACCTCTTCCTGTTGGAGGAGTCCTTATCCTTTGCTGGATCAAAGTCCAGCGGCGCTTTGCTCGGATCAACGACCAGTTCTTCCTTCTGCTCCCTGACGCAGCCGCACCTATTCCCCATGGCACCGATTCCTAAGCTTGGCGACGTTCATCGATACGACCATAATCCAGGGGGCCAGGCAGGCAGCAAAATCTAATCACCTTCGGAGCTCCTTGAGCACTCAGCCATTAGCGCTGACGCTGAAATCCTGATGACACGTACTACCGCAGCGGCACGGCACTCAGCGGAATGGCCATCCTTTTACGCCGGCCTCTACATACGTAGCCTGCTGCCGCAAATGAACAGACAGCTCACTTCGGAATCAGCTGCTCTGCGACCAGAGCAGTGAGTGTGGCGAGAAGGGTCGGGAGGGGAGAGGCTGCCAAACAAGCAAGCAGCGCCCATAGGCTGCCCGCCCGTGCTCATTGTAATATTTTGCACCGCCCCAGGCTACTGTTCCAAAATGCTGGCAGGCTGGGAGAATACATTTCCTGGAAGCTTAGACAACACCAGCAACTCTAAACCAGTAACACATTCACACCCCCCCCCCCCCCCCCCGATTCTTAACCGCACGAGACAACGTGCACTGGGGTACGAAAAGCTTTTTCGTACGAAAAAGGGAAACAGGTACTGTGCTCTTGTCGCTGAAAATATGTAAGCTGTTATATATATCAGTGAAGGTCATCCCTAGCATCGATCCCCGCACCTGGAATGATTCATAGACACGACCATAATCCGCCAAGTATGAAAAAGTACAATGTGTGAAATGCGCTTATTTTTTTCACAGATATACTGAGACTTAGTAGTAGGTTTTTACCCTTTAAACTGGTACAAAACTGACACCTTTATACAAGGCATCATGTTTGCAATAACCACAACACAAGCAGTCAAAAGGCAAACAAAAAAAAAACAACTCTGATAATGATATGCACGTTCAAGGACAGTGCATATCATTATCAGAGTTGTTTCTTTTTGTTTGCATTTTGACTGCTTGTGTTGTGGTTATTGCAAACATGATGCCTTGTCTAAAGGTGTCAGTTTTGTACCAGTTTAAAGGGTAAAAACCTACTACTATATTTTGCCACTGGTAAAGGAGGTCTCATAGAGTATACTGAGACTTCACAAGGACAAAGTGCGTTATCCTTACAGTCTAGTTCTAAACATCAAGAGCCTGTGTGCAACGTCCTTTGCTTTGCTCATAAATCTGTTGCTGGTATTCAACACGAGGACCGTGGAATGTACCTCCCCCACAAGTGATGTAAGTAATGTGGTCACAATTTGGAACGTTACTCTTAATATTCTTAGGTGTTTTCGGTAAAGTCACGTAGGTAAGAAATTTAAATTAATAAAAGTAAAATAAAAATAAAATAAAATCACGACGTTTCGGAGGCAACACAAGCTTCCGTCTTGTGTTGCCTCCGAAACGTCGTGATATTTTTTATTTATTGAACTTTTATTAATTTTAATTTCTTACCTACGTGACTTTACCGAAAAAACCTAAAAATATGAATCCTTGCAGTCACAAAAGCTTCAAATCTAGAGTTACTCTTAATACATATATGTTGTATGTTCCTGAATTCGATGGCAATAATAAGTGCACATATAACAATGATTAAAACAAAATATGCCACTGTAGGTTTGGTATACTGTAGATGTAAACAAATGTCTCCCTATAATATTTTCACCAACTCACAAGGCGACATGATCTAAATGAAAAGCAAATCTTTTTTCACATGCGTCATTCAGCGTCGTGGTTGGGAAGGCCACAGTGAATATGAAACACTGCTGTTGGCTTGGCATCAGCTTTGGAAAATACCAACTGGAATATGGGAAACTATAAATGGATAAGCATTACTATGACACAGTGTTTTAAAACTGTTGAGAATGTTAGTGGGGTCGTGTTACATTTTTAAGCGTTTATATTCTTACAAGATAACGTTTAGTCTCTAATTATCCTGGTAATGGCTGACAAACAGGCCTTTGCCTCGAAGTAATGTAAAACGCCTTTGATAAAAAAAATGTAAACCAAAAAATGTAAGCCCAATAGCTCCCCAACCAACGCGTGGAAGAAGAATAGCTGCCCAACATCTGGCATTTATCAATTGTATAACGAGGTGTCGACACGTGTATTAAACTACAAAGTCTCAACAATGATTCATGTCATGTTTGTTCTCCTGTCTTGGAACCATCAACAGTTGTACAGTCGTTACCTCAGGCATGTGACCAAAGGTCGGCACACATACAAATTTAGGTAGATACACAATCATGATACGTACACACTGACGTTGATCTGCAACGTTAATTTTGATGAGAAACGTACCGTGCAAACGAAACTCAACTGCGTGCAAGTAATCATTAAAGGGGGGCTTGTTGACTTTGCAAAGACCAACAGCCGTTCAGCGGTAAGTAAGCAATAGACGTGACCTTTGACAAAGGCCGTTTGCAAACGCCGCACAGACATTCCCCCACGCCGCCGTCACGCCAACACGCCCCCTGAAGGCGGCTGGCTCCAGTTGGTCTCTGCTAACCGATGACAAACACGACGTTTCGGTGACGGTTAGGCGTCCTCAGTAGCACGGTCACAAAGATCGCCCGTATGAAAATGCTCGCTGCAGCGGTGGTTTTCAAGTCACTTGTGAAAGTCTGAAAACGATTCACTACCTGGAAGTGGAGGATGATGGTCCATATTAATCCCAGGGTCAACTTGGGGTTCCCATCTGCAATGTCATCACTTCTGATGTTGACGAGTTTGATCTGTGGGCAGTAAACAGGAGGCGATATAAATACTTGAATATCCATACATTTCAGATGTAATTTAAAATAATTGCATTTTCCTCATATGCTTTTGCCTTTTCCCCAATTGTATTCTCATTGTGCTCTTGGTGTTATGCCATGAGAATAATAATTCATTTAGAACTCTGACAGATCCTTACAACCCCCTTGTTAGAATAATTGTGCGTGCAATAAATATATGCCAGAACTATTTCATTGAGTTGTGTCACCATACTTCAATACTCTGGCCAGTTTCAGGTTGGTATGAGAGCCCAGAGTTGGTTTGGTTCAGGTATCACCCTCCACAGACTTTAGCCGTGGTCAGGAATAACATTCAGGTCACCAGGTTCATAATGAACCACTGTACCACTGCTGCACTCTATCCCTTGTACTTGATTTTAAAATGTATTCACTGGACATGTGAATGTTTCATTCTTAGAAAATATTTATTTCGAAATGCATTAATAATAGTCAAGGCTCTGTACATTCTTATTGTTGACCTTTGATCACATTATTACTACCATGCTTTATTTGACTCAGGTCTCCCTTGAGAATGAGACAATCTCAACTGGCTTTCACCTGATTAAAAAATATATGTAAGCATGGTGACGAATAATTAAATGGTAGCAGTGCTACAAAACTACTCCTGGCATGGAATTTGAAAAGGGCTAAATTGACACACTCGTGCCATTTATTTCACCACATGTCACAGGGTCTTGTGAGATACTCGCATGGTGACGTTGACCAGCGGAAAAACAATTGAATGTTCTGACCCAACGTGCGAGTGCGATCTATGGGATACCTTTTTTGCCAGTATCAAAATGATTAATTATAAGAAGAAATTTTACCATTTCTGGCAATTAAACAGTAGGCATAAAGATGTTCAAACACCAAAATGGTACAGCTCGGGTCGAACAGTTAAATCTACAGCTCTATAGATATCAATCGATAGAACGGCTCATTCCGAACTACAAATGCTCTGACACGTGCATTGTCCTTGTACTGTTCGCCTTTTAGTATTCTCTGGTCTAACACTGGTGGAAAGACAAGGCCATCAAGAAGGTTGTCTCTGGTGTAAGCCAATCAGTTTTAAAGAAAATGCATTTATTCTAAACGCATTATTGTTTGCACGTTTTCCCACAAGGATGTGTGGTTAATGCAGACTTGATGCCATTCAAAAAGGTATATATTTGGTGTTTGAACACCTTAACGCCTCTTATTTTAAAGTCAGAAATGGTGAAACCTATTCTTATTGTTTCATCACATGAGTGTGAATTTTAAAAGATCGGCACGGGAATGGAATGAAAGTGTGAGTTTCATACCTGGCGGTGCCGTAAGTATTCAAGTGCAATGTGGACATTCTGAAGTCGGTGGAATCGCATTCGCCCTTTTTCCCTTTGCTGTTGCGTGGGAGGATCAGGAAGAAGCGATATGAAAAAGAAACAGACATCCATAAGGGGTTTCTTCTTTGGGATTAGGTCGCGTAAATATACATGTTTAGGGAAACCCGTCGCCTCCGCCTCCCCAACACAGCCAATTTGAAAAGGCTTGTCACGAAAACAAGACGTGCCAATTAGTTACTAGTTCAACACACCGGTGTGTTGGAGAGTAAACCCGCAATATGTTACATTTTGGTCAATATCACGCCAAGCTGGTAAATACACTTTATGTACATTTGAAAGTCTTATCAATAACGAACACAAATATGTAGTCACGTTAAAAGCACCTTTATATTTTACAAATGACTGATGTAATTTGAGAGATTATGCATTTGAGAAATAATGATACAACGTCCCAAGTGATAATTGTAATTCACCACCAATGATGAATGGGGATTTTCTATTTGCAGCTTCAGATATAAATCTAGAAATATTGACGAGGCAATTGCAAATAGGTTAATTCAATCTGAATCTTGAAAAAACCTTCCCAAAATCATTTTTTATATTAAGACGCATATACCACTCCATGTGTGTACCACCAAAACTAACCGTTAACCCACTGACAGCTGTTCACAGACCTCACAAAGCAATATAGTGATACTTGTATTAAATCTATAAATTAACGATACATTAGCTTAGGCACCGGTGTGCTCAAAGAATAATAATAATAAAACATAAACGTGTGACACAAAGAATGCCATTCGCGGGTTCACAAATCATTTAGTTTTTTTAGCTAACAATACTATTTATGTTGTTTATTATTCTAAACGTGTACTTATTGTCTACGAAAATAATGTTCAAGTATGAGAAGTACGCAAGACAACACACGTATTAACAATGTTACGTTATACAAGGATTCAGCACCGTTGCATTTAGAGATACTTTCTTTTCATCCGACGGTCTTTGAGCTACTCCTGGATAAAAACCTCCCCATGTCGCTGCCACCCCCCCCCCACAGTCCGGCACTGCCACAATCCATCTAGAGGTCCTGCACATAAGCCGATCTCATCACTCCATATCGGTGGTGGTCTCCTGCTTGGGGTTTGTGCCTGCCTTTGGTTGGCATTTCATGAGCAGTATCATCCTTTGGCCACAGACATTCCT